ATTAAGAAGGATTAGGATAATCAGTCTGGTTAGGTCAGAAAGCTAAGAAGCCTGTAGGGAAGGAGTATGTGGGTGGCACTGTGGTCTAACCCACTGAGCCTCTTGGGCTTGCCGATCAGAAGGTTGGTAGTTTGAATCCCTATGACAGGGTGAGCTCCCATTGCTCTGTCCCAGCTCCTGCCAACCTAGCAGTTTGAAAGTACGCCAGTGCAAGTACCGTAGGTAGATAAACAGGTACCACTGCGGCAGGAAGGTAAATGGCCTTTCGGTGTGCTCTGGTTTCTTTATCCCTGTTTTCAATGACCAGGTGGATGGAACTGTGCACCACTGAAACATACACTGCTGGGGAAAACTGACCTGTGAGAGAACTAGAGTCCTGGATGGTGGTATATAAGCTGTTAAATATTTTCACAAAGGAATTCTCCAGAGCTATCACATGGCAAATAATCAACACAATTATTAAAGATACTATTCCACAGGTGTACATTTAATAGGGTGAAGCATCCATTCACTGCAAAATATCCTACATATTTGGAGGAAAGTGTATTCTATTCATCACAGTGATACCTGGTCCCTAAAAATATTGCTATATCATATCCAGAGTAATCAGTTCTGCTAGAATAACAAATACATTAGTACAGTGCCTATTTTAACGAGCGATTTCCTGAAAACTCAAATAACAGGACATTGGCAAGAATGGTTCTGTAGCGCTGACTTTTTCTTTTGCAGATTGTGAAATGGAAAACAGCATAAGAAGGTGCAGAATATAGATATTCTGCGGCAGAGAAGAAAGACATATTTTAGTTGTTTACCTCCTGACTTAATTGGGAAAAAAAATTATGAATTTTCCTATCTGCTATGTTAGAATTAATTTTCTTTAAAGAAAGTATAGTTCTAAAACTGTAGCTTCTCTGAATTAACAAATATGTTAACAGTAATCTTATTTTAACTTATTAACAGAATAACAAATGCAAAGAAAGAATACAGGAAAAGGAATTTTAAGAATAAACCCCAACAAAAATAGGGTTGGAAGGGTTTTTTTTGCAAATCTTTTTAGTTTCTGGGTAATATTTTTTTCAAGGTTGCACATTTTTATGTATTTGCCTAAGCTGTGTTTGCCTTCCAATGGACGGTGTATCTGAAATACATGGCTATCCCTCATCATTTGCAATGTAACTTCAGCATGTTCTAGGTTACATATTCTGTTATTGTGTTTTTATTTTTTATGGTTTACAAGTGTTAGTCTTACATGGCTGCTGTGAGCTTAGCCATAGTTTGCTTAGTGTTACATCTGAACCCAGGGCTCATGGTTTATTTTGTTCCAGACAAGCCACGAGCTGTAGCCAAGGTTTGTTCATGACTTGTTGCTCATGCTTTACCTGGGGAAGATAAACCATGATCCTGGGTTTAGACATAACACTAAGCCAAACCAGGGCTTTGCTTACAGCAGTGTAGCAGCAGGATGACAGAAAGAGGAGCAAAGTAGCTATGATCTTCCTTCTGGAAGTCCATGTTTGCTCATTTGTGCTAAGCCATAGTTTGGCTTCATGTGATTAGCAAATGAGGCTGGCATGTAGTATCTGCTGTCTTTGCACCAGGCAGGCAAGTCGCCATGTGATCTGCACACATTTCACATATCTATGTCTCCAATGATCAACTGACTCACACAGTACTAGGAGTCCCTCCTCCACTCCCTACAGCATTCTCCTCAATACAGTGGTACCTCGGGTTACATACGCTTCAGGTTACATACGCTTCAGGTTACAGACTCCGCTAACCCAGAAATATTACCTTGGGTTAAGAACTTTGCTTCAGGATGAGAACAGAAATAGCGCGGCGGTAGCAGGAAGCCCCATTAGCTAAAGTGGTGCTTCTGAACCCGAAGTTTCAGGTTAAGAACAACTTAACAGTTTCAGGTTAAGAACAGACCTTCAGAACGAATTAAGTTCTTAACCCGAGGTACCACTGTACAAGAGGATATCCGTGTGTCCCCCATGGAATGGGTCTCTCTTAATGGATGATTTCCTCCATCCCTTCCCTGAGGCCCACATTTTTTGTGATAACCAAGGAGCAATCAACCTGTGAGTGAGATAGGGCTATCATGTCCCTGAAGGCTTTGTTCAGCAACCTCTCAAAGCTTCTGCAGCGGATAGTCATCATGCCTCTTTGCTTTCTACCTGCATAGCTGTCACTGTTATTTGCTCAGTTTGTTTACTTAGGACTAGTAAGATTTCTTTCAGACAATACTTTTATTAGATGAAGTGAAATAAGAGGTGGGGGCAATATATCATGCAGCAGTCACTTATTAAGTGCCCCTTATTTTAAGTAAGGGCTCTTAATTTTTTTAATAGGATTCTGGTACAAACTAAAAAAAGATAGGTTTATTTGAGCCAAACTGAAGCAAGCAGAACTTTTTTACCTCGTTTCCCCCCCCAAATTGTGTTTTTTAAAGGTTTTCTTGGGTGAAAAAGTACATACATTGTCTCCATTTTCAGATCATAAAGTTCTTTCTGCAGATAAGTTATATTCAATGTGAGATTTTACTACTGTATACAGTATAAAGTTGGGGGAGACAAGAGGAGGGGGGAGAGAAGGGGGGACTTCTATAAATGGTTAAGCCCTTATATGTTTGGTGTGATTCCTATGTGTACAGCTTTATGTTAGCAGAGATGGATTGTGCGGCATATTTATTTCAGGGGAAATGAACAGCACATCACTTGCAATGATTCCAGACCTGCTCAGCTTGTGATGTGCCCAAGCCAATGCCTCAAGTTTTGCTATCCGAGGCATGCAGCCGAAATAGGTTTTTGAGCCCCGAATATACAGGGCCTGTGTTTCATCTTGGATGTGCAAGTCTGTTCTATGCAGATACCACATTCTTCTAGGAAATCTCCATATACTTCATCAGGTGTGAAGAACACACAAGTGTTCAGTTGTGTGCACTGGCAAATAAGTGGACACATATGCTTGTGACATGTGACATAGCATGTTCAATGTGCTTTTGGTTTTTTTTATGGATGCCATCTCTCTCTGTGTGAAGCAACTTCAAGAGAGGCACACAACCAGCCTTTTATAAACGGTACTGTTTCTCCCTCATTCTAGAACATTACAGCACAATGAATGCTGTCTCAGAATTCCATCAAAACACAGGTACATGCCACGTTTAACATTTTGAACAGGTAGTCCAAGTTAATTGCTCTGTGCCTAGAGGGACTGGTTTGACTGTACAAACAAACCAAACAGTGGCTTGGAGTAGCAATGTTTTTAGGCGCACTAAAGAAGCAGCATGCAATCCATGAGGCTCTGCAGGGCCCATTGTAATGACACCAAGACCGCTGAAGTGAAACTTTCAGATTGTGTGGTAGAGCTGATTGGGGGCCTCAGTTGTTTTGGCCAGCCCTGCTTATGTAACCAGATGCAAGCATGTTCAAGGTTCCTACACCTTGAGAAGTTCCTGTAGGAAAATTGTGTGCGTGTGAAGGAGGGCAAATGTATCCCCAGACAAGTAGCTCCTTCCATTCCTCTGCCCCCCTCCATTGCTGGAACCCTGTGTTACTTGAAAGAATTACACTGCTTTTTCTTAATTATCACCTATTTCTCTAAGCAATTTTCAGTGGGCTTACTTCTGTCTGTCAGGGATAGATAAAACTGGAGTACAGAAGAGAATTTAAAATTTCAACAGACTCAATAGAACTTCCAAGAAAATATGTGTAGGATGGGAGTGTTCATGTGAGATATGCCTTTATTTTTCTTTTAGACATTTACAAGTGGGACAAAGCTTTTGAAAATACAAATTAAAGATAAAGCAAAACAAAACAGATGTGAAAGGTAAGTTAACATAACATAACAGGCTGCACCACTGGTCAATATTTACATTGCGATGTGTCTTCTGAGCTACAACTGCTTCTGCAGTCGAGAGTAAACGACTCAACAATTCTTTATGATTACGGACTAAATTTCTATCCACAAACATATTGAACATCATGAATGCTGGAGATGATATATCCATTGACCAGAAATCGCACAAATCTCTTAGCATACCAACTCCCAAAACACTTGTACCTGGGGACAATCCATCACACCGTGTGTGTGTGTGTGTGTGCGCGCGCATAATTTGTATACTGCCCTTCATCTGCAGATCCCAGGGGTATTTCACGATATAAAAATACAAGATAAAAAAAACAAGAAGTTCGTTAAGTTTCTTGGCGATTTGGACCCCTAAATACTGAAAAATGGTGCGCACTTACTTGTAAGGTAGGCATGCCCAGAATTGAGATAGAGATTAAGTGCACCCAGCAGCGGTTTCTGACATTGCAGCTGCGAGACAAGAAGTCCTTCCCCGGGGGAGTTTCCCTTCGGGGCTGACTTTCGAAGCCATATAGGGCAAGAGAAGGTCCCAAGCTGAACCTGTGGCTTAGCAGCGCGAAACCTTTAGGGGCGCCATTGCAGACGCCGAGAGAAATGCTGAGGAGCAGTTCTCAAAAGTGCGGAGTTGTTTTCTGGTGGTGAAAGAAGTTTGGAAACGGAGGCAGGAAAGAGGACAAAGCAGACGTGGCTGTCTGTCTTCTGAAACTCAGCCGGGCCTCATCTTGTCTGTCGCTCCCAACCTTCAGGGAACTAACCGACTTTCGTGACTGAAACGACAGCCTTCCTCCCCCGCGTCACTTTCTCCCTCAGCCCTACTTCACTTCACCAAGTTCTTAATAACGTACTATTATCGTGACGCAAGTATAAATTACAATAAATGTCAGCGGCAGTTCACGGCGTCGTGTTATAATCAAGGCTAGCGTGGTTAACATAAAGGTGCTTCCCTTGAAGTAAGCAGCCACGGCGTTTGAGCGGGGAGAGAGAAACGCGCACAAAGAGGGAGGGCAAAGCTCATATTCGAGAACCTCAATTCTAACTCCCCCCGCACCCCGCACCCCGCCTCCTCCTCCAGACGCGGCTGCTAATCTGCTTCCGTGACGTCGCCGCCCACGGCAGCCAATGAGCTTGTGCTAAGGGGGACCTGGTACCGGCGGGAGGGGCGGGAGCTCCTCCTCCTTCTCCTTCTCTTCTTCTAGCTGAGAAGCAGCAGCAGCAGCCGCCTCGACCGAGCAGCGGATTGCTGGCAGAGGCGTCTGGAGGGGTCGGACGTAGCAGGCCGAGGAGAGGCGACGGGGCTGGGTCCGCGGAAGAGCCATGGGGAACACCGTGGCTCGGGAGGATTTCGAGTGGGTTTATACGGACCAGCCGCACGCAGACCGGCGCAAGGAGATCCTAAGTAAGTGCGCACTTTCGCTGCCGCTCCTCTTTTGGTCTCGTCTTCCTCTCTCCCCCCTTTTCCGCTGCGATGCCTTTTTTGGGCGAAGGCGCTCGAGTCCTCCTTCTGCCCGTTCCTTGACTCCCGAGGAGGCCGGGCGTGGCAGGCAGACGCCTCCCGGTCTTGCTCCCGGCCCCCGCCCTTGGCGCCCCGCACCGACGCCTCTTGTCTTCGGCGGAGGAAGCCCCGACTTTCGCTTTCTCGGCGGAATTCCCCACCCGGCCGACGGCGCTCCCTCCTTTGGGTCTTGGGTGATGGGGAGAGGAGATCCCAGGGTTGGAGGGGAGCGAGCTGCCAACATCTGGAGAGACGCAGTGCGTCACATCCGAAGGCCGGGGCCGGCCACCCGCTACAGCACGTTGCTGCTTTCCTTTCCCTTGTGCCCCCGCACGCCGCTTTTTCTCTTTTCAATTTCGAAATCTGCCTGCGCATAATATGCGGGGAGGTGGTTCAAAGCGACCTTGGTTAACTGAGGACTTCGCCATGCCCAGCTGGTGCTTGGTGGCAGCCAAACAGGCTTTGAAATGGTTTTCGCAGGGTGCAGTGCTTTTGCCAACATGAAGTCTGATGGGATCTTTAGATAAAAAGAGGTACAGTGGTGCCTCGGATTAATACGCTTCAGGTTACAGACTCCGCTAACCCAGAAATAGTACCTGAGGCTAAGAACTTTGCTTCAGGATGAGAACAGAAATCGTGCAGCGGCGGTGCAGCGGCAGCAGGAGGCCCCATTAGCTAAAGTGGTGCTTCAGGTTAAGAACAGTTTCAGGTTAAGAACGGAGCTCCGGAACGAATTAAGTACTTAACCCGAGGTACCACTGTATATAAATCGAAATAAATGCTGATGATGGTGGTTTTCAAATTTCCTACCGGCAGAGGACACTCCCAGTCTCTCCATCCTTGATTCTTACTTTTGGAATTCTCATCTGTTTCCTGTTTCCAGGGAACATTCTAAGGTGGACTTTTGATGTGTAGGACTAGATATTGCCATGGCAAATGTGGTAGTAACTTGGAACGTCCAAACATTCTGTGGGTTGTGAGAGAAGATAAAAGAAAGGGAGAAGTTGTTCTTCATACCCTGCTGTTAGTGCTGCCCTCAGTGATGTGCTCCAAGTGTACCCTGGACAAAATGACTAAAATATACCCCCACGCTGAAGGGTGTGGAAAGGACAACATCTTCTTTTACTGTATAATAGAGTGTGGGTTTAATTCCTTGGTCAGCTACTAGCTTTTCAGTAGGCTGTCTCTATGAAGGAATGGATGGCTGTAGTCTGGTTTGCAGGCACAATTTAAAATGGTCTGCCAACAGGTTGCAAGAGGGGTCACTTTACTTTTGCCACTGGCATTCTGTAGCTGGATTTAGCCAAGTGAGTGAAGTTGCTCAACCATCTCAGTTTCTTGGTGGAGGGAAAGTGAGGTAGACCGTGTTGCTGTATTTGGAAACTCAGGTTTTAGGTTGATCGTAGAGGTTTCTTTCACATGCCAAGGTGTTTGATACTCTTGGTTAGCAAATGAGAAGGTAGGAGACTGGGGTGGCCCTGAGCATTATTAAACAGCATGCTTCTAGCCCTTTTGGTTCCTGAGAAGCATCAGTAGGAGACAACGATCAAATTATACACTAAAAATGCCATTCACAAGTACACATGTCTCTTTCTATTTCCTTTGTCTCGAAAAAAAATCAGACTCCTGGTGTACAAACCTATTATGCAACTGTATATGCAAATATAAACTTCAACTTATTTTAGTAGCAGGGCAGTCCAATTTTTCATACCAAGAAGGAGTACTTTGACATGGAACCAGTGGGCCGTTCACTGCCTTGGTTTGCAGGGGTATCCTCACACTGCATTCCCAAAGCTGGCTAAGGGAGGCACTGGGCTTTGGGAAGGAGGTACAAGGCTCTGGCAGGGTCCTAGAGCCCACCTAGGTAAAGGGTAAAGGGACCCCTGACCATTAGGTCCAGTCGTGGCTGACTCTGGGGTTGCGGCGCTCATCTCGCTTTATTGGCCGAGGGAGCCGGCGTACAGCTTCCGGGTCATGTGGCCAGCATGACTAAGCCGCTTCTGGCGAACTAGAGCAGCGCATGGAAACGCCGTTTACCTTCCCGCTGGAGCGGTACCTATTTATCTACTTGCACTTTGACGTGCTTTCGAACTGCTAGGTGGGCAGGAGCAGAAACCGAGCAACGGGAGCTCACCCTGTCGTGGGGATTCAAAGTCCTAGGCTCTGTGGTTTAACCCACAGCGCCTCCCGCGTCCCTATGACAAATGTCCCTATAAGAGCCCACCTACCTCTTTCCAAAAGGTTAAAAAGTGCTAACTAGGCTTTGGAAAGGAGGTGGGACAGGAGGGCTCAAGGACCCTGCAAGAGCCCTTATGTCTCCTTCCCAAAGCCCTGCACCTTGCTTACCTTGTTTTGGGAAAGTGGGGGGTGGGGAGAGAGGAAAATGTTGCTGAGGGCTGCCATAAAAGCCACTTTGGACCATCCAGTTCTGCTATGTGAATTCGTCTTCTACAGAATCAATATTTTTTTCTTGTGCAGAATAGAGAGCCTCTGGGTTGCTTGTATCACTTGAAGACCCTCTGTTAGACACAGAGGGTGGCTTCAACTACATTTTACCCACAGTGGACCTATCAAAATTAATGAACACAACTAAGCTAGGTCCATCAACTTCAATGGGTCTACTATTCAGGAAACTTAGTTTGAGTGCCACCTAGAGTGTGGAATTTAAGTTGGTGCTGAGGAGATTGCTCTTGTTAGTGTAAGCCTCTTTTTTGCTTGCATGATGAAACAATCTCCCTACTCCTCCCTCTGTGTGTTGTTCTGTGGGCTCTCCTGAATCCCCCTCCCCAAACAGTTTGGAGGGAGGAGAGAAAAGCCTTCCTATGCTAGTGGGAGTTGTTGACCTGACTCCTGCCACAGCAACTGATGACTTCAACATACTCATAAAGTCCACTCCCAATAACTTCATGTAGATGCTAAATAGTATTGGGGACAAAATACTGACACAACTGCTTGTGGTGGACACACATATAATCCCCTAATGCCATTCTCTGAATCCTGCTCTGTAATGAGTGGAGCCAATGTGGAATTGTGCCCCAGCTCATCAAGATGATCCAAGAGTACAACATGGTCAGTTGTATCAAAAGCCACTGAGAGATCAACAGGGTTGCACTCCCCCTGTCCATCTCCTCTGTCAGGGCAACTAAGGCTGATTCCATCCCCAAACTAGGCCTGAACCATTATGGCAGTGATGCTGTTGTTGTGCCTGTACTTCATTCATGTGGTTTTTACAGTAGACTGCAGAGTTGTACTAAAGCATCCTGTATGTATTCAAACTTTAACATGTATAGAATCCAATTATAAGACTCAATTGTGGTATGATCTTCAAAGAGTATTTGTCTATTGACAGCAGTTATTGAAACTTTCTCTTTTTCCCCTAACAGGTAAACATCCAGAAATAAAAACTTTGATGAAACCAGACTACAACTTGATCTGGATAGCTACACTGATGGTGCTTGCACAGCTAGTTGCTCTTTACCTAGTTAAAGATTTGGAGTGGAAATGGGTTATATTTTGGTCATATGTGTTTGGCAGTTGTCTTGATCATTCCATGACTTTGGCTATTCATGAGATTGCCCACAACAGTGCCTTTGGCAATTGTAAACCTCTGTGGAACCGATGGCTTGGAATGTTTGCCAATCTCGCACTTGGCATCCCATACTCTGTATCCTTCAAGAGATATCACATGGATCACCATCGTTATCTTGGCGGTGAAGGAGTTGATGTGGACATTCCTCTTCCCATTGAAGGATGGTTTTTCTGTACCCGTTTTCGAAAATTCTTTTGGATTATTCTCCAGCCCCTATTCTATGCTATTCGGCCTCTTTTTATTAATCCCAAACCAATCTCTCGACTTGAAATAATGAATTTGTCAATTCAATTTCTCTTTGATGTTATGGTATACTATGTCTTTGGAGTAAAATCACTTGTCTACCTGATAACAGCAGCTCTGCTTGGGCTAGGCTTGCACCCTATTTCAGGACACTTCATAGCCGAACATTACATGTTTTTAAAGGGATATGAAACATATTCCTACTACGGTCCGCTTAATAAACTTACGTTCAACGTTGGCTACCATAATGAACACCATGACTTCCCTAATGTTCCTGGAAAAAACCTTCCACTGGTGAGTACATTATAGTGTCCATTTACAACTAGTTACTTTCCTGGAGTTAAGCAACTCCATTTTAAATGAATGGATTGCTGGTATTCCACCACAGTGTGGTGATTTGCTGATGTAGGTTGGCAAATATATTAAGGCTGTAAATGTTGATTAAAGTGGTTTATCTTGATCCAAAGCATATTTTCAGACCAGTATTTAGAATCACAGCAATAGGCTAAACACAATACCTTATGTCAACTAGAATATCATATTACTTCAGACCAATGATATATATTCAGCTACTAATACATTTACGGAGGTTGTTTAGCTGCAGAAATGTGGTCGTTGCTTCTAATGCTTAAAGCTCAGACACAGCTGGATAGATTATTAATGTTGACTCCTCTGCACAGCCCCAAAGCTGACCTTGAAACATAACCTGTTACTTCTACAAAATGGCCTTAGTGTTTGTTTAACCTGATCCTCTTCAAAGGAAAGATACTTTTTGTACCTGCTATCCGACTAGCAAGCTATGCAGTGAATGAATGTTGGATATTGCATGTATGACCAGCGCACTAAAGCTGCATTCTGTCTGTGCAGGTTTTTTTAAAGTATTTTTTTAAAACCCCTCCTATTTTGGGTATATTAGTCATTTTCAGTAGAGAGTTGTTTGTCTTTGTTGTGCTTTAGGGATAAAAAGCACTGTCAAGTGATTGGCTCAAGAGTGGAAAACTGCTGGCCCCCTGCATTTGTGAGGTTGCAATTTCCATTCTGCCTCTGCAGGCATGACCAGTGACTAGGGATGATGGGAACTGTAGTAACATCTGGAAGGCCACTGGAAGTTGTAGTAACATCTGGAAGGCTCCCAATCCCTGCTTTAGATCTTTTAAAGTTGTAGAGGAATGTTTATTTTAAATTCACAATATTGTTTTTATCTAATTTATGTTGATATATCATTTATGTTCCTAAGTGGTGTACATAAAAACAAGCCATAGAAAATGGGGCAATGAAAGAATACAAGGTATCATAAAACCTAATACTACAGTAAATGTGTGAAGGAACAAGGAAGTCTTGGTTGTGGGCTGGCAGTTCAGCAGGAAAGACTACCTGACTAATCTCAGTTGGCATGGAGTTCCACAGCTTTGCACCCATCATGCTGAATTCATGGCTCCAGTAGTTACTAGTTGTACATCTGAGCTACAAGGGACCTCCAACAGGGACTTCTCCAAAGATTGCAGAGGTCAAGCAAGGATATAAGGGATCAGGCAGTGTAGTTCTGTGGGTAGACTCATGTGCTTGGTATGTTAAAATGAGGTGGGGTTACTGCTTCTAAAACTGGCTATTTAATGTCCAGCTGCCAAAACTTTTTTCTAAATAACATTGGGTTTTTTTAATTGCAGCTGAAGAAAATGGCCCCTGAATACTATGATCATCTGCCACAGTATAACTCCTGGGCAAAAGTGCTTTATGATTTTGTGATGGATGACACTATCAGCCCTTATTCACGCATGAAAAGGCATTTAAAAGGTGAAGTGAAATTGGAGTGAAAAAAACATTCCTCTGCCGCCTCCAAGGACATAGACTCATGGAAGCTGGTACAAAGTTTTCGTTTGATCAGGATGTATTTGCTTTGTATCTTAACCTAGTCTGGACTATGAATATATATGGATTACAATCTAGAACAAGATCTCTGAATTAAATATTGCTGGAAATAGAACATTCCAAGCTATTTGCTTTATTTTGTATAATTAAAGTTTAAAATATAACTTGCTGTATGCACAATGCTAGTATTAATGTTACATAACGTGTTTCAGTTGCTACTCACTCGAACATTGGATTGTTCTTCAGGCCATTCATGTACCAGTGGTGTATCTTGGTTATTTTGTACTTGCTGCCACAACTTTGGCTCTTCAATGTTTTGCTGACAAAACATTAATTTCCAAATTAAATTGCAGAATTGTTTTAGTTAGTGTAGATGCTGGAAAAAATGGCTGGCTGCAACTCCTTCTAAATTGAGGTATGTCTTGGTCAATCCAAGTGCTAACCTAACTGATGGATTTACAATTGCTGCTATAAAGTATATATCCATTAAATCATGCTAGTGTTCATGTAGCTTCAAAATAGACAGGTATATGAATACCAACTTTTGACTGCCTATGCCCTACATTTCATTAAGGTAAATTATCATTTCCTGCAGCAGGCCCATTTCCTTGAGTATAGCTCTGCATTCCTTCTTTTCTGCATCTGTACAAAAGAGCTATGCCCTGCCTTCAAACTGATGCTTCTTTGCAAACAGACTAGATCTCCTGAAGTTTAGAAACAGAATAGTAGAGCCTACGTGTGTTGTGGTAACCATCTTGTGCTCTCTTAGCTGGGCAAGAGCTGGAGTGTTGGTTGTTGACAGCAGGTAGCAAGTTTATAAAAGGTATAAAACATTGACTGAGAATGCAAGTACCTCCTACAAAGGAGTATATGAAAGCTGTTTTTTTTTAAAAACCAAACTCTTGGGCACTTGAATAAAGATGATATTAGTGAAGTTTAACGAATGTGTGGAATGTTCTTGAGGAAAGCAAATTCTATCTGCTTCCTTATCTCTGGGAAGCAGAGGATTTTCTCGTGATTATGCAATGTTTTTAAAGCTATGTCAATGATATAGGCAGCACATTTATACAACTTAATTAATGCCTTACACCTACAGATCCTTGCAGCGATAAATTTGGTGCACTGCAGTGAGGATCTTTTCATTGTCAAAGTCATTCATTACTGGTGGATTAAAGTACAGATTTTGCGGGGGCTTGGTTTGAGTCTTGCTTCAGCTTTCACCCAAGATTACCTAGCCTCCCTTTGTTTTAGTCATACTTGTAAAACCTGCAAGGTTAGGAACGTGCAATTTTTTTAAGCAAACATGCAAGCTTCTTCAAAACTATCCCCACAGAGGAAACAGCTATTTTCCCTTTAGTTGTCACTATTTCTCTTTAGTTTGGCACATTTCCCAGAAAAAGGAAGCAAGCCAGTAAACCTGTGGCTCATTTGTGCTTCAGACTGCAAACGAGCTCCTCGCTGCTCCCCCAGTCCCCAGATTCCTACACATAGAAAACTAGAATGGCAGAGAGAGAGATCCAGGCCAGAATGTTACTCTTGCTTTTGTTGGAATAATATGAATCCTCATCTGGAGTCTAAAGAGGTACAGTCTAAACTAGGTTACTGCCTCTTCTGCTGTTAATGTGAGAACAGTTGTTTCAGTCATAATGTACAATGGAAATCTAAAGCAGTTAACAGATGTCAACCCACTGATCTAATGGGACTCCTGTTTTCCCAACTATCAACTTCATCAAGCGCCTACTCTTGTCGCCTACCAGAGAAACATAATGCTGTACCTTCCAGATTGTACTACAAGCTGCAGTTGCAACTGGCCGTTCCTCATCTGCAGCAGCAGTTGAAAGTCGTCTGGATTAAAGAGGAAGTTGGAGCTTGTGATGTATTTCAAGCAGAAACTGAATTTCAACAGTATGCCTGGATACAATCTGCACATGTGACTTGTTTTAGAGAAACGCATGCTGGCTCTTAATAACCACAGCATCCTTTTCTAAGTGCCCACAGACCAACTGCTTAATTATCTGTTCTAGGACTTTTCCTGGTATCAAAAGTCAACCTGACCAGTCAGTTGCTGTTATATAAATTTAATTAGTTAATAACAACAACAACAATATTACCCATCCACAGGGCAGTTTACTATATAAAGTTGTTGGACTTGAAACAATTTGCTTGGGTCCTCCCCATGAGTCTCATTCCACCTAGTTTCAGCAATGCCTGTTACATCATATTTGCCACCCTGCATTAAGAATACAGGTTAATCTTGTTCAGATTAATCCCATGCTCTACGAGTTGTTATAATAATAATAATAATAATAATAATAATAATAATAATAATAATAATTTTTATTTATACCCTGCCTTCCCCAGCCAAGGCCGGGCTCAGGGCGGCTGACAAGCAATAATAAAAACAAGTTGAATGAATACAACTTAAAAACAAGATTAAAATACAACATTAAAATATTGAAACATTAAAATATTAAAATGTAGCCTCATCGCAGGAGGAGAAAGGAAAAAGAAAAAAGAAAAAGGGGGAGGGAATCAAATTGGCTCCAAGCCAAAGGCCAGGCGGAACAACTCTGTCTTACAGGCCCTGCGGAAAGAAATCAGATCCTGCAGGGCCTTGGTCTCATGAGGCAGAGTGTTCCACCAGGCCGGAGCCAGTGTTGAAAAGGCCCTGGCTCTGGTTGAAGCTAATCTAACTTCCTTAGGGCTCGGGACCACTAGGGTGTTGCTATTTATGAACCTTGAGGCTCTCCGTGAGGCATACCGGGAGAGGCAGTCCCGTAGGTACGAGGGTCCTAGGCTGTGAAGGGCTTTAAAGGTCAAAACCAGCACCTTAAATCTGACCCTGTACTCCACCGGGAGCCAGTGCAGATGGAAAAACACTGGGTGAATATGCTCCCATGGCAGAAACCCCGTGAGGAGCCTCGCTGCAGCATTCTGCACCCGCTGGAGTTTCTGGGACAGCTTCAAGGGCAGCGTAGAGCGAATTACAGTAGTCAAGCCTGGAGGTGACCCTTGCATGGATCACTGTGGCCAGGTTGGGGCGGGAAAGGTAAGGGGCCAACTGCTTGATGCGGCGCCTTGGCTGTTGCTGTAACCTGCGCCTCCATGGAAAGGGAGGCGTCAAGGATTACACCCAAACTCTAAACGGAAGGCAATGGCACTAATTGGGTCCCCGCAAGAGAAGGGAGTTGGTCCCTCATCCCCATGCCATCCCGACCCAGCCATAGGATCTCTGTCTTCGAAGGATTTAGTTTCAATCGGCTCCCATGAAACCATCCAGCCACAGCTTCCAAGCATCTGGTCAGTGTGTCCGGGGCTGAGTCGGTGTGGCCATCCATCAGCAGATAGAGCTGAGTGTCATCAGCATATTGGTGACAGCCCAGCCCAAAGCTCCGGACGATCTGGGCAAGGGGGCGCATAAAGATGTTAAAAAGCATCGGGGAGAGGATTGCGCCCTGCGGCACTCCACACACCAAGGAGTGGCGCGACAACATCTCCCTCCCTAGTGCCACCCTCTGTCCCCGACCAGAGATAAAAGAGCACAGCCATTTACGGGCTATGCCCTGTATCCCCACATCGGCGAGGTGGTGGTCCAGAAGATCATGATCGACCATGTCAAAGGCTGCTGACAAATCTAAAAGGATCAGCAGTCCTGACCCGCCTTGATCCAGTTGTCTACGGAGATCATCTGTTAGGGCAACCAGAGCTGTCTCAGTCCCGAAACCAGGATGGAACCCAGACTGAAATGGATCTAAAGCCAATGTTTCCTCCGGAAACCTACCAAGCTGTTCAGCAACCGCTCTCTCAATCACCCTTACCCAGATATGGAAGATTTGAAACTGGGCGGCAATTGGATAGGTCTAAGGGATCTAGTGATGTTTTCTTTAAGAGCGGGCACACCACTGCTTCCTTCATAGAATCATAGAGTCATAGAGTTGGAAGAGACCACAAGGGCCATTGAGTCCAACCCCCTGCCAAGCAGGAAACACCATCAGAGCACTCCTGACATATGGTTGTCAAGCCTCTGCTTAAAGACCTCCAAAGAAGGAGACTCCACCACACTCCTTGGCAGCAAATTCCACTGTCGAACAGCTCTTACTGTCAGGAAGTTCTTCCTAATGTTTAGGTGGAATCTTCTTTCTTGTAGTTTGGATCCATTGCTCCGTGTCCGCTTCTCTGGAGCAGCAGAAAACAACCTTTCTCCCTCCTCTATGTGACATCCTTTTATATATTTGAACATGGCTATCATATCACCCCTTAACCTCCTCTTCTCCAGGCTAAACATGCCCAGCTCCCTTAGCCGTTCCTCATAAGGCATCGTTTCCAGGCCTTTGACCATTTTGGTTGCCCTCCTCTGGACACGTTCCAGTTTGTCAGTGTCCTTCTTGAACTGTGGTGCCTCTGAAACTCAGCCAGGCCTCTTGTCATGTGCTCCCACTTTTCTGACTGAACCAGCACCCTCTCTCTGTGCTTCTTCAACCCTACGTCGCCGTTAAAAAATAATATTACTAATTACAATTTGTACAGTATCATGTTAATGACAATTCATGGTATGGCATAATTGTGAATACTGCTGGGCACAAGATATAGGTCATACTATTATGTTGGAAGACTGGGAAAGGTTGTGGAAAACCGATTTAAAATTTACAGATTGTTATTTGCTGAAAGAAAATTACATGAAAATGATGTATAGATGGTATATAACACCAGTGCAGATAGGAAGGATGTATAAAACTGCTTCAAATATATGCTGGAAATGCAAGGAAAAAGAAGGGCCTTTTTACCCTATGTGGTGGGACTGTAGTAAGATTAAAAAAATTTGGGAAATGATATACAACGAGCTGAAGAAAATGTTCCAATTAACATTTGTAAAAAAAACTGAAGGATTTTTGTTAGGGATTGTAGGAAAAGACCTGCCAAGGAAATTCAAAAATATATTTATGTATGCGACAACGGCAAGAGTCTTAATAGCACAAGGATGGAAGAATGAGGAAATCCCGACTAAAGAATTGTGGCAAGAGAAACTGATGGACTAAGTGGAATTGGCGAAATTGACACACAAATTACATGATAAGGACAACTGTGATTTTAAAGAAGTATGGGAACCTTTTACAAAGTACTTAAAGAAACAACAAAATGAACTGGACTCCTTGGCAGGTTTTGAATAAACATACACAAATTTTTTATTGGTAACATATTGATAGATTAATTAAGGATTTTTACAACTTTATAATATGCAGAGAATAACATTTGCTGAGAAACCAGAGAGGGGAGCTGAGGGAAGTCTGGGGGGGGGGGAGAGGGGGTTTTCTTTTTTGGGGGAGGGGGAGGGGGAAATGGGGAAATGAGGATGATGTATTTTTTATAAAATGTTATGTTGAAATTCTTAATAAATTTTTTTTAAAAAATTGTGAATACTGCTAACGTAATTTAACACCTAATAATTGAAAAGACACCTAATAGTCACGGAAGGGAGGAGGTGGGGGATTTGGATTCATATATGCTTTGTGGGATAATGGTGTTTTGTTTTGAATATAAAACTGTAAAAAATAATAAAAACTGTAAGAAAAGACACCTAATATTATGCAGCTCAAAAATGTCAACTCTTTCGAAATGAAGCCACCCCAACATTTTTTGCCGGGGAGGCAGAAAAATGATAGGCAAGGCGACGAGGGCAAGAAGCGGGTACATCTTAAAACTCCCATTGCCTCCAGGCAGGGCCGCTAATAGGCTTCTGTGGCGTCACCGTTGCTTGTAGCCAATGGTTTTTGGGACGTGGGGTCGGTGGGCGGGAAACCATCCTCCCCTACCTGGCGAGCAGCGGCGGGCGCGAGTGTGTGGAAACGGCGCCGCCGGCGAGGAAAGAGCCATGGGCAACGCTGTGGCTCGAGAGGATTTCGAGTGGGTTTATACGGACCAGCCGCACGCGGAACGGCGCAAGGAGATCCTGAGTAAGCGCGCGCCTTCAGGCCCTCCCCGCTCCCCTTTGGGGGTCTCGCCCCACACGATGCCTCGGCTGGCGAAGGCGCTCTCGAGTCCCCTTCTCTCTCCGACCATAAGCTCTGCCAGTGTACCCTGGACAAAATGGCTGAAGTAACATCCCCTCCCTGCTTTTACTGTGTCATACGGCGGGGCTCTTAGTAAGAGTGCCAACTTGAATAAAATATTTTTTTTTGTGGGGGGGGGGGGGGAGAGGCCCGCCCACATAGGGCCATAGCTGTTAACGTTTCCCTTTTTTTAAGGGGAATTCCCTTATTCCGAATAGGATTCCTCGCAAGAAAAGGAAAAAGTTGACAGCTATGCATAGGACACACTATTTGAATGGCAGTGTCCATCAACAACTTCTTCTTCTATTTCATATCTATATCGTTTTATATTTTTAAGAAAATATAAAAAATAAGAAAAATCTCAAAGCGGTTTGATTAAAACATCAATAAAACAATCTGAGGAAAGTCAAATATAGAGTCAAATATAGAGTATACAGCCAAAGCAACATAATTAACGGAAAACTAAAATATTATCTTAAAGATTTCAAAATAAAACATTACAAAGGAGGTCAACTTGCTCAAGACTGGATTGCTTTCTGCTCTTTTCCAAAACTTGATGTAGCTTATGAACAAACTGCTACTCAGTGGACCCGCTGCATATTTTCTCTCACACACATAATCTGTGACAAAGTCCAAACTGGTACACTTGTCCTTTGCTGAAAGCTTAACCAGTTACAGAACAGTGGTGCTTGTGCACTCTCCAAATCTTAAAAGGATCACAAAGTTCTTGGAAGAGAGCCAGCCCATCCAAAATTTTCGGACCATTGTTTGTAATTTGGGTCAGTAACAGGGCTATAAAAAAAAAGCAAAAACCTACAGCTGTCTAGAAAGTTTATGCTGTCTTCTGTGAACTGGGAATATTTTACTGCCCATTCAAGAAACAGCCTCTCTTTCTGGACAGATCAGACAAAACTGGAGTGTAGCAAGAGACAGGAAATTACTAGCAGTGAGCAGACTAAGTGTGGTTTTCCTACTTTTAACCTAAAAGTCACAGAATCACAGAATTGCAGAGTTGGTGTTTAACTACAGAATACATATTTAACACAAACTAAGTTAACAAAAAACATTTCAAAAAAAACCAACCATTGCTAAGTGAAGTCAAATATAAAATTTACATTTAAAACAGCATAATTAACAAGAGAATAAAATATAAGCATGACACGGCTATTTGGCAGGCACAGAAAGATGGAGCAAAAGAATCCAATAGTTAGGGTTTGTTGTCAACTTGGGGGGACAGACTCTCAAATATTTTATTGGGGTGAGGGCAAAAGGACCTCTTAGCCCCTAGGAGTTGGCTCCTATGGCTCTTAGTTCCTTGGTCAGCAACTAGCTTTCCAGTAGGATCTCTCTGAAGCGAGGTTCGGGTGTAGGCTGGTGTGTTGGGCACACTTCAAAATGGTGTGCCAACAAGCTGCCACAGGTGTAGTATCATAGACTCATAGGATTGGAGAGTTAGAAGGGGTCGCCAAGGATAATCTAGCCCAAGCCCCTGCAATGCAAGGTGTCATTTTATCTTATGAGTGACAGAAATTGGCTGAGTGGTTGAAGTTGCCCAGCCACCACCAGTTTCTTGGTGAAGTGGAAGTGTGGGGAAACCCTGTAGCTGTATTTGGAAGCTCAGCTTTCAAGTTGATCCTAGAGGCATCTTTTTTTCACATGCTAAGACATTTGATGCTCATAGTGAGCAGGTGAGGTGCTAGAAGAGTGGAGTGGCCCTGAGCTTTTAGTTAACAGCATGCTTCTAGTCCTTGTGGCTGCTGAGAAGCATCCGTAGGAGACAAAGATCAAGTTTTATGCTGACAATTGCCATTCCCAATTACACATGTTTTTTTTCCATTTTATCTGTCTCGAAATAAATTCAGAAACCTGATGTACAAACCCAATAAGCAACTGAGTATACAAACTCGGTTTATTCTATCCAGCATCTTGATTTTATTTTTCTAGCACCGGATAGAGAATCTCTAGGTTACCTGCATCACAGTATACTTCTTGCTAGACATAGGGTGGTAGTCAACTACTTTTTACTAAGAGTGGACCTATTAACGAACATGACTAAGGTCCATTAATTTCAATGGGTCTATTCTTCATGAAATTTGGATCCCCCCCATGGGCGGAATTCAGAGTAGCACTAAGGAGATTGTTCTGTTAGTTCCATCAGGCAAGCAAAATGTGCTGTCTCCCCTTTCTTCCTCCTGTGGTTCTTCTGACCCCCAGAGCCAATTTGGGGGAGGCAAATGGGTAGGAGAGGGAGGAGAGCCTTATAGCATTAGTAGGACTTGTTACTGGCTCACACTACTGCAACAGCTTAATTGAATCTGCCCAGAGAAAAGTTAAGAATTGAATGACCTCAAACTATATTAAAGCAGATCACCTTGGGATTGGCACGGTTTTCTGTGTCTGCTTAGTCAACCATGCTGACTTTCATGTAAAAGTTAGGTCTGTGAGAAGTCTGCATATCTGATGCCATATTTGTTCATGTTCTTAGTCAAAGGCAACTTGCTGGAAATGAAGCTTAGTGAAATCATGGGAATAGATAGCATGGATTTCAGTGCTACTACTCTTGATCTGAATTATTAAAATCTCAATGGACAGGAGTAAATAATTTTATCGCAAAGTCATGTTAGTGGAAATTGCCCACACACTGTTCCAGTCACCACTGGCAGCATAAGGCCCAAAACAGTTCACTGCTACAAATGATAAGGCCTCAGTAATACAGTTCTGGATATTGATCTATACATACAGTTTGCAGGCTTTGCAGATACAAGTAAGAAGTATTTCTGCTGCTCCAGCCATTTAAGTCATAACACAGACTCTGACTCACAGACTCATGACTGACTAATAAGCTTACATGCCTTAATCATTTATATAGACAGCGCTACGCCATTGCCATTGCCATAGCCATAGCAACTGGCTTGTCTGACCATGCACATCTTGGCTTATGAGGTGATTTATGCCCATGAAGGAAATTAACCCTTTCTTCCATGTTCAGTTCCTCCAATAAGTCACATCTTGGTTACAGTCCCAAAACTATATTTTAAAAATACCTATTATTGCATATAGTTCCTTAGTGAAGTAGATGTCAACATGTAACTTAACTGACTGCGTATTTACTGCCTTCTGGATCTGTCTAAAAAGAGCCTCACACAGATCATGTGACTGTAATCCAGTTATGAGTGGTGATCAAGCTGTCCTTTTCCAGGAAAGGGCATAATTAGTGTAACTTCTTCGTGTCATGGAGGCTACCTGAGTCTCCACTGACAGATGAATCTAAGAACATCCCAAACTATCTACCTCTTCTCTCAGAGGGTGTGCAATTCTCTCCAGAATTGGTAATTTCTCAAGATCCCATACCTGGAAGGAACTCACCCACAAATTCAATTTCAGTTGGTTTGTCACTCAGCCCACCACCGTCCAGAAATATCAAAACCTCTTCTGATTTGGTTGCAACTGAGAAATAGAACTGCATGTCATCAGAATACTCTTAATGACCACTCCCAATAGCTTAATGTAGATCTTAAATAGTACTGGGGACAAAAGTTGTCCTGTGACACAACGGCTTGTGGCGGACACACCTATAATCTCCTAATGCCATTCTCTGAATCCTGCTCTGTAATGAGTGGAACCAATGTGGAATTGTGCCCCAGCTCATCAAGATGATCCAAGAGAACAACATCGTATCAAACAATCGTATCAAAAGTCACTGCAAGATCAACAGGGTTGCAGTCCCCTTGTCTATCTTCCAAATACGGACCTCTGTCAGGGCAACTAAGGCTGATTCCATCCCCTAACTTAGCCTGAACCATTATGGCATTGATGCTGTTGTTGTGCCTGTACTTCATTTATGTGGTTTTTACATTAGACTGCAGAGTTGTACTAAAGCATCCTGTATGTATTCAAACTTTTAACATATATATAGGCTTGTATATAAAGTAGAATCCAAAAGATTGTGGCATGATCTTCAAAGAGCATTGTCTATTGACAGCAGTTATTTGAAACTTTATCTCTCTTTTTCTCCCAACAGGAAAACACCCAGAAATAAAAACTTTGATGAAACCAGACTACAACTTGATCTGGATAGTTACACTGATGGTGCTTGCACAGCTAGTTGCTATTTACCTAGTTAAAGATTTGGAGTGGAAATGGGTTATATTTTGGTCATATGTGTTTGGCAGTTGTCTTGATCATTCTATGACTCTGGCTATTCATGAGATTGCCCACAACAGTGCCTTTGGCAATTGTAAACCTCTGTGGAACCGATGGCTTGGAATGTTTGCCAATCTCGTATTTGGCATCCCATACTCTGTATCCTTCAAGAGATATCACATGGATCACCATCGTTATCTTGGCGGTGAAGGAATTGATGTGGACATTCCTCTTCCCATTGAAGGATGGTTTTTCTGTACTCGTTTTCGAAAGTTCCTTTGGGTTATTTTTCAGCACTTCCTCTTTGTTATTCGGCCTCTTTTTATTAATCCCAAACCAATCTCTCAACTTGAAATAATGAATTTGTCAATTCAATTTCTCTTTGATGTTATGGTATACTATGTCTTTGGAGTAAAAGCACTTGTCTACCTGTTAACAGGAGCTCTGCTTGGTTTAGGCTTGCACCCTATTTCAGGACACTTCATAGCTGAACATTACATGTTTTTAAAAGGACATGAAACATATTCCTACTACGGTCCGCTTAATAAGCTTACGTTCAATGTTGGCTACCATAATGAACACCATGACTTCCCTAATGTTCCTGGGAAAAATCTTCCACTGGTGAGTACATTATAGTGTCCAACTAGCTACTTTGCTGGATTGATATTATTCTATTTCTGTGCCGTTATTTGCTGATGTAGGTGGGGATATATATTAAGACTACACTCTATGTCTGCAAATTTTAAATTTGCTCCTATGTGGGGTAAACTAGTTGTTTTCCTTGCTAATTGCCACAATTCAGTCCTGGGTTGCCATTGTTTTTTGTAGACTTCTGCAAGAAAGTTGCCTTCAATTCAATAGAGCTTCATCCTTGTGGAGCTTTAGGGATCTACTGTTATTTATACCCTACCCATCTGGCTGGGTTTCCCCAGCCACTCTGGGCGGCTTATAGTATATACAGGGTGAGTCTTTTAAAAGAGGCCCCGTGGAACATGTGCACTCTGTATCCACGGGGCCTCTTTTAAAGGACTCACCCTGTAGAAAAACATACTAAAACATCAGACATTAAAAAGGTAGCAATTGTAGCTCATGCACATACCAATTAGCATTGCTTCATTTCTGTAGAGAGTGTTTTCCATTCCACATTGTTCAAGAGGCATTCCTGACCAATGTGCAAGTGAACAGCTTCTAAAACACATTATAAAACATTAACTAGCTATGCCAGCGGAGTATGACAATGTTCCAGAGATCCTGTTCTAGATTGTACTCAGACCTGAAGAGGCTTTTAGGGTGTGTGGAGGAGTGGGTAAAAAATCTGCATCCCATGAGCTTACCTTGGGACCTAAGCCATTGTTTCTAGAAAACAGGGTTAGTGGCTGTCAGTGCCCTGTTCCTCCTCAGAGGCAGCATCCTTTGTGTGCCTGTTGTCTGATTAGGAAGTTGCATACTGAGTGAATGCTGGGCATTTACTTGTGTGACCGGCAGATTTCCCAATACAGGTGATATGTCCCCTAGATGTTGGAGTGCAATTCATATCTGCCTCAGCAAGCATGGCCAATGATTAGGGATGATGGAAGTTGCAGTAACATCCAGAAGGCCACAGGATCCCAATCCCTAATTTAGACCTTTTAAAGTTCAAGAGGAATAATCATTTTACAATTCAAAATATTGTGTTTATTTTACTTTAAAACACTTATATACCGCTTAAGTATTTGCATTTCTAAACAGTGCAATTAAAAACAATCCACAGAAAATGGAACAATAATCTCAGTTGGGGTGTAATTCCCAGGCTTGGGCCCACTACACTAAATGCATGGCTAATAACAGGGGCTGTGCATCTGAGCCATGGGTAAGCATCGAAGATTTCAGTGATCAGGCCAGGATATAAGGGAGCAGATGGTGTAGTTCTGTGCGTAGACATGCATACAATTAGTTCCTAATTCTGAGATGAGATTACTCACCACAACACTGGCTATTTAATATTCTGCTGACAAACTTTAATTTCTTTCTTTCTTTTATTATAGCTGAAGAAAATGGCCTCTGAATACTACGATCATCTGCCACAGTATAACTCCTGGGCAAAAGTGCTTTATGACTTTGTGATGGATGACACTATTAGCCCCTATTCGCGAGTGAAAAGGCATTTAAAAGGTGAAGTGATACTGGAGTGAAAAAAGCCCCACTTCCGTAAACACCAAAGACAGCCTAGTAGCTGATAGAAGGTTTTGTTTGATCAAGATGAATTTGCTTTGTATTTGAACCTGGTTTGAACTATGAATACATGAGTGCAATCTAGAACAGGATCTCTAGAACTAAACATTCTCATGTTCTTTTGCCATATAACTATGTTTCATGATGTGTTTTAGTAGCTGTTGACTTGAACATTGGTTTGTTCTTGTAAGCATTTTATCTTACATGCAGTATATGTACTTGTTCAGTTTTTTACACTTGCTGCCCAAGACACTAGCTTTTGCTGACAAACCTTCCAAATTAACTTCTTTTAATACGCCAGAATTGTTTTAATTAGTGTAGTAGCTGACCAAAATGGCTGGCTACAACTCCTCCTAGATTGAGTTGTCTTGGCCAATCCAAGTGCTAACCTAATTGATGGATTTACAACTGTTGCTGTAAAGTATGTACCCAGTGAATAAGGCTAGTGTTTCTGTAATTTCAAAACACATGGATACGATTACCATGGATCTGATCTCCTGCAGCAGGCCCATTTCTCAGAAAACAGATCTGCATTCCCCTTTTTATGCATCTGTACATAAGAGCTATGCCCTGCCATCAAACAGATGCTTCTTTGGAAACAGACTAGATCTCCTGAAGTTTAGAAACAGAATAGTAGAGCCTACATGTGTCCCGGTAACCATCTTGTGCTCTCTTAGCTGGGGCAAGAGCTGGAGTGTCAGTTGTTGACAGAAGGTAGCAAGTTTATAAAAGGTATAGAACATTGACTGTTTGAATGTTAAATACCTCCTACAAAGGAATACAATAAAGTTGTTGTTCAAAAACCATTCTTGGACACTTGAATAAAGATGTTATTAATGAAGTTTACTTAACAAATGTGTGCAATGTTCTTGAGATCAAGGTTGAAATAATAAAGTAGGCATCATAATTCATTTTGGCCCCAAGACTTTAATGTGGCAGTCTTTTTGGTATTGTTTTGTAAATCTGCTCTTGAATAATTGCTAATAAAGGCCTAGTGTCAATAAGGTTTCTCAATGAATGTGGGAAAGGAGACCTTAAGCCCACATCCTTCTACTTTAAGATCACACCTTCAAACAGAAACTAGATTAGCAAGATGTGCTGTCAAAAATTAAAAGATAAACCATTATTTTAGGCTACTGTCCATGCTTGCTTTTGGTTAGCAGAGTATTGAGAGGCTCATGAGATTATTTTAAAATAAGGCAATTTAAAATGGCAAGAGAAGACCCATTCAAATTTTAAATATGGTCCTCTGTTAGCTGATCTCAATCAAGGAAGCAGGTTAACCACATCCTCATGTTGCACAAGCTGAAAATTATCCATCAAAACAGGACCATATGGCATACTGTTTCTATGGAACTGGAATGGAATAATTGCCTTTTAAAATTGTATTATTTTGTATTGTATCAGTGTGGCTCATATTGGATTATTAATGATTATTATTAATTTTAAAAATGGTTTTTAAAAAAAATATCCAGGAGCTCCACAAGTAAGATTTCATCGCTACATGAAGACTACCAATGGGCTTTTATATGTTCAGTCACATTGACCTTGTCAATTCATTGATACCCACTCCTCCAAGTACTAAGCGACTGACAATGGCTCTGACAATGTGCCAAATCCTTAGGAGCTGTTGTGGGGCCAGCTTGGCTCCCTGCCTCATTCCAGACAATAACAAGAGCTCCAGCAGGATTGCCAGCCAGTCCTGCAGGAAATTCCCCAAACACCATCTGGAATTCAGATTTCGTCCGCTTTTGAGGAGAGTATTGAATCAGGCCCTTTACTCTTACAGGTTAAATTTATAATCTGTCCATGACAAGTGTCACATATGGCTTCCACACCCAAATCACTATTTCAAAATGGAAGATGTGGCCTAAAGCCCAATGTGTACCCCAATACATGTGCTGGCCAAGATAAAATCAGAGAGACGTCCTTGGTTGGCTTGGAGGCCATAAACTGCTGAGCCACAGCAGACAAGACTACCATGGCATGCATGTTTTGTCACTGAGAACAACCCACTTTAGAGTCCTCAGTCCACAGCTGTGATTGCCTCTATAAATTCGGGCAGGGAGAATTGCTTACCGGGTGGATGGTAAGCCAATAGAATCCTATTCCCATCCTGGCATCCCAAACCAAGATACATACACTAGAACACAACCACTTGGATACCTGGTCAGGGGGAATCAAATCCCTAAAGTGTGGGGAACCATTGGCTCTCCACTGGCCACACCCTTTCCACTTCCTCTTCCAGTTCTATGTGCTTTCCAGGGTCCACATGGGCAGAAGCAAATGAGAAGGTAGTAAAGAGAGGAAACTGATTTGGAAGGTTGCATTGAGGGGTGGAAGCAACTGAGGAGGGAGACAGAGAAAGAACATGCAGGACCAAAGGTATTTTCCAGGAAATAAATACAATCTCTAAACAAATTATTCAACAAACTCAACACCTGGCCCTAATGATAACTGATGGTGCACTAAAAACACCAATACTTAAGGAATTCATAACATTCCTGCTAATAACAGCTAGCATTATACTAGAAACTGGAAGGGTGCGAGGACAAATAACGTTGGGAAGTATGGAATATAGCAATCATGAAAAAACGTAAGCATAAAGTTAAAGCAACGCAGAAGGGAGCAGTTTTTATGAAATGTGCTTTATTATGTACACAAATACATTGGAATATGGATGCATTCCTTAACACCCAGTAATCTATGGAAATACATCCTAAGCTGAACACTGAACCTCTTTGAGGAACACATTACAGATGGCTGTTTCTCTGTAATACAAGCTCTGTATTATTTATTCTCAAGTTACTTTTTTTGTTTTACTGCTTTGCTGATGCTTGAAAACATGCATTTTTAAAAAATCCAATCATATCTGACTTTCACACCAGACCACATGGAAAAGCAAAGTCTGTGTGCTTTCTATGTGTGGGAAGCAGAGGATTCTGCAATAATAAAGCCATGTTCTTAGGACACCCATGCAGCTGATTAATGGTTGCTATCTAAAAGTCCTTGTACACTGCTGTGAGGGTCTCCTTTGCATTGTCTGGATTGGTCATGGGTGGATCAAATGACAGATCCTACAGGCGCTTGGCTTTAGTCTTGCTTCTTCAGCCCACTGCACCCAATTTTTTCTAATATTCCCTTGTTTTAAGTCATACACATAAAACTAGTATGGGAAAGAATGTGGTATTTTTAAAGCAAACAAGCAGACTTCTTTAAATAATGTGAAGCTTCCCCACAGAGAAAAAGCTGTTTTTCCTTAAGTTTTCAATGTAGGTTTAAGGATATTTTTCTGCTAGCGAAAGCATTTCTGCTTGCCCAACAGCACAATTTCCCCTCTCCTCAGCTGGGCCCTGCTGCCCACTTTTTTTTGGAAGGGCGTAGTAGGTGGCAGAGTAACTACCCTCATGGTAACATTACTCCTATTACCTGCCTGGCTGTTTTCCTGTCTGTGGGGTAAGACGGGGATAGGGAACTTGTGCCCACCCTGCAGCCCAATGCCGGATTGCAACTCCCATCATCCTTGGAAATTGGCCATGCTCTCTGGGGCTGATGGAAACTACAGTCCCAACATCTAGAGCATCACAGGTCCCCCATCCCTGCTATCTGGGCTAGGCTTGATGCGGTAGGGTGACTTGTTATTGCTTCTTTGTGTATTAACCGGTTCAGTTTACAGGCAGGACACTAACAAGATTAATCAAATGTCTCATAGCGGAAAGAAAAATTTAACATCTGAAGAGTGATGGGGAGAAGCCCATGACAGCTGACAGCATATTTTTAAAACAACATTTACATCTTGCACTTTCTTCCATCACAGAATCCATGGCATATATGGGGGTTCTGACCAGATCCAGGGTTGCTTAGTTTCAGCCAGATGGCCACATCATGTATCTTCTGGCCATATCCTGGAGACCAGTTTGAAAGGTTGTGGCCAAATGTTAATTACTATACAATGTGATAGAACTTCTCTCAGAAACGGAGTCCAGCAATGTTGAAGCAAGCAAAACCAAGGTTAAGTCCAAGCCATGAAGATGCTTCTGGAAAATAGTCCACTGGGAGAGCTCCTCAGGTTAAGCAACATGTTGGGTATTAGGGATGATCCAGCTATCACCTGCTCAGTGACTTGCGCAGCTCTTCATACATTATTTGGTCCTAAGGATGCCGGTGAAGGGAGGAAAAACAGAAACAAACTCATTCAGTAAGGCTTTTTAGCCGACTGTACCATAAGGAAAACTTTTACCTAGTGGCAAAGATTGTGTTTCAACATTTACAAAAGAAACCTAGGGAAAGGCAAAGTGGCTAATTTACTGGCTTTTTAAAGATCCCAGCCGCTGAGGAGGCAGTGTCCAGAGCCTTCCTTCTCCATGTGCCAGTAAGATTCCCTCCCACTAACACCAAGGCAGATGCATGGTTTTCCCCCAGATCAGACTTGTTTGGACAAGAGTGAAGGGGAAATTGGTTGCCTCATATTCCTTTGCACAATCCTTAGCATTCTGTGCCACTCCCAGCTTAAGTCACCAGCTGGCCTAGAGCACCTCTCACCTTTCTCGATACAGAAGATTTAACTTTCTTGAAAGCTGCTTCGAAGTGTTTTCTGGCAATCTTGATTTCTCCTGCGAACAATACAGTACAACAGGAGAAGGTTAACATGCTTCCACAGTATACATAATGAACTGTAATGAAATGAAACTTAAGGCTATAAACAAAATAAGTTTTGGGAAGAGGATAATGAAAGCATCAAACGCCCTTAACAATGAAGATTGCCCAGAGATTGAGCTTCCCACTACTTGCCTTCTAGGCACTTCCAAGCTCAAATGGATAAAAAGGCTCCTAAGTTTCCTACTCTCAACAGTAGAAAGAGATTGCGCAATTTTTTATAAACAAAGGGCTGGATTCAACTACCCTGCTCCTCTGACGGGAGCCAGAATAAGGGCTCCTGCTAGCACAATGGGATTCTTTCCCTTCCCCCCATGGCTCCCCCAGATTGACTCTGGAGGGTCTGGAGAACCCCCAGAAAAGCATTCAGGGGGAGGAGGGGGAGACTGTCCCACCAGGTGAGGAGAAATGCTTGCCCAAAGGAACAATCTCCTTAGTGCACCCAAAAATCTGACATCATTTTTACGGTTCTTCGTGGAATTTGGATATAAAATTGACAGCATGTTATGGTTGAAGAGAAAATTATATGAAAATGATGTATTGTTGGTATCTAACACCAAGTAAATTGGCCCATCCAGGTCTTCTTTAGAAATAGGTTTTTAAAATGAAGAATGGTCCAACTCCAGTATTCTGCTAACAGGAAGAACAGTTTTTTAAACCTACTGCCTTGAAACGTTTATGTAACTAACTAATGGTCTACATCTCCGGAGCCATGCATCCAGCCACAAACTCTGTGTACGTTGCTGTATGCAAGGATTTTCTCTGAACTGTCAACTTCACGGGCTACAGGGAGATCAAAGCACAAATTTGGAAGGTACAACAGAACAAGCTCCATGACTAGTAGAACATTCCAAACTAACACAAATTAGTTGTAACTGGCTGTTCCTCATCAAACTCTGGCAAATCACAAAGGGAAGCGATGACTCGTAAAATAGTCCAAAAACATGCAATAATTCATTTTATTTGTTTCAGCTCCCAGCATAACATCTGACATATTTGCATCAGCACTGAAGGACTTCATTCTACATTTACGGGCAAGCACCAATCAGAAATAAGGAAAAAAATCCCTCCCACCTGCTTCCTGATAGTTCACTAAACTAATCTAAATGGTAGTTTTAAAGTTTTGAAGATTGCCAGTTTAAAAATCTTGAATCTGCTTAAATATTCTAAAGCAACCTTAACCTGAAATCTTTATATTATTTTGAGAGGAAACTCCTGGTGTAAACAAAGCATTTAGGTGAGAGCAACAGCTGCCATTGATTCTTGGCTTCTCTACAAAGTCAGTGAACAAAGGCTGCAATGATATTGCTGTGATGTGTCTCACAGTCTCATTTCACAAAGCCTCTAACCACATGCAGAGGAAAGGGTGGAGAATATTCGCTGCTCGATCGTACACTGCCACTTGAAATAATTGTTACAGCTGCTTGTGTGTGAAGCAGCCTTTCTGTATGGACAAGGATAGAGCCACATGGCTCGAGTTGCTCTCCCAGCTAGCCCCTTCAGCATAGTTGGTCAGTCAGTCTAGATGGGAATCCCAAAAGAGTCGGCATGTAGAGGTTATCCCAGATTCAGAGTTCTATATTATCACTCCCTCTCATAACAGTAAACACAGTGACAGTAATGGAGCCGCCAAAAGGGGAGAGCTTCTTTGTGAGACAAGGGTTAAAATCTACCGTTCTCTTTCTCTTTTGGTTACATTATTTTATTTAGTTTGTCTTGTATTGTATTGTATGATGAAAAGTTTCAAAAAGAAATTATGTCCCCAAAAAAGAAGAAAGAAAATCTTTCAACTTGCTCTCTCTTCAAGTTATTCTGTTTAATATCCTCTTCCTTACCTTTCCTGTCTGTGGCATTCAGCACTGCCATCTCCTCTTTCAGGGCACAGACAGAGGCCTCCCGCACTAGAGCTGAAAGATCTGCTCCCCTATAAAAACAAACAACAAAAAGCCAATGAGTCATTTTAGGGCGCATTTTTTATCCCAAAGGAGAGTTGTAACAGCAGAAGCGGAACGAATATGGGCATTAAAATGTCACTGAACAGACATTTAAATAAAATTATTTCCATTCAGCAAGGTGTGCCGGTTAGTCTGAGATGTGCTCTTTTTATATATTTTGGGGGCAAACTGGGATTAACATGTGTTAATTTAGATTCTGTAAGCATATGCTGCAAGCCTCCTTGACACATTTTACAGAAGTACACTTGCTTTCAAAATAAACGTAAACTAGGCACAGAGGTTTTTGCTATGCAGAACCTAATGCATTTCAGTGTCATAAACAGGAAGATTCAAAGAAATCTGGAACATTAGGCAGATGTGTTAATGGAGATAAAAAGGCAAGAAGATGAGGATTTGGAGTGATGTGTTTATTTTCTACTACTGATAAGGCGGTATCATAGAAGGACCAACACTACCTACAAGTGGCAATGGAAGATAAAAAAGAGAAATTTACTTACGTATAACTATCACAGCAGGGATTATGAGCAATTTCTTCAAGGTCCACATCAGTGTCAAGCGGGGGTCGGGTTCCATCCTATAAAAGGTGACAACCGGGGAAATGTTTAGAGACATAGGGCATCAACTGCAACCACCCACGGAGCAATCGTTTCATCCTACAGCAGGGATGGGGTACATTTTTCAGCCCAAGGACTGCATTATTCCATTCTGGGGACAGGGTTGGATACGGCAGGTGGTTGGTGGGGGCAGGATGAACAGTGCAGAGAGAAATGAATGTGAATTTTGTGTTTGTACGGTAGGCCAGTCTCAACACACAATCCCATGCTCCTCCACCCAGGCAAGAAAGAGGCATGATCACACCTGGGGAAAAACACAAGGAGGATGCAAATCAGGACTGGCAAAGGGTGTGGCCTGGCAAGATCCCCAACAGCCAAATGGAGAAACCAAACTGTCAAGGAGGGAGTGGCTTTCCAAAGTCCTCCCTCCAAGCTACTAATCAGTCACACAAACTATTCAGTAAGCTTCTCAGGAACACCCATGGCTGGCTTGGGGCACTCACAGTTTCTTAACCCGGGTTTCTTGATTCGATGCCAGCAAGATGTTGTTATTTGCCACCAGGGCTTTATGAGGTTCTTAAATTACTCACTGTCCTCAAGGATTTAAAATACTTTTAAAGAAGAAATAAACAACAGGAAAAACACTGAATCAAAAGCCTCACAAACAAGTTAACAAGTCTATAATGTTGTTTTAAAAAATACAACCACTAGTACCAAACGGCATGACTAAAGAGAGAACTATGTGAAACATTGCTTGGTTGTTTCCACATAAAACACAGAAAGCATGGGATTTTATTCAGCAGTGTTTTTCTGCTGATGGAAGGCACTTTGACCCAGTGGAGGCCACCATCAAGCTGTGTAACAGGGAGGAAGGCAAGTTTTGCAAATCCTTCATCCTCTTCAGACCCTGAATCCAGGGGGGTGGGGGTGGGACACTTGTGGAACAATGTGGCATGTGGTTCTAGAGTGGGTAGTATGAACTGGGAAAAAAGATTGTCTCCCTTCCCACTGAAGGAAGCGTCTGCTGCATCAAAGAGCCCTCTGTCAACATGCATGACATATCTAAATTTGCAGACATAAAGGACACTGGCTTAGGCAACAGCTAAAAATCCTAACAGCACTGGGAAGAATACAATCACCAGACTTTCAATAAGGAAGAAAAAATTTGGCAGTCCACAAACAAGTTCTACCAGCCAGGCACCAACTACTTATATACTTATGCATCAGAAAGGCAGCTTGAGAAATTGTTTGGAAAATTGCCTGCCTGGGAAACGTTTTTCAGTGACTAAATTTCAAGCCTGCATTTAGATATGTAGGAACAAGCCAAAACACGCTTTATTCCATTTACAGCAAGACAAGCATTGTCTTCTTCCAATCTTGTACAGAACCAGCTTTGTATGCAGTTTTGCTAATTTCCTTAACACAACTTGAGCTAAAGAGCAGCACCCACATTCATTAACCCAATCCCTTCACTTTTTTCCAGGAAAACATTTCATTAATCTCTACCAGTCTAAGTAGCTTTAAAAAACACCATTCTGTACTCAGATACAGAACGCACAAAACACACTCATTGTGTCAGCTCTGAAAGCGACAAATATGTGCACATTGTGTTTAAACAAATTCAGTTACTTGCAAAGTGGTGTTTAATCATTTTTCACTTACGACTTGAGAACATTTTGAACAGAAAAGCAATTAATAGGGTTGCTAGCACAACACATAATGTTCTTGCACACAAGTACAAATTGCATCGGAGATTTGTTTTCTTCAAGTTTCCACAGAAGAAGTGATCAAAGGAGTCCAGATCACAAACTGTTGAGATAATATGGCCACATGAAGTAATTTGCTCCATTTGGACATGCTATGAAAACTCAAGCTTAACCATTAGTAGCTGTGAAATCCACTGAATTCAGTCTCTCAGGGTTATTATGAGGATAAAATCGAGAGCAGAACCATGTGGAAGGTCAGCGGTTCGAATCCCCGCGATGGGGTGAGCTCCCGTTGCTCGGTCCCTGCTCCTGCCAACCTAGCAGTTCAAAAGCATGTCAAAGTGCAAGTAGATAAAATAGGTACCGCTCCGGCAGGAAGGTAAACGGTGTTTCTGTGCGCTGCTCTGGTTTCGCCAGAAGCGGCTTAGTCATACTGGCCACGTGACCCGGAAAAACTGTCTGCGGACAAACGTCAGCTCCCTCGGCCAGTAAAGTGAGATGAGTCGTTCGCGACTCGACCTAACTGTCAGGGGTCCTTTACCTTTACCTTTTTAATCCACAATTTACTACAGTGGTACCTCTAGATATGAACGGGATCCATTCCGGAGCCCCGTTCGCATCTAGAAGCAAACATAACTAGTGATGGCACGTCTGCGCACACGCACGTCGCTTTTTGCTGCTTCTGTGTATGCACGTGACGTCATTTTGAGCGTCTGCGCATGCGGCGAAACCTGGAAGTAACGTGCTCCGTTACTTCCCAGTTGCTGCGGAGCGCAACTCAAACGCGCTCAGTTCAAAGCGTATTCAACCTGAGGTATGACTGTACTTGAAAGTACTCCAAAAGACAGTATTTACTGGAGTCCTTTAGCCTCGCATTCTTAGACATCAGCATGTGATGCAAGACAGCAGATCAAACATTTCATTTCACATTAGCTAATTGAATTTAAATAAATTTCAAATGGTGATGTTCTTCACCTCTCTCCAAGTTTTAGCAACAAGGGCAAGGTGTTCCATTTATACCTGACAGCGCTATACTGCCATTTTTCCCAGGAGTTATTTCATCATCTTTTAACCCCATCTTTCCACCACCAATTTTATCTACCCAGCAACCTTGTAAAGCAGGTTAGGCTGAAAGAGTTTCAGAGCTAAACAGGGCTAAATCCTTCAGCGGAAGTTTGTGGGGGAAAACTGGGATGATGTTTCCCAGCAGGAGGCGCATCCTTCCATGTCAACATACATAACTTTTCTACATAATTATCTATAAAAGGATTTGCCTACTGCCCCCTCATAAAATATCAGGGTGGTGTACAGCAATATAAAAACCATTAAAATGATTAAAAACAGCACAAAAAATAATAATTAAAAGGACCGTCTAATCCAGAACATTATGTTATGCATTCAGTTTACGTTTAACTATTCTGAGTAAGGTAAAGCTCTAGGGAAAATTACTTTAAACACACACACACACACACACACACACATATACACAGACACAGACACACACACACACACACACACACACACACTTACTTTAGTAATAGTCTTTAGAATGGCAAGGCGATCCAAAGGCGGTGGCAAACCGACGTAGAGTGTTTTATCCAGTCTTCCGGGGCGCAAAATAGCTGGATCTAGAATATCTGATAGAGAAACGGTAAAATCCTATTTAGACTCTGGATTCAAAACTGGAAGCACACAAGGAAGACACACCCAGAAGGCAGACCACAGGAAGCTTTTGAGAACAGAAAACGACATTTCTCAAAGTGCCTTCTCTCCAGAAAGAAGGAATGCCATCATTTACCACAACTACATAGCTCTTCTTTACTGCGAAATTATGGGTTTATGCACATATTATGTTGATTACCCAGAAGCAAGTGGTGTGTTTATTTTAGGTAGCTGGCACAGTTAACTCTAAAAAAAAGGACTCTAGATTAGTAGCAGACATCTGATGACTCAGCATCCTGAAGTCAAAAGAAGGACACAGGTGCTTCGGGAACACATCCGCAGCCTAGGCAGCCCTGTGGGAGGTCCCGCAGGGATGTCTAGGCTGCGGATAGCAGCCTGCTTCCCGGAGCGCCGGGGGCCCTGAAAGCAGAGTGCCCGGGGCTTCGGGAACACATCCGCAGCCTAGGCAGCCCTGTGGGAGGTCCCCGCAGGGTTCCCCATGCTGCAGATAGCAGCCTGCCGCCCGGTGGGCGGGGCGCCCTGAAGCAGAGCGCCCCTCGCACCAGGCAGACATCCGCAGCGTGGGGAGCCTTTATTTCCCCCCAAAAAACCTAGGTGCGTCCTATGGGACGGAGCGTCCTATGGGACGAAAAATACGGTAAGTAGAGGCACCAAAATTCAAATGCACACAGTGTGTTGCTTCTCAAATCCCTAAAATAACTGCTGCTTTACACACACAATTTCCCTGTGATTGTGTGTATAAACCACATACATTATTCTTATTTATTCTTATTCTTATTTATTGAATCTATATACTGCCCTATACATGGAGGTCTCAGAGCAGCTCACAGAACAAGATCAACATAAAAATCACAATATATATATATATATATATATATATATATATATATATATAATCAAAATAAAAACAACAACCCAATTAACATATGTCGTACTTAAGCTGCTGATTTCAGACACGTGTACATGTGGCAGAACAGACACCCACACAAGGCTCCTAAGGTGGAGCTACAACTGTTTTAACCATTCTTACCTGGCCTGTTGGTGGCTGCCATGATGAAAACCTGACGACGAGATTCCAGGCCATCCATCTCTGTTAGCAACTGGTTCACTACACGGACACTGGCACCCGACTATGCAGTGAATTGAAAAGATGACAAAAAGATGTTAAAAAGAAACTGATTGATGCTGACAGCGCATCTTAGCAGACTCACACTGCTGACCAGCTGAGAGGAACTGAGATAGTCACAGTGTCATAAAGGGGTGGCTCCACCCTTCTGTCAAACTTGGAAGTGGGGAGGTCCTAAGGATGCAGTCCACCATCCACGTTCTAGGGTCATCCAGCATTTCCATAGCCTTGTTAATATTATTACTAGTACCTGTAACACGTTCTGGGAGCTGTTTCAAGTGAAAGATGGAGTAAAAAATACTAAGCACTAGTTTAAGCTCTTGTTTGTCCAGGTAAACTAATCAATTGCTAGCCCATCCCCTCACAAATGAGCCTTTTTGTTTCTCTTAAATGCAGATTGCTGTTTTTATCTGGTTTACAGTAACTATGGTTAGTTTACACAACAGAGCTTCAAAACCAGTGGGTTAAAGTTAGCCTGCTTTGAGACTGAATGTGCTAAGCAGTTGCAGACCTCAGAATACACAGAGATGGCTGTGGAAGGTACCATGTATGGAATGATTCCTGCCACTTCCCAGAGAAAAAGAGATGGGGTGGTGGTAGATGACTCCTGACTGAGGGGCACAAGGGCAGCAGTTTGTAGAGGTTAAGGGTTGTCCTGGAGGTCTGCTGTCTTCCAGGTGCAAAGAGTCGCAATGTGACAGAGAACCTGGCAAGTCTTATAAACAAGAGCATCTTTGGTTGAGGTCCTCAGGTCGGGATCACACTTTTAGGCCTTCCAGTCACTAACTATGGTGAATATTTTGCATCTTGTGCGAGACCACTGTGCCGGAACTTTGGTTCCCATAGGATTTGCATTGGGATGTTACTTTGGCAAGGAGAAAATAAAGGAAGTTGCTGCTATTTAAAAATTTAACAACTTTAAAGCAGGGGATAAATGAATCAGTGTGCAGGTTAGTTTAGGTGATGTGGCCTGAGGCCTCGACTGTGCCAGAAAGTAATTATGGAGGTTTGAGCAGGTTACTTAATTTCTTTTCTAGGAATAACAGCCAGTTCATAGGATTATTGTGAAAGCAAATAAATCTGACAAAAGACACCTATTTACATATTCCCCCAGTCCTCCAGTGGATCTAAGCTATTGGTGGAAGTGTTTTTAGGCTCACCTCACGGTCTGATCTCCGGGGACACAAAGCATCAACTTCGTCAAAGAATATGACACAAGGCGCTGAATTCCTTGCACGCTGGAAAACCTGACGTACAGCACGTTCGCTTTCCCCCACATACTGGAAAAGGACAGAGGAAGGAGGGGAAATCACTGTAAGATCTTTAAGATAAGTATCATATGCCCAATCATTTGAACAGGCTTGTCAAAAGGACCTGTTCAGATATTGCTTTACCCTCAAGATCAGTATTCTCCAACCAGGTGCCCTCTAGATATTTTGAGCTGTAATTTCCCTCAGCTTCAGTCATCTTAGCCATGCCAGCTACAGTTGATGGAAGTTGCAGTTCAAAACATCTGAAACAGAAGGCTGGGGAAGGACGCTTAAGATTTTAACTTTTGTGAGCTTCAAGCAAGCCCTCTCTAACCAGAGGGCATGCCGAAAGCATCCTCTCACCCTTGGTGTTTATCGGCTTAAGGAGACTATCAGAAGAGATCATAAAGAAAAAAGAGAAAATATATGAACAAGATGTGATGTGGAAACAGCACGATAAGATGGGATAGAATTATGAACTCTGTTTGGACTGATTTGGACTGATTGGGACATTAACGCAGCAGCAAGAAGATGATCAGAATTCCCCTTCGGATCTTGAAATATGGGTCCCCCCAACAAAATTTAAAATTCGGCTTTGTAATTCGGAATTTATGTGATATGATTTAATTTAATTTGATGTGATTGGCCAGTTAATAATTTTTTTTTTTTTTTTAAAAAGAAAGCATCCTCTCACCCTAAACCATTAGAGGTGCATAGAATTAGGCTAGAATTAAACTACCAAATTCAACTTGTCATTTCACTTGCAGGCCAGCAGCTCTAACAGACCACTGTAAAAACGCATTCTAATAGTATGGATTTGGTAAAGTCAATTTGGGCTGAGCATCAAAACATTTCACGTTCCCTGCAAACCCCAGATCAGTGACAACTGAGCACAACAAACAGAACTTACCATATTCAACAGTTCAGGGCCTTTCACGGATATGAAATTCAGTCCAGACTCATTTGCCACAGCCTGGGGAAGAGGCAAGGAAATAAAGAGATGCATATACTAATTTTATCAACATATTTTGCCCTCACTTTGCATCCATGAAGACCCTTCAGGCATCTAACAATACACCAAACATTAAAAACACACAAAAATATAACCCAGGAATACAGGGTGCTCCCTTATACAGAATCAGAACATTTGTCCATCTAGCTCAGTGTTATTAACAATGATGGCAGTGGCTTCCAGGAATCTACCCCAGCCCTATAAGAGGGGAATGTAAGGGGCTGAACCTGGGATCTTCTCCATACAAGCATGTACTCTTGTCATGGAGCCAGAGTCCTTTCCCTGAACTATCATCTCCCTACAAAGAAAATGAGTAACACAATTCAGAAAGAGGCGCAGCAAACCACTTACATGACCGAAAGCTCTGCAGACCGAGCTGGTTAAAAATGGTGTGACCTGGTACAACCAAGTGCCATCCCTGGCTACTTGGCTATGCTGCAGTCCAAAACATCTAGAGGACACCAGGTTAGGGAAAACCAGGTCACATCACTGTATGCGAATGAGGGGGAAATGGGAAGAATGGGGGTTTCCCTTCTAACCATCAGGACCAATATCCTCTGAGACCCCTATCCTCCATGAATTTACTCAATACATGTCAGGGATCGTGCTGAGGAGGGCTGCACTGAGGAGGAATGGAGGGAGCCTCCCCCTGCTCAGGATCCTGAATCTTCCCAGGAGGAGGACAGTATAGATTTGGCTTGCAGAGGGACATAGTTCAGAAGACCGAAGTTGGGAAGAACTGGGTGGTGAACAGCTAGGAGAAGAAGAACTGGGAGAGAGAGAGTTAACAGACTCCCTTTTGCTGGAAAGCATCCATCTGCTCAGTCCAAGATCAAGGAGAGCAGATAAGGCGGCAGCACAGAAAGCACAGTGGCTGCGAGATCAGGCTGCAAGACACAGAAGTGACAAGGGGGGAAGTGGGTGGAATCCTTAATTGGGTGAACACCTTCATTCCTAGAGATCAATTCTTTGTTCTCTCGCTATGATAATTAAAATGTCTAACTGGTAAGACACTCCTCTCGCTTTGTTCTGCTTATCTACTGCCAAAGGGTAGGAGAACGCCAAGTCCCTGAAGCCTGGCAATACCCTTTCCAAGTCACATAAATTAGTGGCCACCAGTGCATCTTGTAGGAGTACCGTATTTTTCGCTCTATAACACGCACCCGACCATAACACGCATGTAGTTTTTAGAGGAGGAAAATCCGTAGGCATGCCACCCATAGGCATTCCCTCCATAACACGCACATACATTTCCCCTTACTTTCTAGGAGGAAAAAAGTGAGTGTTATGGTGCAAAAAATACGGTACTTCACACCACTACTTCGTAGCAATGCCTGGTTGCTTTACACCTGCAGCACAGAAACAAGTGCAAAATGATCTTCAGGAGAGACCCACAAGTCCAAAGCATACTCAAGAGGCCCAAGCTGGTTCGGACACAAGACACACAGTGGAGCTCCAGATGTGAGACACCCATTTAATGTGATTCCATATCCCTTAGTACAAGCTGTTACTATGATTATATCAACGTTACCTTAGCAAGTAGCGTTTTGCCGCAACCAGGAGGGCCAGCAAGCAGCACACCAGCTGGAGCCGAGAGGCCAAGGGCTCTGAATTGCTCAGGATTCCGCACGGGTGCCTGTAACAAGAGTTGTTGGTAGGTGAAAATGGAAGTGCCAGCTATTTATAGAATCATAGAATTGGAAGGGACCGCAAGGGTCATCTAGTCCAACCCCCTGCAATGCAGGAATCTCAGCTGAAGCAACCATGACAGACGGCCATCCAACCTCTGCTTAAAAGCCTCCAAGGAAGGAGAGTCCACAACCTCCCGAGGGAGACACACCTTTGGTACAGATGAAAGATTCTGAAAAGTCTCAACAGGACATCAGGGCTGGGGAACCTCGGACCAATCCTGGTCCACCAGAGTTCCAATTTTCTGAAGCCACGCCCACCTGACAATAAGGTGATATCACCTCAATGGGCAGGTGATGTCAGCTGATGGGCAGGTTCGATATGGCAGAAAGTATGATTGACCCGATCCCCCTGCAGCTCATTAGCTGATTGTCCAGGGGTTCTATCCTGCTTGGTCACTATTTCCCCCCACATTATGACCTCAGATGATTGGCAGGTAGATGGTTCTGCCCAGCTGTCAAAGCTAGCCCATGGGTGTGGGAGAGAAAGATCTGGCCTGCTGGGCCAAAAAGATTCTCCACTCCTGCCCTACATGAAAAAAGAAACGACCTGCTAAAGTTGTCCAAAAGGGCTTAAAGATAACTTGTGCTCACAGCACTTGCTGTCTTCTCAAGCATAGTGACAACTGATAAGAAGCAGTATCGACCAAGGCCTGCAAATGATCGTGCTGTGTCTTCAAAGGAAAGGAATATTGCTTGGAAGGAAGTCTTTGAAAAGTCAACCTCCCACACTTTTGCTGCTGGGCCCCAGCACCATCAAACCAGCGTAAGTCAACACAGCATGCATAACTACTCCTGCACATACAAGCAGCCAACTACCAGGCCACAAACATGCGGCTGCTCCAGAGATGGCATGGTGGAATGCCGAGCAGCAAGGAAGCCCAGATTCAAGTCCTCTGTTGTTGACTCCTTGCGCTCAACCCAAACAACAGCGTAAACTCTGGTATCCTCATTTACATGGCTGGGGGCAGGGGAGAGGCATCGGGGCTCCGACAGTGGAATTTGCTGCCAAGGAGTGTGGTGGAGTCTCCTTCTTTGGAGGTCTTTAAGCAGAGGCTTGACAACCATATGTCAGGAGTGCTCTGATGGTGTTTCCTGCTTGGCAGGGGGTTGGACTCGATGGCCCTTGTGGTCTCTTCCAACTCTATGATTCTATGATTCTATTATTATCTATAAAGAATGCTTGCCAAGATGGCCAAGGCGTAGGTGGAATTAATCAATACTATTATTTGTAATAGTAGTAGTAGCACCATCATCCTCAACATCCCTTTGCCATTAGGTCCCAGGGTAGGTAACAATTTAAAAGACAACATTAAAGGCAGTTTTAAAGAAATATGGTCACAAGGGGGTGGGTCCTAAAAAAAATTCTCTTGGGTCTCAAAGAGGTCTATCTTCAGCATACAACATGTCAAGGACAAGGGGAGGTGGCAGCAAGTGCTGAGGCAACTTGGGTGAAGTAGACTCTGCTCCAGCCCCGTCTAGGCCTTTCTGTCTGCTTTTTAAAAACTTCTTTACCCAGCTATTTAGCTGAAAAAGGCTTCCAGGGTGGCATTCATAAGACAGTCCCTATCCACAGGCTTAAAATCTGCAGAAAAAATATATATATTGCGCAAAAGATTAAATAGGATTATAAAGTGAAGAGGACAAAGATATAAACTCAGACACTAATTTAATAGCAGTCCTTCTAAAAATGATCAGCTGGGATGAAAACAGTCGAGAGAGGAAGAGCCAAATAGAACTTTCTGGAATGGTCCTGCTTCCCAACTCAACTGTAGCCTTTGGAGGCGGCCACTCAATATGAAGGGGGTTTCAAGACTTACATAAAATATATAGCTCTCAAAAGGCCCTCTCTAAGGCAGGGCAGCCTATACAATGGTGCCTCGCAAGACGAAATTAATCCGTTCCGCAAGTCTCTTCGTCTAGCGGTTTTTTCGTCTTGCGAAGCAACCCTATTAGCGGCTTAGCGGCTTAGCGCTATTAGCGGTTTAGCGGCTATTAAAGGCTTAGCGGCTTAGGAAAAGGGGGGGGAAAGGGGAAAAAAATCTCAAGACTCGCAAGACATTTTCGTCTTGCGAAGCAAGCCCATAGGGAAATTTGTCCTGCGAAGCGCATCGAAAAACGGAAAACCCTTTCGTCTAGCGGGTTTTTCGTCTTGCGAGGCATTCGTCTTGTGGGGCACCACTGTACCAATAGTTGACGGAAGCACAACACAAGACACAAACACTCAGATAGATAGGAAGCCTGAATGGGGATATGGAAGGTCTTATAAAAAACACAGTAACCAGGCTATTCCAAAAGAAGAAAATTACCGTATTTTTCGCTCTATAAGACGCACCAGACCACAAGACACACCTAGTTTTTGGAGGAGGAAAACAAGAAAAAAAATATCCTGAATCTCAGAAGCCAGAACAGCAAGAGGGATCGCTGCGCAGTGAAAGCAGCAATCCCTCTTGCTGTTCTGGCTTCTGGGATAGCTGCGCAGCCTGCATTTGCTCCATAAGACGAACACACATTTCCCCTTGCTTTTTAGGAGGGAAAAAGTGAGTCTTTTGGGGCAAAAAATATGGTAAGCTGTCAGTTTTGCTGGGCTTTTTATTAGGAAGAGAAGCAAGCTCCCAGCAGCTACTGGTTCTCTGGTGTGGGGCAACATGGCACTCCCTGGTCCTGAATGGGGTAACTGTGCCCCTGAAGGACCAGGTGCACAGCCTGGGAGTCATTCTGGACTCACAGCTGTCCATGGAGGCGCAGGTAAATTCTGTGTCCAGGGCAGCTGTTTATCAGCTCCATCTGGTACGCAGACTGAGACCCTACCTGCCCGTGGACTGTCTCGCCAGAGTGGTGCATGCTCTAGTTATCTCTCGCTTGCACTACTGCAATGCGCTCTACGTGCGGCTACCTTTGAAGGTGACCCAGAAACTACAACTAATCCAGAATGCGGCAGTTAGACTGGTGACTGGGAGTGGCCGCCGAGACCATATAACACCGGTCTTGAAAGACCTGCACTGGCTCCCAGTACGTTTCTGAGCACAATTCACAAAGTGTTGTGTCAGGTTGGAGGGAGACACAAAGTGTCTGAGCACAAAGTGTTGGTGCTAACCTTTAAAGCCCTAAACGGCCTTGGTCCAGTATATCTGAAGGAGCGTCTCCACCCCCATCGTTCTGCCCAGACACTGAGGTCCAGCACCAAGAGCCTTCTGGCGGTTCCCTCACTGCGAGAAGCCAAGTTACAGGGAACCCGGCACAGGGCCTTCTCGGTAGTGGCACCCGCCCTGTGGAATGCCCTCCCACCAGATGTCAAAGAGAAAAATAACTACCAAACTTTTAGAAGACATCTGAAGGCAGCCCTGTTTAGGGAAGCTTTTAATGTTTAATAGGGTATTGTATTTTAGTGTTTTGTTGGAAGCCGCCCAGAGTGGCTGGTGAAAGCCAGCCAGATGGGCAGGGTATAAATAATGAATTATTATTATTATTATTATTATTATTATTATTATTATTATTATTATTCCTGAGCCTGGCGCCCAATTTGTAAACCATGGGATATAGGGAGCCAGTGTTACACCTACACATCTCAAGCTTAAATTAAAAAAGGACTTGTTTGTTTTTATGCATTACCAACTCAGGGAGTATCTGTATTTCCCTCCATCCAAATCTCTGGTAACAGCTGTCTGCACACTGCAGTTACTCTTTATAGCACTTGTTTCTCCTTTTAAAAAAGGAACAGTTCAGTCCTCAAGAGGACTATACTACAGACAAGCGATGGGGTAACCTGTGGCCTTCCAACTGCTGCAGGACTATGGCTCCTATCTCTCTGACCATTAGCTAGGCCTGGCCAAGACTCATTGGTGCTGGAGTCCGACAGAAAGAATTACTTGGAACTTCAATGTCTCCTTTCTATGTACTGCTTCCTCTTACTGTTTCCTCAAACTACATTCTGACTTGACTGGATAAGGAAGCTGCTGACTACTGTATTTTTCACTCTATAAGACGCACCAGACCATAAGACGCACCTAGTTTTTGGAGGAGGAAAAGAAGAAAAAAAATATTCTGAATCTCAGAAGCCAGAACAGCAAGAGGGATCGCTGCGCAGTGAAAGCAGCGATCCCTCTTGCTGTTCTGGCTTCTGGGATACCTGTGCAGCCTGCATTCGCTCCATAAGATGCACACACATTTCCCCTTACTTTTTAGGAGGAAAAAAGTGAGTCTTATAGAGCAAAAAATACGGTAATTATAATGTCACACTTTAGTCAATAAGCCTCCATTTCCAAGTGAAACCACTACACCATTTCTTGCTCCCGCAAACTTGATAGGCCAAGAATGCAACTCGTTTCCTCTCATATTCTTTCAAGCAAAAAAACCACAAAAATGCCCTGGCAGAATCGCACTGCTTAACCTCCAGAAGCTATTTCAGCCTCACGTGCATTAACAGGACTTTGTAGCAGCGTCCAGCCCCTACCAGTATTGCCATGGTGAGCTCCTCCCGAATATCCTCCAGGGCGCCCACATCCGCCCACGTCACATCGGGGACTGTAACAAAGCCTTCTCTCTTGGCAGAGGGTTGCACCGAAGAGAGCGCAACAATGAAATCATTCAACTCAATGCATAGCTTTTGCAGCTGATCTTCCCCAAGGGGGTCTGGTTCCTTTAGCAACTGGAGTAGCCTCTGCAATTCATCCTAGAGAAGAAAGATCAGGAGCAGCAGGAAATACAAGAACAGGTTAGAGGGAGAATCCCCTAAAGTTTAATCATGTATGGATAAATAACAATGAAGGCAGGAGTTTGATTACAACATGCTTGAAACTGGCCAAAGACTACTGTTACTTTACAGAATCCTTTTGTAGTGAAATATTGCAGGAACAATTGAGTTCAAGACAAGCACAAACTAATTAACTTTAGTAGGCAATTCCCTGTCTTGCATTCCATTAATGTGTTTATGTATTCCAAGAGAAGGCCAGAGATTCATGTTTTACTGGCTTATGAAGGAGACGCCAAGATCTAATCTGCATATTTCTTTTGAGAATTACTTTTTATTCTGCGTAATAAGGAATTCTGGTGGATTTGATCATGGTTTTACTGCATGCGTAGCTACTGCTGTTTTCCCCCCCTTCTTTGGAAGATGCCACGGCCTTTGGCTAGCGCAATAAAAGTTTATGGTTCTGTTTTTGTTTTTCTGCTTATGCATGACCCTTAGAAGCCAAGGCTCTTTTCTAAAAAAAGGAAAAAAATCTCTTTAATTGAACATATTTGCACTGCTCCTTGTACTTTTAGGTTTTGCCATTTATTAATGGTCTTGCCCTTCAATTTAACACATCTTTATTCTTCTAAAAATAAATGTACATAAATTTATTTTTATATTATTGATTACTGCTTAGGTTTTTTAAAAAATCAAGTGGTTCATAAATTCTTCCTAAATAAGTAAATAAAAGAAGTAAACAAGTAAATAAAAGTTTATTCATCATCAACTGATCCCACCAGTCCTGAAAATTGTACACTACAAGGAGAGGGTTAAAGGAGCTTTTTTAAACTATTATAATTACTACATTTTAATCCCACGCTTGTTCCAACAAACTCAGGGAAGTATATCTGGTTCTCCCTCATCATTTTACTGAACATCCAGTCCAAAAATGAGTTTGGAGAACTCAAAAGTTTGCTTGCTACTTTGTGATGTTATAGTTCAGGGCTGTGAAACCTTTGGCCCACCAAACATTCTTGGACTACAACTCCCAGCAACCTTAACCTTTGGCCATGCTGGCTAGGGCTGATGGGAATTGTAGTTCAGCAACATATGGAGGACCACATGCATCTCCTAATAGACCATTCTCAGGCTTTTGCAAAGTTTGCCCCAATGAAGGAAAGACTAATGCATATACCAAATGGGAAATATTAAAAGTTAAGGAAGAGTTCTAGTAGGATACAGGGAAAGGATACAAAGAAAATACATACCATAGTGGGAAGATCTGGCTCTTTGATAACCTGTCTTACAAGCTCTTCAGTATCCTTTTCCATGTCTTGTCCAGATGACCTTTCGTTATTTCTCAGGACTTTGTGCTGCTCCATCTCCAGCTTAACGAGAACTCTATTCACAGTGCACATTGCGGCTTCACGGCACAGTGCCATGAGATCAGCACCAACGTAGCCTGGGGTCAAATGAGCCAAATGACCAAAGTCAAAAGATTCCTGCAATCTAAGTTTTCGACACAATGTCTTCAGAATTCTGGCAAAGGGAAGAAAAAGGAAGAAGTTACTACAGTTTTAGTCTTTACAAAAGAAAGAAAGAAAGAAAGAAAATCATAAGTTATTGAATTATTTGTCCCAGAGCTTATGAAAGGGGCAGAGATATTTATAATTTACTAAACTTTGGTGGATTTCTGCATGATTTGCAGAAGATCCACAGGAATGCTCCATTTTTTCATTGCTTAAACTTTAAACAATACCAGTAACAAAATTAATGTTCTCCCTCCCACTCCAGTGTCCCAAATTAGACTGCTGAATAGATTTTTAGTCTGTTACTCAAAGCAAGTTTCCTGGGCTCAGAGTTTTTTAATTCTATTGTCTTTTGCACCAGGGTGAGTCTCGAGGTCCTAGTAAAAAGTGAAGTAGATCCCACAAGCCCTTAATCTGCTTACTCCTGTAATAGGTGAACCAAAACCAAAGCATCTGAATAGAAAATAAACAAATCTATGAGAAAACATAGCATGAAGGCATCGACTCCTCAAAAAATCCTAAACAAGCCATGCTGTTGGTTTCTATTTCCCTCACTGAGCAGCAAAAGTGCTTGTCACAAGACATTGTTTACATTCCACAGTCAGAGTTACTGTTGGGTTCCCACGGGAATGGGAGACTGGATGTGACGTACACTGGTTTCCTGTTTTTCAGTGTTCTCTCGGTTTCTTTGTGTCAAGAGTTGCTTCTCTGCTCTCACAGAGGCAAGATGTATGTCTGTATGCTCTCAGCATAGCTTGTAAATAAACTTCAGGATGTAGCACATTACCTACTTATCCTTTCGTTGCGTGACTACGCTCTGCTTGGGCTCAAGATAAGACGAGCCTGTATCAGCTCCAGATGGGCAGGAGCTGATCAAAATCTCACACATGCTACTCTTTCCGTATTATTGCTTTATTGGCCAAATGTCTGAATTGGGACGTCTATGCTACAGGGAAAAATCTGACACAGACTTTTTCCTGTACTACAACAGAAGCAGCAGCTATATTTGCTCTTTTTTAGTTAAAAGTTTAAGAGAAACTTTTGGATTCAAGAGCTAGCAAGCCATAAACTGAACATTAAAAAAAAAAAAAAACCTTTAAAAGCAAAGCTCACACACTTCTCTCTGGCTGCTTCACCCGGAATCCCCAAACAAATCTCTCGATCAAATCTTCCTGCACGTCGCAGAGCTGGGTCCAGCGAGTCTGGTCTGTTGGTTGCCCCAATTACTAGGACCTGAGCAGCAGTAGCCAGATTATTCAAGTCTGAAAGATGAAGGAAAACAATAAACTCACAGGGAACTGGCAAAGGAAAGTACTCGTTGCTGTTAGGAAAGCATTATTTGTGCTATATACCCTCAGTACACAACTCAGGTGTGTACCACCAACTTTTACTAGTGATGATGCTACAGGGAATGCTGGGACTGCGCAGCATGTCTGCTATAGCTCTTTGGCAGTGATAATACTGGACTAGGAGAGAAGAACACATAAAACAGGTAAGGAAACTCAGCATGCTAGATCTCCATCAGGATTGGCCTTATAGGCCAAGACTGACAGGGGGCAGGGCCACCTGCCTGTCAATCATCCGATTTGGCATTTAAAAGTCCAAACACCGGGACTTTGAAGCACCTCACGGGCAGTAAGGCATGCATCTCCCAAAAGCAGGTGATGGGCAAGAGATCCAAGCTTGCTCACCTTGCTCCAGGAGCAGAAAGCAGTTTCCATTAAAATGAAATGGGGCTGTGAGACCTTTAGCCGGGATTTCAGTGCAAAACCCTTTCTGATCAGGATTGAACTCCCTGCCAATCAACAGATGCACAGAGAATTCAATCCTGCTTCCTGGCTACACCAGTTGGCTTCTGGGGAACAGGGCCTCAGTGCAAGGTGGCGCGAGAACCACTTCCTTCTGTCCCGTGCCCAAGCTATAAATTTAGAGTCCCACTAGTACTGACACCGACTCGCCTTCTACCAGTTGTCATGTTGCAGTTTTGCTCATGATCTTGCTATGGACAAACATCACTTGCCAAGGCTGGGAAGGAATTTTATGCTCTCCCAGTTGGCTTCACGAAGTAGACCTTTTGCCCTTCCCGTAGCAACAGCATTTGTTGGTTGTTATAGCTTTCTATAATTCATCACAACCGTTTGGACAGGTACTGGAGGCATTGGGCTGGATTTACAACAGAGGTAAAGGGTTGGGGTGGGTCCCAACTCCCTTTTCTCAAGAGTCTTGGGGTGGCAAGTTCAAGGCCCAACCAAGCTTAACAAGTGCTGACCTGCTAGTCACACATCCAAGTTGACGGGAATAGTATCTGCCCATGTTGTGGTGTGTTTTAATTTGCCTTCTATCCCTTGATGTAGTACATGGGCGGAGCAATTGTCTCTGCACTATTGATCTTACAACACCTACTTATCAGAAAGAGTCTTGCAACAGCTTAAAGGTAAAGGTAAAGGGACCCCTGACCATTAGGTCCAGTCGTGGCCGACTCTGGGGTTGCGGCGCTCATCTTGCTTTATTGGCCGAGGAGCCAGCGTACAGCTTCCAGGTCATGTGGCCAGCATGACTAAGCCGCTTCTGGCGAACGAGAACTGCGCACTGAAACGCCGTTTACCTTCCCGCCGGAGCGGTACCCATTTATCTCCTTGCACTTTGACATGCTTTGGAACTGCTAGGTTGGCAGGAGCAGGGACCGAGCAACGGGAGCTCACCCCGTCGCGGGGATTCTAACCGCCAACCTTCTGATTGGCAAGTCCTAGGCTCTGTGGTTTAACCCACAGCGCCACCCGCAACAGCTTAGAGATTAACAAATCTTATTACTGCATACACTTTTGTGGTCTCAGTTGTCAAGAAGATACACAGTTACAATTGGAGCGGGAGAAGAATATAAAGGAGGGAGTTTTGTGACAAATTTAACCAGTTTTTGTGTATGCTAAATGACCCTTCAGAATAGCAACGATAGTGTTAATTAACTCAGAAATGCTGATTGGTGGTAACACCTCTTACTGAGTTGCTCTTTTGAAAGTCATTACCAGGCTAACTAGTCCTTATGCATTCAATTCACTGGATTCTGTACTCAACTGTGCTCTCTGCATAATACTGTGACACACCCAACTGTTGCCTTTTACATTGCTTGACATTGTGGTCTCCTGGCACATTTTTCTATCTATACCAGGTATACAGATGTTGGTATACTTCAGCTCCCAGCATGTCTGATCATGCTGGTTGTGGCTGATTGAATTTAGAGTCCTTCAACATGTGGAAGATTAGAGGTTCAACACTGGACCTATTAGCATGTATAAACACGGTTGTGATCTGAAAAGTATCTAATGCATCTGACAAAGTGAGTTCTGGCCTTTGAAAGCTCCTGCCATGACAGATCAATTAGTCTTTAAGGTGCCACAAGATACACACCCCACTTTTTTGTGCTTTCGGTAAAGATTATCACAAATTACCCCTCTGTAATTTGCTGATTTGGTACTTGGAAATCTGCAGCTGACATGATATTCAGCTGAAATTTCACCTAAAGAGCAAGATCCAATTTAAAAAGCAGGTTTGATAGAGCACTTTTACTAGAATAAAAAAGCCCTGACCATCCATGCAAGTCAGAAGCTGCGCTACAATTCTCCGCTCCATGTCCTTTGAGGCAACTTCTCTCTTGGGTGTGATAGCATCAATTTCATCTATGAAGAGGATGCATGGAGCATTGGCCTAGAAATAATAATGATAAAAAAAAAATCAGCACAAACACAGAAAATGATTAAGTAACTCTTAGCATATTATGATTTTTTTGTTTTATAATTTCAAATAAATACTTGTTGAAAGAACAGCAAGGTACCAACTGTTAAAAGTTAAAACAAAACTTTTCACCCAATTGGATATATATTAGCAAGTGCTCTGTGCTGGAAAGAGGTCTGCATAGGGTATCTACCAAAGGTATAAGCGTAATAAAATTGAACGGGACATACACACATGAAAAGAGAGTCGGGGTGTGACAGAATGAATGAGAGTTATCAAAATAATGTCCCCTTGCACCTTCTGCTTCCCCAACACATTGAGCCACAATTAATAATTGCAGGTGCTTCCTTATTTTAATTTTTACCAAATCCATTCAATAAACAGTTTCCCCCCTGTTGCATGGACTAACAGCAGCACTAATACAAAAATGAAAGATGCAGTATTGGTCAAATCCAATATCCCCCCCCAACCCCCCCCCCCACTGAGTTAATGGATTTGGACTGCACCCTTTTCTGTGTCTATTCATAAGCCATCATTTTATTTCTACTACTACTATATGGAGAAAAAACTACTATTCAAAACCAAAATAGCTTTTCTCCTTTGCAGGAAAATACAGGTTTTAATAAGGAACATGGCGGTGCAATGCTAAACTGGCATATGCACCACTTTTAGAGCTGCTTGACTGTGGATCGAGTCAATAAAAGGAAGTTGATTCCAATTACCAAAACACACCACTATGTTTGGACAATACAAAATGTCCAGCATTAAACTAAAGAGAAAGTGATCTTCAAACTCATAAGCACTGTGTATTGTCTGAATAGTTTCAAAAGAAGTTATTGTGCTGTCAGAGCTAGAATATGACACACATTAAAACAACTTCCTCTAAAACCTTTTGCATAACAGACTATATAAAGAAACAGACACATCCTAATTCAAAGTAGAAAAGAACCTGGAGAAACTAGAATCATAAAGATCTACATGCCTGCTGAATGCAGATCATTTGATTTTGGCAGCAATATTATTAAGCAAATAAGTTTCTTAGAGACCATACTGAACAAAATTTATAGCTGGAAGACAACCATCATGAAATGTTAGAAAAACTACACTTGGCAGCAAAGGCAATATTTGGGTTTTAATTCTAATGCAGAAAAGGTTTTGATTCTATTGAGTGGAGATTTTTAATAGAAGCTATAAAGAGGTTTTTTATATGCCTGTTGTCTTTGTCCATAGAGTTTTCTTGGCAGGGATACTGGAGTGGCTTGCCGGTTCCTCCTCCAGGTGGATCACGTTTGGTCAAAACTCTCCACTATGACCTATCCATCTTGGGTGGCCCTGCACGGCATAGCTCATAGCTTCTCTGAATTATTCAAGCCCCTTCACCACGGCAAGGCAGTGATCCAAGGCAGTGATCTGTATAGTTAAAGCTATGGTTTTCCCAGTAGTGATGTATGGAAGTGAGAGCTGGACCATAAAGAAGGCTGATTGCCAAAGAATTGATGCTTTTGAATTATGGTGCTGGAGGAGACGCTTGAGAGTCCCATGGACTGCAAGAAGATCAGACCTATCCATTCTGAAGGAAATCAGCCCTGAGTGCTCACTGGACAGATCCTGAAGCTGAGGCACCAGCATGAGGCCACCTCATGACAAGAGAAGACTGCCTGGAAAAGACCCTGATGTTGGGAAAGACTGAGGGCACACGGAGAAGGGGACGACAGAGGACGAGATGGTTGGACAGTGTTCTCGAAGCTACCAGCATGAGTTTGACCAAACTGTGGGAGGCAGTGGAAGACAGGAGAGCCTGGCGTGCTCTGGTCCATGGGGTCACAAAAAATCGGACACGACTAAATGACTAAACAACAACATAAAGAGGTTGCATTTCAGCTATATATTATTTTTTACAAAAATAAGTGGGACAATTTTACAGCCAACCCACAGTTAGTATTCTGATACATGGAAATTTGCCTTCCTGTCAGGATGTTAGATGAGGATGCACCTTTCTCCACTTTTAAATTTGTGTGTAGAAATGATTCAGAGTCAAGTGAATTAATAAAAGGCTTTAAGACTCTTTCCTGCTGGTCTTACCACAGCTTGCTCAAACAGTTCCCTTAGCTTCTGTTCCGATTCACCAGATACTCCCGACACAATCTCAGTAGCAGCTACTTTGAGTATTGGCAGTTCAAGCTCCTAAAAAAACAAACACAAATGAACACAAAACAAGATTATTGTAGGAAAGACACTTACCAAGGCTCAGGCATTTTACAGGGACCTCTACCGTGGAGGGCTGAATGGTGGAAGGGAGAGTAATATCACACCTTGATTCAATGGGCAACGCACAAAAAGACTTTAACAGATAACAGTGTCATGAGATTTTGCAGTTATCCAGCATGTACTATTCCCTTGTAAAGTACCATTTAAAAGACAAGGAAAGGCAACCATTGAGGAGACCCTAGATTGCAGCCCAATGACCTCCTGGGAGGCCTGGCCTGCAGGAAGAGAAGAGAGAACTTGTGTATCAAAATTATTTCCCCTCTATTCAAAAAAGTACTGGGCACCATGACATACAAAGCAGGAAGAGGCCCATACAGCTTAAACATTTTACAGTGTTGTTCACAGTGCTTCCACTAGCGCTGTCTTTCAAGATGCTACAGAAATGCTGTACGGAGATTTGTTTTTTTAATGCAGGTTTTGAGCTTCACCAGCTATTACTCTGCAACGTATTCTATAACATCTTGAATGCAAGAACTAGCAGAAGTACTGGTATACAGGCAACTTCCCATTTATGTGGAGGTTATGTTCCAAAGCACCATGTGTTTAAGTGAAACCGCGCATATTTGAAACACCACTGAAAATACCTGCAAGCACCCCATTCCACCCCTGCCCCTTTTGTGACATTTTTGTGATTTTTGGGGTCACTTCCAGGTTCGGTGCGATGTGCACGTACGCAGTCACATACATATTAGACATGCCTAAAACCATCTCTGCCTGCATTAAAAATACAAATACACCTGAGGTTTGAAGGCAGAGAAAGAAAAAGTATACACCAATAGTCTCACCCCAGCAATTGCCTGAGCTAATAACGTCTTCCCACACCCTGGTGGTCCATGCAAGAGAAATCCTCGAGGTGGAACAGCTCCTAAATAGCTGTATACTTCAGGATGACAGATATGTATCAGCATCTTGCACACTTCCTACAGTGAAAATGGGAAAAAATTGTCCTATCTTACTTTTTGTAACAGTTAACAGTTTCCACATCCTCCCAGAATTCTGTGTTCTCCTGCCCTGTCACCATATGAGATCACACCCAACCAGTGAAGGGATTCCGACCAATGCAAATAAGTAAATTCTGCATTATCTCATCTTTGCAAATGTTATTAACAGCACTATGTGTCTTTATCACAAGCGCAGAGATAGCACTTGGGTCAGAGCGCACCTTTCATTTTAAGCCATGGAAGTCTTCAGCCCTGAAGCTGAAGATATGCTTGAAAGTCTGTGAACAATGCCTGGCGCAAACATAGCATTCCTAAGGTATCTAAGGCTAGTGCTTCAGTTTACCCTCCTACTGCTAGCAAAAGCAGAATCATGCAATAAAGCAAGTATAATTTAGTTTTTTACAGCTAAACTGGGGTTAGCTCAGAATAGAGTTTTAATTTCTTTTACTGTGAGGCAAAGCACTGATTCAGGATTTGTGGATTACAGCTTTTAAAAATAGCCTTACACCTAAATAATGCTGCATGAAACAACCCTCAGCATTATGTAGATGCTCATCTCTTTCACTGTATAAGTGATTTTCTTGACAACTTTTATCCAGTCAGAGGAAGGAATTCAATGTTGAGCTAAGGTGACTGCTCTCTTATGGCAAGCTTTTCAACTTGCCAGTCACAACAGCCCCTCCTCCTACCCTGTGGGTTTCTCCTGAGCCACTCAAAGCCATTTTCGCGAAGTGCAGGGTTGAGGGAGAGCACTGTCTTTGCGCAGGGCTTCCACTGATGGCACTCATTAGTTGAATCCCGCCCAGAGAGTTTAGTTAACTCTAACCTTCAGAGTGTCATCATTGCCTCCTATATCCTCAAACTTCACAGAAGAAGTTCTCAGCTCAAACCCTTTCTGTTTAACTGTAAGGAAAAATGGAGATATTACTAGGACAGCGAGAACACAATCTGCGAGGTATTCTCATCAAGTACATGGAAAGCACGGGACAGAACAAGGTATTACATTTACAAAAGAGCCAGAGGAATAAGCAGTGGCTTTCTTGTGTTTTTGTTTAAATATTCTTTAGTGGAATGTCTCTTACTCTTCTGTTTCCTCAAAGCAGATTCTATTTCTTCATCTACTTCCTGAGATTCGTTCCTCCTTTTACTTCTCTTCCTCTTGGGTTTCTCCAGAAAGGAAATGTCTTTTGAATCCTAGAGTACAAATAAGATTTTTCTATTTAGTCTGCTGACATTCTTTACCCAGTAAGCCACACCAAAAGCAGTAATTTTTTTTTTAAAAAAACCCTTTAAACTCAATCAATAGAAAAACGAACTGGTAAGCCAAATGTACCCCAAGAAGGAAATGCCAATGAAATGCCCAGCGGAAGTTATTAAGTATGACATCATTTGCAAGCTTTAAAAAATGTAAAGTATTCATTTAGACTTTCCCTTTTCTAGCAAAAAATATAGCTGCACACAAGTTATTAGGGTTACCCCAACAGGGACAAAAAAACAACACAAGCAGTAGTTTGGGCTTGACTAATCCCCCAGTTTTTAATAGTACCATCAACATACATTTAATGGGCTGCAATCTTAACCCCTGGGAAGAAAGCCCAATTGAATTCGGTATGACTTACTTCCGTTAAGACACGGTTTGGATTCCACCAATAGCTGCACAATATGAAGTACAATATGAAGAGTTGTGGATTGCTGGTAACAACACATGCTACATAACACAATAGCCTACGTACAATCACATTACACAACTGCATGATGAGGGCAGATAATACTTTTACTTAAGCATAACGTTCCTGTGACTGCCTCAGCTCAAAAAGGTTACAGTGGTGCCACGCAAGACGAATGCCTCACAAGACGAAAAACTCGCTAGACGAAAGGGTTTTGTGTTTTTTGAGCTGCTTCGCAAGACGAATTTCCCTATGGGCTTGCTTCGCAAGACGAAAAACGAAAACGTCTTGCAAGTTTGTTTCCTTTTTCGTAACACCGTTAATACAGTTGTGACTTGACTTCGAGGAGCAACTCATAGAACGCGGTGTGGTAGCCTTTTTTGAGGTTTTTGAAGACTTTGGTGATTTTTGAAGCTTTTCCAAAACTTCTTTTAAACTTTTTAAACTTTTTTTGGGTTTTTTAAAAAAAATAATAATATTTATTAATAGTTTCAGAATTAATAAAAAACAACACTACAATACATAAAAAAGAAGAAAAAAAGCAAAAACCAATACAACAATACAGCAAAAAGATAAAAAATTAAAAAAGGAAGAAAAAAAGACACAAATCCCAAATTACATATCTTTAACTTCCATTTGCTTGTTTCATTGACCTCCTCACACCTCCCTTTTTGTATTCTAGTTTAATTAGTTATTTCAGCAAATTCTTTCCATCTTTCTCAATTTTTGTTAAATAATTTATCTTAACAATTTAACCTAATAATTAGCTCAACAAATCCTTTCCATCTTTCCCCATATTCTGTTATTCAAATTACCTTAATTTATTTAACCTTATCTTACCATAAAATACCTTAAAGCTTGAATCTTAATACTCAAATAGACATAACTCCTGATATCATTTCTGCTAGAGTCATATAGTTTCATTCCAACATTTCCCCTAATATTCATTGATTTTAGGCTAATTCCCTAAATAAAAAATTTTCTTTATAAATTTTCTTCCAATCTTCATCCAACATCTCTTCTTCCTGGTCTCGGGTCGTGTCAGTCCTTACTGTCCATTCCATCTAGTCCATCAACCTGGAAGTCTTATGTCCGAGGCCCTTAAGTCTCTTCCATGTCCCTTCGGCAGATCTTCTTCTTCTTGTTTATACTTGCCCTTTTCCTTGTCTTTTGTTGGTCTCTTTCTTAATTTCTTTCCTTTCTCATTGAGGAGTAGGTCTCTGGGGGATTCCAACCCAAAATTGTCTCCATCTCCCTTCATCAAACCCGCCCATTCCCCACAGTCCCACTCCCCACAGTCATCAATGTAATCCAAAAAGTATTTAAAAGCATATTTCAAGGTCTCTCCAAAGTTAGGAACCTCCTCAGCTCCAAACTCCCCCTGGCCCGCTCCAACTTCAATCTTCAATGACAGCGGCTTATGTTCCTGTAGGGCCTCGGGTCTCTCCATTTGTATTATTTGAGGTGCAACCACATCCTCCTCCATTATCTTCTGCACTTGCCCAGTCAGTACAGGTTCATGAGTTGGTCCCTGAATGGTTTCTGTATCAATGTTCCCTGTTTGTCCACAGTTATTAACCACAACAGTCATCAAGTCCATTTTCTCATTCATCAAATCCATCTTCTCGTGCATCTGTTCCAGCAAGGCACTTGTCTTGCATAAAGCAAGCACCCAATCTTCCTCCCAGCTCATCTTTAGTCAAGGTCAGAAAAGACTGGTCCCACGATCTTAATCTCACAGCTGTTGAGTCCTCAAGTATACTGCAGCAACAATTTAACAAGCTCCCTCTAGAGGAGACAATTTCTATTTGTATCCATTTTTTTTAAGGCAAGTCCAACAAAGGAAAATTACTTTCATTTTTCAGATATTTTTCAGATATTTTGTTTCTTTAGAATGCAAAAGGCAACATTGGAATCAGTTTATTTCTCTTCTTTAGCTATCTGTCAAAGTATTCCATTCACAGTCAATGAACCTCTCCAACTATTTCTGTCTCTGACACCTCGTTCTCAAGTTAGAGACAGTGGAAACTTATCCTTCTTCACTCCCTCTCCTGCAGGGGTTAAAGAAAGTTCCCACCCTTTTCTCCTGCTTCCAAGGGGGTTTCAGTAATTCTAAATGAAGGAAATTTAGACTTTTTTAACGGCTTTCCAGGCTTTAGCTTACAAAGTTTTTGCTTTAGTCTATATACAAAAAGTGGAAGGCGGACTTCCTGTTTTGAACCTTCCCGCTTCGATGCCAAATTAAGATATTTCTTGATCCAATTTTCCGTTTCTACTCACGGGTACTTGTTTTAAATCCAATTGTCCACAGGAAAAAGTCAGCGCTCTCCGGCAATGGCTGTACGGCTTCACTCTGTGAAAATAGCAATCAGTTCGCAGCACCGCGCCGCTCACCCCACTTCGCTCCGGCACCCCAAAATGGGGTTCCCGGTGAGTAGGGGGGGTGCTCCTGGTGCCCTGCTGAACCCCACGTTCCCAGGCTTCCTCCGCCTGGGATTTCTAGTGGGTCCCCACCTTCGCCGCGGTGGGAAGACCCAGTTTCCATGGAGCCCGTTCCTCCGGTCGGAGGAACTCCGCCATTCACCGATGGCGCTGACCCAGAAGTCCTCTTTTTTGGGGGGGTTTTGGATTTTGGGTTGGGGTGTTTGGAATTCAAGGACTTGGTGTTGGGGAGGGGTTTGCCAGAATCTGGAAGCTTGTGGTTTTTTTCCTGCATTTTTATGATTTTCTGTGACCATTGGGCCACTCTGCTGTTTTTTTAAAAAAATTCTGGATTTGAATTTCTGTGTGGTGGGTGGCTGGGGGAACAATTGAGGAGGGGGTTCTTCAGCAAGAAGCAAAGAGTGGAAGAGGTACCTTCTTCAAGTTGTCCCCCAGAGTCTTAGAAAATGTACTGTACACTTTGTTGATTTTTAAATGTTTTTCTGTCATGTTTAGAAACTTAATTTATTGTTCCTTCAATTTTTGAAATGCTCTTTACAGTATGTGTGACTTTAAAGAGCACTTAATAAACTCTTGTTGTACCAAATTTGGCTTTGTTTGGACTTTTTTTGACCATAGGAACGCATTAATTGAATTTCAATGCATTCCTATGGGATTTCATGCTTCGCGGAACGAATTAATTTCGTCTTGCGAGGCACCACTGTATTGTAGAGTTGGTGAAGGTTCAGAAAAGGGCAACTCAAATGATGAAAGGGATGCAGCAACTCCCCAGTGAAGAAAGGATGATGCATTTGGGACTTTTAAGTTCAGAGACAAGGTGAGTAAGTGGAGACATGATAGAAGTTGATACAATTATGCATGGTACGGAGAAAGTGCAAGGAGATATATTTTGTTCTCACCCTCCCTCATAACACAAGAAACACCCAGGGAAAATGAAAGTTGGAAAATTCAGGAGAGATAAAAGCACTTCTTCATGCAGCGCATGGTGAAACTATGACGCTCGCTCCCACAGAAGGCAGCAACCACCACCAACCTAGAGGGCTTCAAAAGGGGATCGAACAAATTCAGGGAGAAGAGGGCCATGAAAGGCCATGAAATTCTGCCTCCACAATTGGAAGCAGTAATGCTTCTCAAGACCAGCTGCTGAACTACAGGAGGGGGGGTGCTGTTGGGCTCAAATCCTGCTTGCAGGTTTCACAAACCTTCCCTTTCTCTTGATCTGCTTGATCTACTTCATTTCAAGTGCCATTCTTAAAAACTATAAAAACTGCCTCCGATCGTTCTGGATTTGTGAGCAAGGCATTTCTGGTTTGTTTTATAACATGCCAACTGCAGTCAATCTTTTATTAGCTATTTCCCGGTGGGTGGCAAAGTGATGACTAACTTACCAGCTCTCTGTTTGGCTTAGATGTTGGGAAGCTTCCTTCCCTTTCTCTCTCTTTCTATCCCTTTCTCTCTCTGTTTCTCTCTCTTCTTTGGAATCGCAGCACAGCCAAACTGTTATGCCATACCTTGTGGGTTTGGCTGGCATGTTAAGAGTGTATAAGCTTATCCTTGCAGGGGGAAAAGCCAAGACACGGTCATTTAAGCGTACTTGTCTTGCAGGCTCAAAGTTACAAGCTCAAGGAACTTATGAGTCCTAGTAACTCGTGAGTGAGCCACTGAAAGGCCCTGAGAGCTGCCCTTAAGTCTGGCCACCTGCCAAAGTGAGGCTACTGATTGTCTGTAAACAGTTGGGGTGTCAGTGACTAGATTAGAAAGTTTTACACAAAATGATGTGATTAGACAAACCCAGTCTTAGTGCGTCACAAGGAAGGCTTTCCTTGTGGGCGAATGTTTAAACAATGCAAGCTAGATAAGGGTGTCTGGAAACCTGTGTGGTCCTATCGACCCCAATAACATTATAATTTGTCATAAAATAGACAAGATATTGTTTTACACGTTATGTGCTGCTTTCTCAAGCAACTTGAGAAGAACAGGTTCTGGGCTAATCAGCTGTAGATAATGAGCAACTAACAACCTTAAACAACATTTTGCAAAAAGCCCGTTGACTCCCCAGAACCTGATGTGCATGGTTGGTTTTTGTTTTGTTTTTTTGATTAATTCTCTCAGTCATTCAAATAGGGTGAGAATTGAGCAAAAAAGCTGTAAAAACACTGATTTTCCATTGGATTAAGGAAGAGGGATCCTGAAACACCACATGACCATTCACATCTCATCTAGGCTGAGGACTACCTGGAACATGCAAGGTGTGGGAGACAGGCACAAAAAAGGTTATACGGTTCCCCCCCCCCCCAGTAGCCTTCGGGTGCATTTTACATGTGCCAACAGAGGGATTAAGGCCAAGAAAGTCTGAACGTGTGTCAAAAGTTAAACAATGATGTTTTCCAGATGTGCAGCCAGCCATATACTAAGGCAAGGCTGAAAACAAAGAACAGGATTTGTGCCAACACTATGACAAAACATAACATGGAACTTGTTACTCAAAGCTATGCATCATCATCATACAATGCAACAAGATGTGTAAATGGTCTCAGTTTTGGTGAGGATATTCCCTCTCACTGCAAACTCAGGAGAACACAAATGGAACCAAAACCAGGTCACTGAGAAACAAGTGGGAAAAATCCCCGCGCTCAGATGAATCTTGCGGTATGCAGAAATACAGAATATTCTTTTAAAAATAAACCAATGACTGAGCATGTTCACTGAACTCCAAGAGCACTGAACTGTAAAATAATTTGTCATTCCCATGTGTTTTTGAAAACATCTGAAATGGGCTAATAACAACACAACATTAGAACTGCCTTCAGCTGGTGAAGGTGATACTAGTTTAGGAGTTTTAGTTTCTACAATAACATAGCTTCCTAAAACTATTTTTATAGTACGTTTTAGATGTATGCTTTATTGTTATTTACCCTAAGTTTTTGTGATGGGACAGGAAAGAGGGAAGAAATTCTCACTAATGTCAAGACATTACCTCAACCATCTGTTTAGAACCATCGCTTTCTTCTGCACAAAGGTCGATAAAAAAGTTTTCCTCTTTCCTGTCTGGGGTTTTATCAATAAACCAGCCACCTTCTGAGATCCTGGTATCAGATGGCGCTTGAGTGGGAAGCCTATTCGATCCAGGCTTCTGTGAAGGAGTGCTGGACATTGTCTGCGAACTCTTGGGAGATGCTGGAAGAGAATCTGGATTTCCTTTCCGGTATAAGGTCAACAAAGAGGAGTTCATGTGATTTGAGGGCTGAAAAATATAATATATATTTATAAAAGAATCAATGGAAGGTTATGGATTTTTTAAACCATAGTTATTTTTACTAGTGTGCTACAGAATACATGTGCTACAGAATACACTACAGAATACATGATGCACAAAATACTGAATGATACTTTATAAATATACCAGATCTGTAACCAACCCCTTGCCTTCTTGCCTACACAGGTAGGCAAGAGTTCTCCAGCAAGTAACTGACTTCACAAATAACACTTATACATTTTAGTCACACATGCACTTCTTATTTTTGCACAGGTGAAGGCAGACTTGGTACAAGCACATATGTAGCTGACTTTCACCCATATTTTTTAAAATAAATTTTATTAGAACATAAAGAAAAACACAGGACATTATCAAATATCTCCCCCCAAACTAAAACATTAAATATCTTAACAAAGAAAAAATAGAAGAAAAAGAATAAGGAGAAAAAGTAAGTCTAGAAAGAAGAAAAAGAAAGGCAAGAAGAAAATAATAAAAATAATAAGAAATCGAAAAAGAAGGTCCGCTTCTCTATCTGCCAATTACATATAAAGTAATCATTCAAAATATCTGACATCTGCACTTCAGAAAATTTCTAGCTGTAAATAGTATCCAGCTTTTCCTCCTTCTGAAGGATATTTCCTGCAATCGCCCTCCCAGACCTCCCACCCTAGTTTTATCACTCAGGAAGTCCATTATAACACTTCTTTAATTTATATATTTCTAATGTTCTGGATTATAATTTTTCTGGCTCTCTGTGCTACCTTTCTCTTTCAGGGTTGCTTTCGCACACCTTTTCCAACATCAATTTGCAATGTGAGTGTCACAAGTCACACAAGCAGCAGTATGTGTCACACCTTGACAGGAGCGTTGTTGTTTGGATTATAGGAAAAACAGGTCTCCTGCTTCAATAGATAAGAGGCAAACCGGTCCAAGCCACTAGATGGCAGGAGCTACGTATGTATGATCATGAACTGTGCCAGGAGTGGCGCTGTCCATCTCACGTAGTTAAATATATATAAAAAATTGTCCAGTAGCACCTTAGAGACCAACTAAGTTTGTTCTTGGTATAAGCTTTCGTGTGCATGCACACTTCTTCAGATACACGGCTACCTACCTGAATCTCACATAGGTTTGAAGAAAAGGCTGGCCACTACTGATTGAAGGCTTTTCATCTATATCCACTGCATACACTTGGTTTCAGAACTATAAACTATTCTTAGAACACATAGTAAAGATACATTTCATCAGACAACAAGTCCAACACAGACACACTTACTGGGAGTCCTGTGTCAGTGTCCGAAGTATCCATGCAGCTTTCTGAATCACTTAGGAAAAAGAAATGATGTTTTAACAACAATGTTTGGCATTCTTCTTTAAGACAGAGACCCTGTGACCTTTCACATGCTGTTGGATGGCAACTGCCATCATCCCTGACATAGGAGCCCTGCTAGATCAAACCAAAGGTCTATCTAGTTCAGCATTCTGTTTCCTAAGATAAAGGGTAAAGGGACCCTTGACCATTAGGTCCTGTCATGACTGACTCTGGGGTTGCGGCGCTCATCTCGCTTTATTGGCCAAGGGAGCCAGCGTACAGCTTCCGGGTCATGTGGCCAGCATGACTAAGCCGCTTCTGGAGAACAAGAGCAGCACACAGAAACACCATTTACCTTCCCACCAGAGCGGTACCTATTTATCTACTTGCACTTTGAAGTGCTTTCAAACTGCTAGGTTGGCAGGAGCAGGGACCGAGCAACGGGAGCTCACCCCGTCATGGGGATTTGAACCGCCGACCTTCTGATCGGCAAGTCCTAGGCTCTGTGGTTTAACCCACAGCGCCACCCGCGTCCCTATTCTGTTTCCTACATGATTTGTAATACTACCCATAGTTTGCTCGGAAACAGAAAGAGGGGTTAGTATCTGCTCTGGAGGAGAGAATTGCCCGACTATGGTTCCGAGATCATGCAGTGTTACCTCTGACCTGGACCAATTAATTTCCATGGCTTTATAAAAAGTTCTTAACTCTTAACTTACTCTTCCTCCCTTTTGTGTCTTGCTTTCTTCACCAAATGTTCATCCTCTAGAGCAGCTAAATCTTCAGACTTCAGCTCATCATTGATTATCCCAAAAACTGTTGAATAAAATTAATAAACCTAGATGAAAGCACAGAACCCCATCATCTCGTTTGGCAATAGTGAAACCAAAAAGAAGAAACACTTTGAACAGCACAATCCTATTTACTTTTAATGAAGTCTCAATGAATTCAAAGCTCCTCAATAAGACCATAGCCTAAGTAAGTGTTAGATCTACCTAGGATCCACACATCACAGTGAATCTGGCCTAGATCCATTTTGATGAGGAGCAGGCAGAATCTTAGGATACTTTTGGATTACCCACAACTACCTTTGATGCAATGATTTTTTATTATAATTATTTATTATATTTATATACCACTCTTCATTTGAAGATCACAGGATGGTTCACAACACAAAAATACAGAATGAGAAAACAAAATACATAATAAAACAAAAACAAACCAATAACCCCCCCAAACACATTTAAAAGGCCATAGAATCAGGCAAAGTCCTGGTTATATAGAAACCTTTTCTCTTGTCACCTAAAGATATGCCATGAAGGCACTAGGAGAGCCTCACTGGGGAGAGAATTCCACCACAGAAAATGTCCATTCTTGTGTTGCCACCCTCCAGACGTCTCATGGAGGCAGCATATGAAGAAGGTCCTCAGATTATGATCTCAGGATCTGGGTCAGTTCATATGGGGAAAGGCGGTCCATGAGGTATTGAGGTCATGAGCCATTTTAGATCTCAAAACGAGCACTTTGAATTGGGCCCAGAAACAAAGCAGCAGCCAGCGCAGTCAGGACAGGGTCAATGTAATATGCTCAAACAGTCTTGCCCTGGTAAACAACCTGGCCACTGAATTCTGCACCAGCTGAAGTTTCCAACTTCATCTTCAGAGCAGCACTACGTATAACCTGTCAGTAGTTCAGCCTACACTTGAGTAGGACTCTGGCAGAGACACATGCCCAACTGGCATGTTCCCTCCCTCCTGGTCGATCGTTCGGGAGCTTCAAAAGCTTTCTTCAGCCCGAACATCACAGCGACCGATGCCAACCAACACTGGCACACTTAGGGATCCGCAGAGTTTGCGCATCTTGCGTGACAGACCTCAGCAGCTCAGCATTTTGGCTAATCTACTTTATTTACATATAAACACACACGGAGCACTGCAACATGGCTCCCTCTCTCTCTAGCATCAGACAGCAAAGGGAAAAAGAACAAAGGACAATAGCCCCACTTCATGGAACACAGTAACACAAACATCCTGTCTCTGTCACTTCCCACTCTGTGGAGTCAAAACATATACCATCATGTGAAAGACAAACATCCCATGACTGCAATCATGGAGCAGGAATTCTAACATAACCTAGAGGTTACTGGAGCATAGACAGAAGTTAAGCTATTCCTGTCCAGATATGGGTGCAATTGAAGCTGATGGAAGATCACAGCAGTGAGGTCACCTGAGCCTTAAGCAACAGCAAAGGATCTAGAAGGACCCCCAAACTATGTACCCTCTTCTTCAGAGGAAGTATAACCCCTTCAAGAGCAGGCAATCTCCCATCCATCTAGTCTAGGGAACAACTCAACAGCAGTGTCTCAGTCTTCTCTAGATTTGAGCTTCAGTTTCTTGGCTCTCATCCAGCCCATTACCGAGGACTGAATTTTCGCTTCAAATTCAATATTAAAAAAGGACTCACCTTTCTCTACCTGTATTCTAAAGGCATTTCTTTTTCTTCGTCCATAATCAGCACTGGAAATCAATTTTATACATTAGTCTCAGTGAAGGCCTTCTTCTGCACATATTGCATTTCCAGCAAAGACTTATCCTGAGTTATTCAGGTCAAACACAGGGAAATATTGGGACCAATATTTAACAAAAGTGGCCTGCTTTCCAAATTACAATTGACTTGCAATTCATGTGTACTTAACTTGCATGAATTCAGTTTTACAGTTTGGCCAGGGGAAAGGAAGCGGGGAACGTAAGCAATCTCACCCGCCATTGCACTCACCTCAGGAGTTTGGAGGTGCAGGGAGAGTGTGTTTTGACTATATGCAATTTTTGCTTTACAAGCTAACCCCAGATCATAACCCCCACGTAAGTTGTGACTCAACTGTACATTCTTTATCAAATAACATATCATTCTTCAGTCTGCCATGGGTTCTACCATGGGAGGCCCTTTAGACTCAACAGAACCATGCACAGGTGTAAGGTTCTCCTTATGAGATAGAGGTTGGTTCACCTTTTCCTTAACCCCATCCAGCATTTATGTCCAGTATAAGTTATCCATGCTGCAGAGCACAAGTAACTTGCTGGCAGAGGGAGGATATGTAAATGGGCCCTAAGCCTGGGTGAGTCCTGAGCTCTCCTCTTCCAGCACAGTCCTGAAAAGGTGACTGGAACATTTTCTGTTATTTTTCCAACTAATGGAAATTATTTATTTTTCCAAATCTGGAACTATTGTTTGTCATGGCTAAAGTCTTTGATGGCAGAAACTAGAAAATGCTGGAAGATTCTAGTTCATTCTAGAATATTCATTTCTGTTGCATATATTCTTTTGACTATCTCAAGGTCACGCTGAGCCAGGAGAGATAAATTTGTGCGCTCAGCGAGCTGGTCATTCTCTCTCTTACTTTCATTTGTACCTCACATGTTTGCAGTTTTTTCTCTGAAGTTTTTTTTTGTAACGAAGCCTTTTTGCCTTTAGTAAGTTTTTCTTTTACTAATGGACCTTTAACTCTGCGTGTTTTATTACTACATTCACTACAAATATACACTTCTGGGACTCTGCTATTCATCAGGACACATCAGAGTGCCTAGGAATTTTAGGATCCAATCCGTCATTGTTAGTGTTAACTATAGTTTAGACCAGGGGTCAGCTTACTTTTTCAGCAGGGGGCTGGTCCACTGTCCCTCAGACCTTGTGGGAGGCCAGACTATATTTTTTTTTGGGGGGGGGGAATGAACTAATTCCTATGCCCAAAAAATAACCCAGAGATGCATTTTAAATAAAAGGGCACATTCTACTCATGTAAAAACATGCTGATTCCCGGACCGTCCGCGGGTCGGATTTAGATTTAGAAGATTTAGATTGGGCTGGAACTGGCCCCTGGGCCTTAGTTTGCCTACCCATGGTTTAGAAAAAAAAGCCAGGATAATAAACCATGACTTGAAGTTGGCTTATTTCCCTAACACTGAGGCTGGACAAATGGTGATTAGACAAAATTAACTATTGTGGTTATTTGAAAATGGAAACAAAAACTTCCAATCCCCATTCTCTGCTCCTCCACTGGCATCACTGTAAATAGGAGCAGGGAAAGGAGAAGCATGTGAGTCCCTAAGGCTCATGTACATAATACTAAACCACACTTTACAGTTCTGTATAAGCCCGGTCCTTGTGTTTATCATCAAGCAAGTGTAAGAATTCAATAGCTTACCTGTATGTTTTCTGTAGCTCAGCAGCTAAAACTCCAATGTCAACATACTTGCCACATTTGTTACTCTTCAGGTACTGTAATTGATACAATTTTTTAAATATAAAAAATAACTTTAGTACAGTATTTGCATACGTGATAGGTTTATGAAATTCAATTGTGGTTTTTTAGTTTTTAGACAAACATCAAATAAACAATTGCTCATTGTATGAAGGTTCTAGCACTGCTTTTTACAAATGTGAATTGTGATAATGTGAAGAGAAGCAAGGGATTTATTTACTCACTCCCTCTCAGCTCAACCATTTCGAAGCCCATGGTCTAAAAGCATGGCACAATACCTTCTACCATCAGCATTTAACTTGTCCATCTCACACTAAAGACCAACAGCCCAATCCTATGCTATCTGACAAGGACATGCCTACCTGTTTCACTGCAGGTATAGCAATATGCCCACTGATTTCATAGGAGGAGGATGTTCAATGTGATTAAAAATCCACTGAACTCGGCAGACATGATAAACACGCCTAGGTTGCATGACTCCAAAATACACTCGCAAATCAATCCCGCCAGACACATTGGGACTTATTTCCAAACCGAAGATGGTAAGGATGGGGCTTTAAATTTATCCCGCAACTATATATTAATTCAGTTCAAGGTAAAATAAAAATCAACTTGGTCTGCAGAACAAAAGTGCTACGTACGGACTTGATCGCCCAGTTCTCTCCTAATGCTGGATGTGCGAGACCTGGCTACGGCTGCTGGGTTGGCGTAGTGCGGCAAAAGCAATCTAAGTAGGCTCAGAGGCACGCTTTTCCTTGCCCGGGGTGCAAAAAAAAAGCCCAGGCGGCTCAGCTTATGGGGAGTCCGCCCCATAAGCGAAGGACCAAGGGAGAGAAACGAAGCGGTACCTGCTTAATCCGATGCTTCAGCCGAGGATCCCCTGCGGGGCTGCTTCCTCCGCGAATCCGCATGGCAGCTCCGCCGCCGCCGAATTCCGCCCCTCAAACGAAGCGGGAGCTCCGCCTCCCTCCGCCTCAGACTCCTTGAAGACCCCGGAAATCGGCCTCGCCTTGAGGCACGACGACCCCCTCAGAAAAGGGAAAGGCAGAGCCAAGAGGCGGGTTGGGATCCCCGTGCAGGCACTGCTTTAGACGCCTAACACCCACCCGACTCATGAAGGCCCAAATTGGCGTCACCCTCCGGTCTCATTCCTGATTCAAGCCCCCCGTTCCAACCCTTCCACTCCCGGCGCCTATGATACTTTCTAGCCTCAGCTCTCTACGGAAGCATTTCGTATCCCTTGGTCCAGTGTGTGTGGAGGGAAGCGCAGCCCGCCAGATGTCTTTGGACTCCAATTCCCATCATTCCTAGCCACCGTCGTCAGCGGCCAGGGATGATGGGAGTTGCAGTCCCCAAAAAAATATCTAGAGCTCCTCACGTTTGCCACACCTCTATTGAGCGACTGGATAAAGAGACTACAATTCCCAGCGTGCAATGCGGCAAAGCAGCAGGAAGCGGGAGCTGTACGGTGGCTGCGAAGGGACGCGAGGGGTGTGGCGATATACGGTGGCTGGTGGGGCTCGCGCCGGAGGCGGCACTGTCAGTGGCGGGATGGAGTCGGTGGTGTTCATTTTTTCACTCATTGACTGCTGCGCCCTGATCTTCCTCTCCGTTTATTTCGTATCCTCCGGTCTCTGTTTTTTTGGCGGGCGGCCTGGGAAGAGGGAGGCTCAAGCGGGCCAGGCAGCCCTCCGTGGTCTGTGGGTGGGCGGGCTGGGAAGGACCGTTGGGGCGGCGAAGGGGCTCTGGGAGGCCGGGGGCGTCGATGACCGTCGGCCGTGGGGGCCGCGAAGGTGCTGCTGCGGGAGAACGAGGAAAGAAGGGGCTCCTGGGAAGGAGACCGTGGGGGGGGGCAGCGAGGGGCTTTGGGGGAGCGGCCTCGAGAATATGTTTAAGGGAAGAAAAGTGGGGTGCGAATGTTTTAAACGCTGCCTTTAGGTGTTTGGGGCGAGAGGAAAGGGTGGTGTGGCTAACGAGGGGTAAAAAGGGATGAATCCGCGGACCCTTGCACCTTCAGTCAGGGTTGGTATCCTGGCCCAGGCAAATGGGACATTAGTGCCGGCCTCTTACCCCTTTGGGCCCATTGGAGAGCCTAGACTAGAAGGCACCACTGCTGGGCCCTGGCAGCCACCCAGTTTTGCTAAGCTATGGTATTAGCCATGGTGGTGGCCAAGGAGACATGGAGGTAATATGGCAGCGTTTCCAGCAGAAATTTAAATGCACACGCAGTCTTCCTAACTGTATAAAAACCCTGTTTTATTGTAGCTCTGTAAATTGTAGTATGGCACTCAGGCAGTGCTTTTCACGGATTGTTTTATATGGATAGGTTAAATTTTGCCTAGAACTCGCAACTTACAAATATATAAAATATTGAAAACTGTTATTGTTATCATGACATTTTAGCTATACACCTCATATGAGATATTTGAGAGTTCTGCTGGGGTGCGTGCTTATACTTGGGTTGCCCCCCTAGTCCTAGATGTGTATACTTGGAAATAAATTTCATGAATAGGAACTTACTTAGTCTCATGAATGGGAGCTTACTTCCAGGTATATGTGCCCTTTGTTTTATCATTCAGACTGTTGCAAGAATACTTCTGTGGTTGTTTTATGACTTCTTAGGTTACAAAGGCCTTAAACATGGCCTTCAGATTTTTTTCTGAAGGTCAAAGTACCTTAAGTGTGCCTGCTCCTAAGATTAACATTTAGATATCTCTCATTTTCCAAGAAAATGTTCAAGCATTTTAGTTAAGAATTGTGTGATATCCTGAGTTTTTTCTTAAATATCTTGATGCTGCTGAAGATGTTGCTATGCTAAATGGTTGATTACATGACTAGTATTTCCTAACTAAAATTGCTTCCTTTTCATGCATCCATTATAAGGCATTATGGAGCACTGAACATGTCAGTATAATTATGCCCTGCTTCAGTTAAATTCAGTGTATTAAGTGGCATACTTAGCTCTTACTTCTGTTGGTCATGACCTGTAGTTGGGTCTAAATTTCTAGCTCAAGAATTTATTGTAACAGCACAAAGAGGGTGTGTCTGTCATGGGTTCAGCGTGATGCCACAGTAGCCTTGTGGCAAGAAACCATAGGTTTCTGTTTTACGTGAATTAACAGCTCACCCTTCCCTCTGTTCCCTTTGCGTGCCTCCAGGCAGGGGATCTGAAAGTTTTGCTTCTGAATTTCAACAACAGTTTCCAGTGCACAAAAGGGGATGGAAGGGAAGAGAGGGAAGAATGTGTAAGTCTCATTGTAGCTCATTCACATAAAGGGAAACCATGGGTTTTATTCAGCTAAGTAGACTCAATAAAATTGATATGACTGAGATGGGTCCATTAATTTCAGTGGTTCTACTCTAAGTAAACTTGGTTGAATACAATCCCAATGCTGCTGTTTCCTGCAGCATATGAATGTGACCAATGTGTGGTTGTATGCTTTTGTTACAGCTGCTATTCTGCATTAAATGTTCAATATATAAAATAGTTGTACAATAACAGGAACGAACCCAAGCTGATAGAGAGGTGTTATCTATAGCTCTGCAATGAAGATGCAACTATTTTCTTTATTTAATTTGCTTTCTTGCCATTTATCATATGGTTCCAGGGCAGGTTACAATTTACAATTATAAAACAAAGAAAACAGTTAAAACCACGAAACAAGGAAAGTTTAAAAAGTGTAAAAAACAGTTCCTTATATAAAAACAGTTTAGAAAACCTGTCAGGCTCCTGCAGACTCCAGGTATAACTGGAACCCTTCGTGGCCAAGCCACTGTTCAGCTATTGCTGAAGCTGCTGTGACCCAACACAGTAATTGCAACAGTGGCCAGGGAAGCCTGCACTTAGTCTTGGGTGTGTGCGCTTAGGTTGGCACCTTAGGTTCTCTGCTTCTGCCTTATAACTATTATGATTGCTGTGGCCAGTCACGGTGGTTGTGTGGATGCTGGGGCTTGCACTACCTAGGATGCCAAGTTTGTTGTAGCTTGGGGCTTGGCTGTGTGCACTGATGTTGTTAAGTCTATCAGCGTAACAGCTGGGTTGTGAATTCTGCTGTTACTAATCGATGAATCTTCTGAAATAGCCTCTTGCTTGTGAGCGTTCTGCCTGTTCTGTAACCTTTGTTACATTAGTAGAATCTCTTGTAGTCAGATGTTTATATGAACTGTTTAACTCTGTTGTAATACTCAGGGGTGGTGCAAGGCATTTATGGGTCTTGTGTCACAGGGTAGAGGGCTTCCAAAACCATAGTAATTCCTTATCTTGACCTTCAGATAATTACATTATCAGATTTGGAATGTGACTACATTAATGCTAGATCTTGCTGCTCAAAACTAAATAAAGTAAGTTTTTTTTCTTTTCTCTTTTTAAAGTGATGCAATTCTGGAATTAGATTTAGAAGTGGTGTGGGGGGGGTCATCTTATTAATATGAAATAATCAGGATTATGTAACGTATAAAAATAATACTGATAGAGTCTGTTCCACTGTCAAATATATTTTACTGTCAAACCATTCCTCATAGGGTTTGGTTTTCAGACCTTTGATCATCTTGGTTGCCCTCCTTTGCACGTGTTCCAGCTTGTCAATATCTTACTTAAACTGTGGTGCCCAGAACTGGACACAGTACTCCAGGTGTGGTCTGACCAAGGCAGAATAGTACTGTTACTTCCCTTGATCTGGACACTATACTTCTGTTAATACAGCCTAGAATAGCATTAGCTTTTTTTGTTGTTGCATCACACTGTTGACTCATGTTCAGTTAGTGGTCTGCAACGACCTCTAGATCCTTTTTACACCTATACAGTGGTACCTCGGGTTACAAACACTTTGGGTTACAGACTCTGCTAACCCGGAAGTAGTACCTCAGATTAAGAACTTAACCTCAGGATGAGAACAGAAATCGCATGCCGGTGGCAGCGGGAGGCCCCATTAACTAAAGTGGTACCTCAGGTTAAGAACAGTTTCAGGTTAAGAACAGACCTCTGGAATGAATTAAGTTTGTAACCAGAGGTACCACTGTACCCACAAGACAGGTTCCCCCATCTTATATTTGTACACCTGATTCTTCCTGCCTAAGTGTAGAACCTGACATTTGTCCCTATTGAAACTTTTAAAAGACATCTGAAGGCAGGAGGTTTTTAATGTTTGATGTTTTTATTTTGTTTTTAGATATGCTATAAGCCGCCCAGAGTGCCTGGGGAAACTCAGCCAGATGGGCAGGGTATAAATATAATAATAATAATAATAATAATAATTAATAATAATAAAGTTTGGGCCCAGTTCTCCTGTTTAGGTCATCTTGAATCCCTATTCTGACTTACAATGGAATAACTAAGAAATGGATGAGTCCTTCATGTGTGAATAGTTTGCTGCCTTTTGCTTATTTGAAAATTCACCCACTTAGATCTAGATGCATTCCTCTGGTAGTACTTTTGATGCAGGATTTCCCCAGCACTATGCTAATAGTATTTTGTCTTTGTGAGGGAAAAGGAATCCTCTTCCCGTCCCACTAACTCTCTTTGGGACCTGGTGTCAACATGTGGGTTGTTCAGTTAATGGGCCTTTTGGATCTCCCCTGATCCTCAGAACCTGCGTTGCTCAAATTCCTCCACCACACTCCATGACTTCTCTATTTTTCTCCTTGTGTTTCCTGGCTTTGGGAAAGCAAGAGCCGTGACGGGGGGGGGGGGGAAACACATGCCTTGTTTGCTAAAGGTCCCAGATTTAGTCCCTGACATCTCCAGGAAGGGCTGGGAAGAACTCCTGTCTGACGACCTGGAGGCTATTATGCTGTCAATACTGAGTTAGTTGGATCAGTGCTGACTCAGTATAAGGCTTCCTGTGTTCCATAGCTCATCTTGTATACCCGCATTCTGCTACCTTCTTGTCCTTTGCAGGCCATTTCCTTTTCCTTGCCCAGACCTGGCCATTTGCAACTTCCTGCAAAGTATGCCTCTCTAGCCCATTCCTGTGTTTTTCCTCCTTGCTCTCCCCTTGTAGTATTGTCACTGCTTGCATCCCATGGCTCAGTCCCCTTTGCCACCTGGTTTCTCCTCTGCTCTTTACAGTTTGTTTCCTGTTAAGTTGCATTAGTTCTGCAGTCAGGTTACCATTGATGGCTTTAAAAGATCAACGATTTGCCGAGGACTAGTATCCATTGCTAACAAATAGCAAAGATATGTGTGTTGTCAATGTCATCCTTTTTATGGCACAGTTTGGATTACTGTGTCTTAAGAATTTAAGAACATAACACATGCAGCCCTGCCCTTTTGGAAAGTCCTCTTCCCTCTGTGGAGCCCTCCCTAGAACTTTAGTCTTGAAGTTAAAGGCAAGCATTTATAATTTGTTCCTGTAGAGCAGGGGTTAGCAAACATTTTCTGTAAGCGGCTGGTCCACTGTCCCTCAGACCTTGTGGCGGGCCGGACTATATTTTGAAGAAAAAAAATGAACAAATTCCTATGCCCCACAAATAACCCAGAGATTCATTTTAAATAAAAGCACACATTCTACTCATGTAAAAACATGCTGATTCCCGGATTGAGAAGGCGATTGGGCCGGATCTGGTCCCCGGGCCTTAGTTTGCCTACCCATGCTGTAGAGGGAACCTAGCAGACCATTCAGGTGCAAAAGTAAGTAGAAAGGAACATAGTAGTAATGCTGGTGGAAGTGGAATGTTACTGTTTGAGCTCAAAATTAGGGGTTTCAGCAGAAAAGAATCATGCCAATGTTTGCTTGTGTGTGTGTGTGTGTGTGTGTGAGAGAGAGAGAGAGAGAGAGAGAGAGAAAGAAAGAGCGTGCGCTTGCAAGGTGATGCCTCAGAGCCTGGGCACACTTCTCCATTCTGCTTCTGAAATCTCAACAGTAGACCCTCCAAGTGCCCCTATTTTCCAGGGACAGTCCCAGATTTACAGAAGCCGTCCCAGTTTCTGAACTGATCCTGGAATTTCCGGCTTTTCCTTAGAATATCCCTATTTTCATTGGATAAATGTTGGAAGATATGCAACAGGCTACATGTTGAAGCCTGAGCTCAGCCAAAAGGCTTAGAAACTTAAAAAATAAGATTAAGATCCTTGGAATGCTAAATTATGCACTTTTTTTCCAAATCCTGCACACAACTCTGGACTTGGATATGTTCCCAAATAGACCCAACTGCTTCTGTCTGCAGTACTTTTCTCAATGCTGCCTCTGAAGTGCACGGCCAGATCCTGAAAAGAAGTTTGGACACTTTGACGGCATAGTGGTGTTTTTGTGTGTGTGTGTTTTTTTTAAAGTACTTGTAGTCATGTGAATTGTGCCAGTTCTGTGATCAGTCGGCAGACTGATAATAGTGTTGACAGTGTACTTTTATCCCATTTGCTTGTACACTCCCACAGAGTGTTGTATAAAGGCTTTTATTTTTCTAAAAATTTCTCTTTTCCAGTGGGTGATCCCTGAATTGATTGGCCATACCATTGTTACTGTATTAATGCTTATTTCACTGCACTGGTTCATCTTCCTCCTCAATTTACCTGTAGCAACCTGGAATATATATAGGTAAGGGCCAGTGGGGTTGTTTGTGGGTCTTTATAACTGTTACCACTTATTGAAAATGTGTTTCAGATGTGGAATGCTGTTATTGACTTGATGCCGATCATGCTGTTCCTCCATTAGTCTGTCTTGTTCCACAATTTATGAAATTTACCATCCTCAGCGGGAACTGCTTGAACCTCAGTGTTACTTTCTCTACTCTCTTAACTTTTAAATCTGTCGAGGTGTTTTGCTTTTCCTGAGGACTGATGTGACTTCTCTCCTTGAGGGCATTTGAAGGTGGGGGGAGGGCCAGAAAGCTCACTAACTGCATCTTGGAGCTTCTTTATTCCTGTCCAAATAAAAAGATCCCATGGGTTGAAGCAGGCCCTGATGTTGTTTGTGTCTGCCTCCCTCATGATGGATGGAAAGTTTATTTTACAGGAAAATATATGGTGGGAATTTTTTCTGTTACATAAAATTCTATACCCCCACATCATTGCTACTGTGGGCACTATCTACTGCGAAATAATCTATTGGTTTGTATCATTGCTTTCCCCTTGTGTTCTTCCATTATTATTGGCATTATGTAATAATGTCCTAAGTGATGCACATACTGAGCCACTAATTCCAATAGCTGTGGTGCTCTGCCAAGTGCTGCTGATAACAGTTGACACCACTGTTGGTAGAGCAACTATTTATAAGGCCTGAGCTGCTGCTTTTCCTCTAATATTGTGGTGAACTTAGCACGTGGTTGGTTTTCTATAGTTGGCTGCAGTGAGATTTGTTTGCAGCCAACTAAAGACAACCAACCATGCCCTGCCTCTCCTAACCTCTCGCTACCAAGGAAATATAATAAACAAATAGAAAGAGAACCTACCCTAGTGACACTGACACAAAAACCCCACACAGACGCTAAGTATTTCCACCCTACCCCCCTCCTCTTCTTCCTCAACTTTATTCTGTACACAACACTAATGTCTCACTTCAAATGCGAAAAAGATTCTGCAACCTGAAAAGAGACAATGCATGTACTTTCGTAAACCAAGAAAATCTTTAATAAATTTTAAAAAACACAAAAAACTTAGCACATTAGGTCAAACATTCATGTTCCTCTTGATGACTTCTATGTGTGTATGATACATTAGAGGGAACTTAACATAATAGATGAGAGATGGGGAATCTGTGGCCCTCGAGTTGTTCTTGGACTCAAACTCCCAACAGCCCCAGTCATCCCAGACAATGGACAGGGACAATAGGAGTTGTAGTCATAGCATCTAGAAGACAGAGAGTTCCCATCCTTGACATAGCTGTTTTGGAACAGAATTCCAGGTGTTGCTTTCGATCTTTAAGGACCATCTTCTTCCACTTGATCATCTTAGATGCCCTTCTCAAAAGTGCCCTGAATGATTGAGGTGTAGTTGGTGGCCACAGGACAGAGGGCATTTTCAGTGGTTGCCCCCTGGCTGTGATTTACCTTTCTCAAAGAGACTCATCTGACACCTGTATGGTTAAATTCCTTCCAGTAGCACCTTGGAGACCAGCTAAGTTTGTTATTGGTATGAGCTTTCATGTGCAGAAGAAGTATCTGAAGAAGTGTCCATGCACACGAAAGCTCATACCAATAACAAACTTAGCTGGTCTCCAAGGTGCTACTGGAAGGAATTTTTTTATTTTGTTTCAACCTATATGGTTGTCATTTTGCTGCCAGAGCAAGATCTTTTTGTTTTTCCAAGCCTTTTGATCTGTCTTTGCCTGCAATATTTTTATTTTCTGTAACTACCCCTTTGCTGTATTCATACTTTTATTGTTGAATTTTAAATAGATTCATTAGCTTTTGTGGGCTTATGAATAATTGTTTAAATATTGTTTAAATTGTCTCCTCAAAATAAAATATATCCAAATAAGTCTTGTAGACATTGCTGTAGGTGCTTGGTTGTTAACTCATTTCTCTTTAAAAGAAAACCACTGACCTTTTTGATGTCGAAATGAGTAACTTGCCTGTGCTTCCAGTAGAGAGAAGCTAAATGTGAAAGTGGTTTCTGAAGTACATTTACCATATCAAAGCTGGGGGTTTTTTTTACTGTCTGTGAACCTATTTTGTACATTGATGCAGGTTTGTATGTGCTGATCACAAGAAAGTAAGCATTCATTTGGTTCCCTTTCCCATCCCCCTTCCCAGTAGAAAGCTGCTTGCATTCTACAGTTGATATTGACAAGTGGATTGCAGATCCATTGTATGGTCTAAAATTTGGGTCAGAGAACATTTCAGCCAGCTCTCCCTCACACATAAATTGCTTGTGTGGATCTACTCACATGAATAGTATAAAGTCAAAACAAGGTGATTTACGAAAGATCATAGCCCTTCCCTCTGTAAACAGGACAACTTGCCATGTGTGTGTTTTTCTAATTGCCGGTGGGATGCTGTGATCTCACAGAAGTCTCTCAGATAATGCTGTTCACATGAGTAGGTTCTGTGCATGAGCAACTCTTTACAAGGGTCAAGCAGCTGAAGTAGTACCCAAATTAAGTAGCATGGTTCCAACACACACACTGGAGAGACAGCTTTCAACTGGCCATGTTCTTAAGCTCCTAACTAAATTCTTCCATGTTCCAAGTAAATATATAACCCTGCATTTGCAGTATTCCATTTTTCGAGATTGGGGGAGTTCCCAGGGTTCTCCAGATAATGAATTTGCACCATATTTTGAAAGCATTTCTTTGTCTAGTGAAACTAATGTTGTGCAAACGCTTTCTCCACAACTGTCCCCCTTTGCACAGACACAGTCTCCATATGCCCTCATTCTTTCCAGTTGCACTGCTTCCATCTGCCCTCACAAGTATTCAGGTTTCCATGTTCTCTGTCCCTTTTTCGTTTTGCTCTCCTGTTTGAGCCTTCTGATATCTGCCTTCCATCACATTACATATTCTCTCTGGGACAAACCTTGCTTTCCCACCAGCCATCAATCCAGTTTTCTCTACAAAATCTGCTTCAAAACTTGTCTTGCCGCCGCTCTCCTTGCCTAGACCCTTCTTCATGCTTTGATACCTTTTGGTCCTTTCTATTAGCACAATGAGCTTGATTTGTGTCTCCTCTGTGCTGGAGTGCTGTTGGCATTACAACATTTTTTCCTTAATCCTTTTCAGGTACATTATGGTTCCTAGTGGAAACATGGGAGTATTTGACCCCACAGAGATCCATAATCGAGGGCAGCTGAAATCACACATGAAGGAAGCCATGATTAAGCTTGGCTTTCATCTCCTTTGTTTTTTCATGTATCTTTACAGGTAAGTCTCAAGTCTTACAACTTGGAAAGAAGACCAGCAGCATATTTAAAATACCTGCCGCCACACCAGCTCTGAACTTAATAGGGTTCATCTATCTGCTGTGCTGTTTAAGCTTTCTGCTACATTCACAATTCGTAATAGTGGCCAAATGCTAGTTCTTCCTCTCTCCTCAAACCCCACACCCCCATTTCTTTCTTTTTGTTAAAAAAATACTAGTTGCCTTTCAGTTTTGCTGCATGTTCCTATGTTCATGTATTTTCGTGAGGGTATCAGGAATATCTGACTGACACTGTTTGTAACTGGGTTTAGGTTTAGACTGGGAGCCCAGCACATCACGTGACCCTCTGGGATATCACACTACAGCTCATCCAGGAAAGAGATTCAAGACCTGGATATATCTAATGTAAAACAAATCAGAAAGGCACCTTGCAATGCTTTTGAAAACACATCCCCAAATTTTACTGCTGACACATAATCCTCACAAAGCAACAGCAGAGGTGGTCACAACTTAAATTGATCTTGTGGTTCTCGTGTAAAAAGGCAAGTAAACAAGGGCATGGTTCCTTTGCGCTTCCTTAGCTGTTAATAGCTCTTTATTTTTATCCTGTGAACCACCCTGAGACCTGCGGGTATAAGGCGGTATAGAAATCAATCAATTAATGAATTCACCTGGTCATGTTTGTTGTATGGTGACTGGTTGTCACACAAAGACTTCCATCACTGCTGGCTTTTTCTTTGAGAGCCTCTCTGTGGGCGAAGTTTATTTGTGGCGACACTCACTGCGGAATGAGGTGCGAGTCCACTCTTAACTTACACTTTCTGTTTAGATGCGGTATGTTTTGTTCTTCCAGCTGGATATTTCTTTTCACGCTTGTGGCTTTATACAAAAACATCCTAGGAATTGTAGTTTAGCTGGGTGTTATCTGCTAAGAGATCCCTACTCTCTTTCCTGCCGCATCAGAAGTACAGTTCCCAAAGTTCTCTGGGAAGAGAGAATTTGTGTTTAACAAGTTGAAAGTCTGTAGTATACAGTGTTTGTCATCTTGTCCTGTATACAGTACTGCAGGCTCAGTTTTTGAGCAGTTCCTTGTTTCTGTTTAAATATCTGCATTCAGGCCACACCTTGAGAAGATTCCATATACAGAAGATTCCATATATGTAAATTGTCATATATTTAGATGTTATCATACATATATGACAAAAGTGTCCCATTCCTTCCCTAGAATATAGGCCCGGTTCCAGGGTGGTTATTCTGCATGTGTGGAATGGTTTTTGGAATAAATGCCATGTGCTCATAGATGGGAAGTAACACTGTGTGGTGTTCACACCATTCACTTAGTTTCATCATTTCAGGCTGTGAGGTTGGATTTCTGGACAGGTTTAAGTTATAAGGATTTTCTTCGAGGTTCCCAGAGATGGAAATCATTGGTCCATCTGTGCTGGGGATGTTGCAACCGATGATGAAAGTGGTCCTTGCCTTTATTTGAAGGCTTAAGATCTAAATGCTTTTGAAACTGTGGGTGGTGAACTATTGACAAGACAGGCCTGTTTAAGACGCAGTCCTACATGCCATACCAGCTATGCATAATACATACCTTGTAAACTCTGGAATTTGTCTAGCACTAGACATGCCTTATAAAGCCTCGATTATCAAGCAGCTTTAAACTTGAGGATATCCTGGACTAAAAGTGACTTGCTGCGGTAACGGCTAGCCTTGTACAATCACATATGCTACCACTTTGCATCACGATGCCTAGTTCTTCAGTAAGACCGGACTATGCAAATGAACCAAATGGAAACAACTTTGCCAATGTTGCTAGCATAATAAAGATGCAAGTTGCAGGGTGTGCATGTAAGGTTATCTATTTAAAATTGTACCTTTAATATGTTTTCCTTCTTTCTGCAGTATGATCTTGGCGCTGATAAATGACTGAAGTCGAGGTAGAAGTGTTACAGTTGCCAAATTCTGAGTTGTCACTCACAGCTTTCAAGTAAACCTAGACCAGTGTCGTCATGCAGTATATTTTTTCCTCTTTGAACAAAAAATATTTTTGCTGTATTTTTTAACATAAAAAATATTTAAAAAACCAACATACTGAGTTTCTCAAACCATTGATTTGTCCCTTCTACAGTCAATTTTCCTATTATATTCAATGCATCTTTTTCTCAAGAATGCCAGCTAGCCAATGAATGGAGTCAGATGATGGCACCAATGCCAGGATGTCACCATCAATAATTGTTTTGTGAATTACCACAGTTACAAGTACATAACCATCACTTCCTGTATTTTACTGAATTTTATTTCCCTTGGACCTAACTTTTAAAAATCTTTCACTTCCTCGCTCCTCGTTTGTGTATCCACACACACCCCTCTATAAATCAGGATAGCACTTAATGCAGTGATGGCCAAACTTGGCCTTCCAGCTGTTTTGGAACTACAATTCCCATCTTCCCTGACCGCTGGTCCTGTTAGCTAGGGATGCTGGGAGTTGTAGTCCCAAAACAGCTCGAGTGCCAAGTCTGACCACCACTGAATTAATGCATCCGATGGAGTGAAAACTTATACCATAATAGTAGTTTTTGTATGAGCTGTGCTAGTGTTGAAGTGCTGTTGATAAAGACCATTAGAGCTTGGCTAATCCCAAGATATTACTGTGACATAAACCATTTCAACCCAAGAACTGCATTTGATGCTACCTATATGGGATATGGAGTGGCCTCTAAACACCTGCAGTGTTTTTGCTCTTACCCCAATCTGGGGGGCCCTGGAGTAGTTCCCTGTAAAAATCAAATTTCCACCAGTACATTAACAAACTGCTGTGGGTCATAGGGGATGTGTTTCTTTTTTTTTTTTTAAAGAAGAGTTTGGATTTGATATCCCGCTTTATCACTACCCTAAGGAGTCTCAAAGCGGCTAACAATCTCCTTTTCCCTTCCTCCCCCACAACAAACACTCTGTGAGGTGAGTGGGGCTGAGAGACTTCAGAGAAATGTGACTGGCCCAAGGGCACCCAGCAGCTGCATGTGGAAGAGCGGAGACGCGAACCCAGTTCCCCAGATTACGAGACTACCGCTCTTAAGCACTACACCACACTGGCTCTCAGGGGATGTATTTCTATATTGAGGCTGTGAAACTGCATCTGAAATACTGGAGCTATTTCTAAATGCATCTGGCCAAAAGACACAGGGTAGCAGGCTAAAAGACCTGAAGCCTAATAAAGTTGGCTATCAATCAAAGACTAGAATACTTAACAGCTTTTTGTCAACATTTCTACTGTAGTTGCCCTTGACATAGTAGGAGTTCCCTATGGTAGGATAAATTCAACCCTTTTCTCCTGGTTTTCTGTGTGAATCTTCCCTTTTAGAGATACTAATAACCTTGTTGGAAGGGTGTAAAGGAGAGGATTAAGTAGCCCAATCCATCTTCCTCATGCCCAAAGCTGCTGTTGGTTTGGTCATGATGGCTTATTGTGACTCATGTCAAGGTAGGTTCATGAAATGCTACAGGATCAGGCAGTCTCGGCTCATTCACGGATGGTATTTTAATCTGATCACTAATAGGAGCAGGAAGTGTCCTCTTTCATCAGGCTTCTGCAGTTGAAGCTGGTTCTTGGTAATTAAGGGCTGCTTCCAAGAAAACACATCTCACAATCCTTACCTACTTTAAATATGCCTTAAGGGCTTACATCAGTCTGTTTGGCTCATTTCAACACCACTCTAGCCTAAACCACTTAAATTTTTTAGATTAGTTTTTAAAATGGATTATGCACCTTTAGGAGCTATTCTCCACCTAAACTGTTAATTGCATTGTTATCTGGCTTGCTATAGAGATGGAGTTTACTCCCTATCCTGCGTCTGATTTTCCTTGGTTTAGAATCAGGTATAATTTTTCCTCCTATTGGAAGACAGAGCAAAACACATTTTTGTCTTGTTCTGCAGGTGGTTCCCTCAACTGCTCTCGCAATAGTTTCACTAACTGGCTTGGTACATATTGCTCCTCTTCTGCTACTGGTCACATAGCACACAGGTGGCATATACAGTGGTACCTCGGGTTAAGTACTTAATTTGTTCCGGAGGTTCGTTCTTAACCTGAAACTGTTCTTAACCTGAAGCACCACTTTAGCTAATGGGGCCTCCTGCTGCCGCCGGAGCATGATTTCTGTTCTCATCCTGAAGCAAAGTTCTTAACATGAAGCACTATTTCTGGGTTAGCGGAGTCTGTAACCTGAAGCGTATGTAACCTGAAGCGTATGTAACCCAAGGTACCACTGTATAGGTTAGTCTATAGTGTAGTTAGAGGTTAAAGTAGTTTCTAGAGAGCTAGGCACACTTATTCTTCGAAAATGCATGGAAATCTCTACCTTCCTTTGGTGCAACTGAAAAAAAGGTCAAGGGAGGTGCACATATCCTTCAGTAGCTTGGTACTTGATGCAAGAGTATCCCTGTAAAAGGTGTTAAGTTGTTGCAGCTGAAGCAACCTTTACTATATACTAGTGGCCACCTTTTGAGTGTCACTCCAGGGTACAGAGAGGCAGTCTGGGGAAAATATATAGAGTGGAATCTCGGGTTTCAAATGTAATTCATTCTGGAAGTCGGTTTGACTTCTGAAACATTCGAAAACCGAGAAAGGGCTGGCTGCAAAGTCAATGGGAAAAAATGAAAAATGCACCTCGGAATTATTATTATTTGTACCCCGCCCATCTGGCTGGGTTTCCCCAGCCACTCTGGGTGGCTTCCAACAGAGATTAAAAATACATTAAAACATCATAAAAAACTTCCCTAAACAGGGCTGCCTTCAGATGTCTTCTAAACGTCAGGTAGTAGTTTATCTCTTTGACATCTGATGATAGCAGTTCAACTTCCGAGGTGCATTCGAAAACGGAAGCATTCACTTCCAGGTTTTCGGCATTCGGCTTCTGAAATGTTTGACAGCCGAGACGTTCGAAAACCGAGGTTTGACTGTACGCATATACCAGCTGTGGGGGTCATTTAGTTTATAATGCAGCCCAGCACAACGTATGATCCTCCAAGCTGAATATAGCCCTGTGCATAAACAGCCTGGCCTCGAGTCCCATCTGTGGTTATAAAGCAGGAATGGCTGTCAAGCCATAACGGATGGCTGCTAAGCTGTTTTTCTGCTCTGTGGATCACTCTTGTAAACTTGCTCTTATGTAATGAGCAAGAGTAGCACTGGAGGATTAACTATCATAGCCTAAAGCCCGGGGCCTGCTGCTCCTGCATAAAAAGACCACAAATGCTCATGGGATATATACCAGGGTTGGCCAGAAATAGCACTGAAGCTTAGAAAGCTAAGAACTATTCAAGTCCAGTTATTCATTCTGTTTATTGAATTGGAAAGAAAGGGAATACAAATATTTGTTAAGTGCTGTGCACCGACATGGAAAAGTGTTTTTTTTTTTAAACCCCAATAAAAACAAAAACCAGTAATTAATGTAGTTTGAATGAACATTTTAAAAGATATGTTTAATATACTACATATTTATAAAATAAGGTGTTCTGTAAATAATTAGTAAAACAAGTGAAAATAAATATGGAGACCCAAAGTTCTTATGTTTTAATGTAATATAGTAAAGAAACTTTAAACTACTTAATATAATTCAAGAGGAGTAACAAAAATCCAGAAAGTTTAAGAACGCAATCCTTTGAAACATTTAATATCAGTCCATAGCAAATAGTCATTACATACCAAAAGCTCTAAGTGTTAACTAGTTCCACCACAACTCCATATAAATCTTGACAATTTAGAAATTTGAGAATAAAAGTTCTTTTCTTGATCTCTACAGCTTGGTTTGTAAGTACACACATGCTTTGAGGATCCGTTTCTTCCTCATACATTTTCAAGGAGCCGACAACTTTTTCCATCTGTGCCGAGAAGTGTTAAGAATTAAATCTAGTACATTTATCCTAACAATGAAACACTTAAAAGATGGAGCACACTGAATTTCAAATTTATAAAAATATATTGGTATTAACCAAAATCTTAAAGTTAGAGGACACTTCACATACACACAACATGACTTAAAGTATGCAGTAAAACATGACATGTACCTAGAACAGTTGGTTCCATGACTGTTTGTGTTTCACGCACACACATTCATACCACACGCACACACACACTTTGCTGAATCCGGGTCATCCAAAGTCAGCAAACAGGAAATGGGGTTCTAGTTTGTGTTCCAGCAACTAGAGCAGCTACTGCAGACAACACTGCACAAGTCAAGTCCACCCTGTTCAAAAAGTGTCAAAGTGTTTCCAAAATTCTACTAATTGTCAAATGAGCGGTTTGTTCTATGGCAGCTGAAAATGGACTCAAGCCAATGCAATATACATTTTAACCATATATAGGATTGATACTCCAGTTTTAACAGTTCATTTGAAATGCATCAAATTGAGGCAACATGTGCTTTGGGGGTATTGACAAAGGGCACCAAGTTTTACTGAAAATTGGTTCTCTTCCCCTTCTGATCCTACCCCAAAATTAGAAACTAGACATTCTTCTGCTGTTAACTAAAATAAAAATAAAAATAACAAGAACTCTCCCAATGTCTCTTTTGCCAGCACAGGACTGGTTTAAGAAAACATTTTAACTTAAAGCCATTTTTCCCTTTGGGGTGGGAATTTATTTTTTTAATTAAGATGGCACTAAACACCTAGTATTAAATTACATTCAACAGTATCTGCTCGGAAGCCAGAATGAGACTATTGGCAAAAGTTGGGTAGCTTTCACTGGTGACTTCATATCAAAACTTGTATTATGATCCCCTAATTTTAAAACTAAAAACTTAAATGAGGGAACTAAGCCACACATTTACAAGGCGATTTTAAGGGCTATGTAAAAACTGTTTCTTCTTTTGTGCTCCTACTTTTAAAATCACTTACCTGATCTGAGAAGCACTGTGGCAAGATACTGTAGTGATTTATAGCCAGTGTGCATATTTTGGAGTTGATGGGTACAAAACCTAAGGCAAAATGCAAACTACTGTATCCTCTTTCCCACTCATTGCCTTCTGCTCATGGTAAGATATGGCCAGTAATCAGTGATTGCTCTAGCCTAGAGTAGAAATGCCTTCGTCATATATAAAAAAGAATGTTGAGATAAGCCTATTCCTTGACTTCTCCCCTAACAACAGTGACACTCTAGGGTTCTTTTTTATCTGAAATGCTGACATGCTTTTCAATCTACATATCAGTCAATTTAGGCTGCTCAACTATTTAAGATGACTCACAAGAAATCCTAGCATTGTTATTGCAGTTAAAAGTTTGCTTCCAGACAGATCTTGACTTTATTTGGTTCAGTTGTATGTCAAGAAGCAGAAATTAAAACTACCTCAATCTGAAGAGCTTCCTCTTAAAGTTGCGTGGTCTGTATTATGCAACTGGATTTAGAAATGGCACTCTCAAAACACATGCTTCTCGTTCAGCTCCACACTCAAGTGCTTTTTTATTTAAAAAAAAATCCAAGAACTCTTTCATAAGAGGTGAGGAAGCATAAGCAGTAGTGTGTCCACTTAATTTTGCTCTTAATTTGGTTTCCTGCTGGTGTTATGCGTTTCAAAGAAAAGGAAACAAATTGGTCAATTTTTTTTCACCACAACAGCGTCTTTGCAGGAAGTCTTAACTACAAGCATCGGATTGAATAACCTATAGAAATCTAGTAGCACCAAATCAAACTGATTTTAGTGCACTCTTCATAATTCACTTCCAATTTCCCTTCCAATCTCCTAGGGTAGTTTTGAATTTGCAAGCAGTACCACCAGCACCATATCAGTAATACAGCTGTGAATTTTTAAAGATTCAGAATGAGGGTATCTGCAAAAGTAAGATTTTATATAGGCTCAGAGGGAAGACTACAAAAATGTTCCAATTACAAAAACAAACCTTAATGTCAAATGAACAGAATACATGTCAATGGACAATTGTAATAAATGTAAGGTAAAATTACATATAAAAAGCTGCAACAGAACAGCTTAAATGTATTAAAGACTGGATGTAAATTTCTTTGCTGCTCCTAAATCCATGAGAATGCAAGGCAGCGGCATTCTGTTGTTTAAAGATTTCTCTGTAAACCTGGTCTGCACATACATTTTAAGCGACTTGGATAATTGTAATAGTGTTGTGTGCTTATTCAGAGACAATCAAAGTTAAACAACTGAATTACCACATTGATCGGAATACCACTTGTTCCAATCTGGAGGTATTTAAAGAAATTCAATCATGAATCTCTGATCAAATTAGAAGGCTCTGAAGGAAAACTGTAGCAAGTCTGAGTTAAGGGATACATGCCAAGTGCAATGGCAGTAACTCATATTCCTTATCACAGAATCTGTGCCTAAAAAAAAACAAGCACAAGGGAGCATATTTCCTTCTAGTCCTGTGTCTTTCCTAATGTTAAGACCTTTTCCCACCTGTAGCTTCTATTTTAGCTGGTACTACAAGGATGTGTTAACTGTTCTTTTATTATGAGTTGCTTTCTTTTCTGTTCTTTTTAAACTTAAGGATGGCCCTAAGTGCATTTTCACCCTTTAACTATAAGAGAAATTCTGAAACCAACTAACTATGTCGAACAGCTGGTTAGTTCTCTGAGTTTTAGTATGTATCCTCTGCACAAAGATAGTTAACAGCACCTACTCAGAAACAGTTCCTGGAGAAAGAATGATCTGGAAAGTTTGTACAAGGTATGTATTTAATTCACAGCAGACAGTCAACTCACTGATTTATTTATTTTTAAGATAATGCTATAAAGTACTATTCTCATTTTAGGTCTTTACTATGCTTTAAATAAGAACCATTGCACATTAAGGCCAATTTAGAATTTTCATTTATTAAATTTCAGAAATTACATTGTAATGGTTTAGTTGGCGATTCTGAAAGTTCTCAAATTGTTTTACGTTGGTAAACAAAGTTTCCTTTTAAAATAATACTTTATATAGCCTGTGTAAAACTGTTGCCAGCCAAATGGTCTTACACAACACTCCAGAGGAGCACCAATTATACTGCATTTACTTGTAGATGACACTTTTTAAGCTGGTTTCAATTCCAAATGTATACAAATGAAGTCATTTTAATGCTATAAATTATTTATTTTTCTTTCTTAAAAAAGAAGATTGTGCTGTTAACCCACTTACAGGGCAACAAGCTAGGTGAAAAGTACAAAACCTTTTGTCAAGTGTGATACTGAAGAGTGCTTTTCATGTCATTCACTGGTTTAAACATCTGGGTTTAGATATACTGTGCAACGGGCAAGGCTTAGAATCCATGAACCAAGCTGCAAAGATCTCAAGCTAAATAAGGCGGAGAGACTCAGAGAAAGAAGAGAAGGAAAGACTTTCCTATCCAACATGTACTCTTCAGACTAAAGCACTCTTTCTATCAAGCCTTCTAAACTGTTAAATAAAAGGTTTCCAAACAAGCATTTAAACTTCATTACACAGAAGAAGAGCAACAATAACAGTAGTCTGCCTGACAAAATGGCAGAAGGGAAAATGTATATACGGAGTTCAATGGTTAGCCTGAATGTAGCACAGTTCTTCACAACCGATGGGGGGTTACTTCAACATGGTGTCCAACAACGTTCTAACGACGTGCTTCATCTCAACTGTTTACTATGAAGCAAGGTGGTAAAATGTTTGGCCCCAGTTGGGCTTCAGAAATGGTTCTTTTTTTTCATGACGAGCATGTCTGTCCAGCTATCAATCATGTTTGTTTGCACCAAATCCCAAGCCATTTAAAATACGACTAAATTTAAGTTAAACAGAAGTCGTCTGCTCCAAATTCACCATCAACTATCCATGCTACTGCATTCCTCTAAGGGGGGGAGAGGGAGATGGAATGTAAAAAGAAAAGAAAAAATAAGAAATATCTTTAAAATCATAGTTCACCTTAGCCATGATATACATATGTATCTTCAGATTTACAAAACACATACACACAAACTCTTTTAGAGCAACCCAACCCAACTGAGCAGCTACAATCGCCATCGTACTAGTTCTGAGAGTCCAGCAGGGGCTTTTAAACAGCTTGCTTCACTTTGGGAGGTACAGAAGTCATTTCTAATACCGGGCCAGTGGGAAAAGGGGCTTTTCGTGCAAAAGAGACTTCCTTGATTGAGATGAAACCTCCCCTGCAGGAGCAGACAGCTGCCAGAACCCACATTTAACAGTGTGATAAAGTAATTAAGAGGTTGAGAAAAGTTGTAGTAGTAGAAGAAGAAGAGTTTGGATTTGATATCCCGCCTTTCACTCCCTTTAAGGAGTCTCAAAGCGGCTAACATTCTCCTTTCCCTTCCTCCCCCACAACAAACACTCTGTGAGGTGAGTGGGGCTGAGACTTCAAAGAAGTGTGACTGGCCCAAGGTCACCCAGCAGCTGCATGTGGAGGAGCGGAGACGCGAACCCGGTTCCCCAGATTAGGAGTCTACCGCTCTTAACCACTACACCACACTGGCTCTCGTAAAACCCATTTTAGATATTGAGATGGAAGGAATAAGAACTGGTACATGGGGCTTTAATTTTCCCTAAGATTACTTTGCAAGCCACTTCAGGAAATTCTAAAGCAGAATAAAGCAAGCATTTCTAAAAGAATGGAAAATGTTTTGCAGACTGGAAGCCCAATTAACATTTTGATACATTGTTAAGAAAATAACATTGTTTTTGCTCACACCATGGTGCAATGTATTGGCTTACACCTATAGACACAAAAACTCCTACAGCCTTGCATATTAGAAAGTGTATACATCTAACAAAAGCCTGTTTGCTAAGAACTTGTTTACTACAGTCTAGTTTTCACATATGATGGTATCTCTTTTTATGCTGCACCAGCTTTGCAAAAGAAGGGCATCTTGACAGAGCAATGGAAAAATTAGTCCTGGCTTGGACTAATACCCAGATAGGACTTTTGCATTTCAGAGATATCAACTGGAATTAATTCAAAACCTGCAGAACCACTGGCAGTAAAAGGTTCCAGGTGATACCTAAGAAGCAGTCAAGAATTGAAGCTCAGGTTTGTCTCAGCTATTGAAGCTCTCTCCTCATGTAACAGATACAGCTTCAATTAACAAAATGAGCAAGATACCCTTTCATTTCAAAGCAAAGAAACAGCTACATCATCAGTTTCAATTGATCTTTATTCTAGTTTGCTAGGGTCCAGATTTCTTTTCATTTCATGCCAACTAAAAAAAATTAACTACCAGGTTCAGTAACATTAAAATAGCTTGCTGCAGCTTCTAACGGTTCACACAAGGTGTCTCCATCTGATTTTTGGCAATCCCCTGCCTCTCTGTGCAGCCCTTCCACTAACGCTGCAATCCATATTGTTCAAGTTGCTTCCTTTGACTCTCAAGAGACTTTTTAGGGGGCATAGGGAGAGGAGATAATAAAATTCATTATGTGTGTGACCCAATGTTATTATTATTAGTAGTAGTAGTAGTAGTAATATCCCACATTTTTTCCAGACCTGTACTCAAAGCAGCTTACAGATAAAATGCAGAAACTCCACACCATACTTCAGTAACTTATCTCCTCTGTCATTTACTCTCAAGTCTCATTCTCTACCTACTCTTCCTTGAGGTTTCTTTCTTGGTTCCCTGAGCTATATTGCACCTCACTTATCATTCTTGTCTTTGTGCTCCTTGTCCCTTAACTTCTTCCCAGTCCTTAGGCATCTTGTGAGAGGTTATAGTTCAAGCCAACAGGTACCACCACCCTGTTCTGAACTTTTTGGAGTTTCCCAAGGTAGCAGACTCTTCAAAAGGAGGAACTAATACACAGTATGATGTGAATTTGTCCAAAGTCCCCTTTACCCAGTCCTAACTATTTATAGTAATAATAACTGAGGCAGCCAACTGTGGTGTGCAGCTTAATTCTGAACCAAGGCTGGGGAGACCCTGCTTCAAATCCACTCTAAACAATTAAACATGCTGGGTGACTCCAGCCTGTCATTAACTTTCAGCCTGTCCTATCTTACAGATCTATTGTAAGGACCAAAAGCTGGTTGGGGGGGGGGGGCGGAGAGAGCGAAGAATACTATTTATGCTGCCTTGAGCTCCTTGAAGGAAAGGTGGGATATAAATAAAATAAATTCCCAAAATAAAATACAGACGACTCTCGGCTTACGCTGGAGTTACGTTCCAGGGACAGTGCATAAAGCCAAAACCGCATATAGTCAAAACACATTTGGTTCCATGGTGAGTGGAATGGGATTGCCAACATTGCTTCCCCGACCCCGACCCACAATCTCTTTCCTGCCCCATTTTTATTCTTTTGCCAAGTGTGTAAAGCTGAATGCGCCCAAATTAAATGTGCATCTGTTGTGAGTTACCTGATCACAAGTAAGTAAGTGCAGCATACCAAATTCCTCTTCCATAAAAATTAGATTTGATTTACCTTCAATATCCTGGTTGTCTACAAAAGGTGCTGGTCCCCATATTCTAACAGTGCCATCGTCAGAGGCGCTGGCCATCATGGATGGAATTTGTGGGTTCCAGCTCACACAGTTGACTGTGCGCGTGTGCCCCGTCAGCTCCGCAATTGGCAGCTCGCTACGTTTGTGCCAAATATATACTTTGTGATCTAAGATGAGACAGGAGGGAAGAAACATGAAGCATCCCAAAATTTAAAACATGTTCCGGCACTTATCCATGTATTAACTGTTTCCATGTTAAAATTCCATGTTATGTCCAAGAACTGATATCTGCTCAGTAATGCATCCAACAGCTTCAAGAAGCTTCTTTTATGGCATTTAGAATCCTGTATTTAAACTAACAACAAGCACTGATCTTCTTTGCAAGTTGAAAATATTTGTAGGTAACTGGAACATAATACAGCTTTAAGTAGGCTTCATATTATCCAAGTAAGAATGCGAGTGGTTTGGGTGTTAACTCCTTACCCTAGCCTTCTACATGCATCAAGACTGGAATCAAGCTCTGGTCTCTCACACTTCCTCCATATTCTTTCTGTCCCCCCCTCCACCTCTACAGGTGGTATGGGCAACTTCCAAAAAGAACACAGCTATTTCAGTGTGGGATCCCATCTAAAACTGGATATTAAAATCCCTTTCTGTAACCGGTTCAATATGTAGGGCTATGAAAATTCTGTATTCAATTAACTGCAGGAAACTCTTTATTCACTGATTAACTTTTGCCTAAGAACAGAGAAGGAAGTGGGCAGGGCCCAGTCTTCATCTTTCCAAATGTACAGGTAAGGGAGAGGGAGGAGCAACAGCCACAAAGTTGCCTTTAAGTATCTTATCCTATCCGAACAATTCTATCAGTGGAGGCAACAAGCTCCATTTCAAAGGCTCCAAACATCCATGGTTGTGTTGTTGTAGAACAACATATCCACATAAAAAGTGTACAAATCTGAACAGTAGCAATGTGACATGAGACAACTTTGTGCGATTCTTGCGCCGATTCCTGTACTGACTGCACCCATCTAAATTGTAGATTATACAGAGATGGCTGCAGATCAGATGTACAACTCTCTGCACTACTGAAAAACCACAAGTCACAATGGCTACCAAAAAGAGAGATTTCTGCTAAATATTAATATTCCATAGAAGCAAACTTGACTTGGAGTTAAATACTTGATAAGGCAGAAGCAATTACATGAAGAACATCTGGTAGTACAAGAGTTATTTTAAAAGTTTTAGAAGTTAAACCACAATGTTTGAAAACTAAAATATGACAGTCCATTTCCAAAAGTACTCACTTATTTCCCAACCCCTATAATCATGCTGTGACCTAAAGTATTGCTAAAGTATTTTATAGAAGTGCTGTCTGTATCATTAAAAAAATCAAATTACCATGGCATCTAAATGGTATCAAAGACTCCTACTTGTACGTATTTCCATTGTTAACCTACCAATTTCAAACTATACTGTATAAGCTTCAAGTCATCACACATTCACTGTAAGGCTGCAACACACAGCACTTACTCATAGAAAGATATTTTCCCCTCTACTTTATGGATGTTTATGTGCACACGAGTTAGACGTGATTTTTACTCCCAGGGAAGACCCTTTGATGTTTGGGGCTGGTAGGTGGAAAGCCTACCTAGCTGAGAACATACCTTTACACTTAAGAGCTTATGACATTTAAATCTGTTACTTTTTTTGTACATAGAGACTTTCACAGCAGCCATATTTGCAACAATTCAGTGCAAAGAGGCAACAGCCTCAGGCAGTCGGAATCTAAATTAGGTGCCATCAGCTTCAACTACAGCTGGGTAGTTTTTAGACACTGAAAATGAAAAAAATAAAAAGCTTTTCTAAGTTGACCTGGATAAATTAAATTCACATTCATGTCAAACAAACAGTAGGCTGTAACTAAGTGATTTGTTTATGCAATCCTGTGTGGTGTACTGAAAAACTGATACACCAGGGAGTTAATACAGTTGATTAGACATTCCTGGGGCCAGAAATTATCTGGAAGGGGAAGGGGATTAATGCATGCAATAGGAGTGGCACAACTACATACAATGGCAATACAGTTAAGATACAAGGCATCAATAAACAGGCTGTTCTCAGGTGAAAAATTCACCAGTTAGTGGTAAAGAAGAAACACTGTTTCAAAATACTTTATTGCAGAGCCCAACTAGAAATGACCTCCTATTCAGACCAAAACCATCTTCTCCTAAAGTTTCTATAAGCTACAGGACAGGAGTACTGTTGTCCACACTGTATATACCACCATACTATTACCCTCACAGAGAGTAAGCTCCTTAATGCCTAGAAAAGCTGTCAAACAGGCCACTCACAGAACCAACAATAGAAAACGCTAAGATGACAGTCAGGTTGCTGATAGCCAAAGTTACTGAACATGCTAGATCTGCTACAGGATATGAAACTTGTTTCTCTCACTGTAATTGGTAATTATCCTTGAGATGTCAGAACTCATCTGGATTTACATAAGCACACCTACCTTTGGAAAAACAAGCCTACATCAAATAAAAATTGTATCCCTGTACACCACGCTCATTCTACCAAGACTACAGCTGTTACCATAAACAATAGCCTTGTACATTCAACCTCCTGTGCTACTAGATGATTTTTCTTCTTTCAGCAAACAAATCATTTCTATGGAAATAACTTTTTATATGGATCAGCTTGGTCACTGTGAGAATTGGATTAGATAGGCCTTTGGTCTGATCCAGCAAGACTCTTCTGATGTTTGTGTGAATTGTTGCTAGCATATTTACCTTACTTGTTAAGTAGAATACTACATCATTCCCCTATGTAGGAAGAATATCCTTGAAATATATATAAAACACACAGAAACAGATCTTAAAAGCAAGAGTTACCTTCACTGCCACTAGCGATGAAGTCTTCATTATGGCCTCCAAAACATGAGTGAATCGTGTAAAAACCTTGTGTAACACCTTGGTACTTTCTCACTAAAACTCTGTCTTGCAAGTCCCATAAATGAACTCCCTGAGAACAAAGAGCAGGGTGGAGGTAATGTAACATTACACAAACAAATTCAGAACAGAAAAAGCAATCCATTTTATGTGCACCAACAATGGTTTATACCCCAAAGTTACATGAGCAGAAGGTCGCTTGCTCAACAGAGATTTCTTGCCTACTCCTCTTCACTGCAGATTGCCTGCACCTCCAGACAGCCTCTGCCTGGCATTGAGGGACCTTCAGAAAAGGCCCCTGAAGCTCAAGTGGGAAAGAGATGCAGTGTGTACAAGCAACTTCCCATTTACACAAGCGGCTCCAGGAGGATACGGAGGTTGTGATATGCAGCGCTAATGGGCACTTGTTTCCCTTCTGCCTCCCAGAAGAATAGACTTTTAAATCCGGGAGGAAAGGGGGTGAAAACATGTGCTTGTACAGTTTCCATGGCAATGCAATGGAGAATGTAGGCAGGACTTTCCTTCTCATTTATGAGTATGAAAGGGATAAAGCGAAAGGCCAACTGGACCACTTACCTGAGTTGCTACGTTTAACAAAGCTAACCGGCCATTTTTCGAAATCGTAAAAGACATAATTGGATGATCTTCTTGTACTCTGAAAAATAACAGAACACATAAGATGAGAGTCATGACTTTGTATTCAAAATTAGCATTTCTACCCAATTTAACTGGTCTCATTATACGGTGCCTTGAAGACCCATAAGACCCAATCACATCCACATGTTTTGCCTAATTAGGGCCTAAAAAAAAAAGGGGGGGAGAGCCCAGCTTTAAAGCAGGTGTATGAACAAGACACCATATGGAATTTTAAGGCATCTCAACTCAGTTTCAGTATTTGACAAAGTTTACAATGATCTGTTTATGTAGCACAACATGAAGAAGAGGTAGTTACATGTTTCTGTCTGTAAGGTCCTCAAAGTTATAGCCCCGAATTCGCTGGTGTGTGTCTGATGCCAACACAGTCTTCCCGTCACTCAAGCACCACAGGCATTGCACTCTCACTCCTTCCCAGGAGTCAAGGAGATTACCATCTAAATCCTAGACAGGAAATGCATGCAGTGAAATAATGAGAAAGGTTGTCTTCATTTAAAGCAAATTGTAACATGAAAAATTTGGGTTATAAAAGCAGTTAGCAGTATGTAAGTATGTGCTGCAGACAAGGGAAAATATATTCCAAGACAAAGGTGTTGAACCTGCAGTCCATATCTGGCAGACTTCAGAGCCCCTTAACAATTTGACCGCTAACTTGGTTTTCTATATACAGTGGTACCTCAGTTTTCAAACGTCTCTGTTGACAAACATTTCGGTTTTCGAATGCCGAAACGCTTCGGTTTTCAAACACGCCTCGGAAGTTGTACATGCCACGTAACTTCCATATTTAGTTTTCGAATGTTTTGGAACTCCAGTCTTCTGGAACAGATTACATTCAAAATCCAAGGTACCACTGTATCTTCATCTAAAAACTTCCCTTTTTTTTAGGCAGTGCTGTAGACTTCCAACACACTAGTTTCAATCTCTCCACCTAGTCCAGCATAACAACAGGGGTACAGATCTTTCCCTGAATTTTTCTTTTGGCTTTTTTTTTTTTTTTTACTTTGCAGAAGGATCCTTTCTTGTTTCCTATGTCTTACCAAAACCTAATAAACGATGGCACCACACATGAGCAAGAAGGGGATCTTTTCAAAGAGGCTTTATTTTTGCTTCAGATAAATATGCTTAGTATTTCACAGGAAGAAAAACACTCAGCGAATTCCAAATGGTAGGTTTCTACAACAGGTTATACTTGCGAGGCTTTTTACTGTGAAAAGAAACCCTTACAAAATATATTCTAGTACAGCTATACACAGCTACCCACGCAGAACATAGAACCACAGAGACAGCATTAAGTGCAAAGTCTACAAGAAACTGATGGCACTTTGCATTGTAAAAACAGTACTTACACACTGATAGAACTGTCCACGCTGCCCTCCAGTCACAAAACGTTTTCCATCTGGATTCCAGGCCACACTTGTTAAACTATCTTCATGAGACTGACTCATCTTTGTCCTCAGCTCCCCTGTCTGTAGGTGAAGAAGTATAAAGTAAAGCCAATGAAAAATTTGCTTAAGAAAGCAAATTTTTAACATTTACTTAAATTTTTAACCTGCTTCATAAATTCAGGGCAGCTTACAAATAAAGAATTGAGACACTAAAACAAACAAACAAACATACAGTGGAGGCTGCCACCCCTGCTCACACTCTTATCGGCAGCCACATGAACTGCAACGTGACAACAGCCTTACATTGTTACGTATATAGGATATATACACATACATAGTAACTGATGACATCATTGGAATACTGCTGGTAATAATGAATAGAAATCAATAATCTGTTCTATATAGATAACCATGTTTTAATCAGATTTTCATCTCCAAGAATAGCAGGGGCTCCCCTTCGATAGTATCAATACTTCAATTATGGTTCCTGTGACAACATTATTGATTAAGACACTCTATCAACGAACTTCATATTAATAACCCTTACTTGTACATTCCAGAGCCAAAGCTCAGAGCAGTCATCTGGACCACAGGCAACAAGGTAGTTGTCATCTGGACTCCAAGCAATGTAGGAAACACCATATGCATGGCCTTCCAGTGTCTTGAGCAGTTTTAGCTGGTGTGTATCCTTTAAAAAAGAAAATATTGCAACAATGGCTATCTGGGTTGTTACTGAGATCTACCTGCAGTTTTAAGCAGTTGTCTTTGATGCCTAATCTCTCGCTGCCTCCTCCCAAAACAGTTTAGGAAACCAACATACCAAGGGCTTGTTTACCAGTTCCACCTTACCTCAGGGAAGACACACACTCATTTTCTGCCTACTTGACAGAAGTGTAGGAAAGGCTGTACCAGGGCAAACCAAGAAAGGAGGTACACAGGAAGCCATACAAAGCAACACAGAACCGCCTCCCCATTCTGGTTTAACAACATTCTTGGAAACCAACTAATGAAAAGCAAAATACTTTTAAACACAGATAGACATTAGGGCGATAAGCAGAAGTACTAGTGAAAGGAAGGCTATGGACTAGCAAATGTAAACCTTGGGCATAATAACCGTTTGCACCTTTTGCTCCTCAAAGATTTTTGCCTAGTTTTTGTATGTTCTAGGGCTGGGTGATGTTAGGTTTTCAATACTGTGATGTATCACTAGCCGAGCAGCGCAGTTTGGCGATAAACCACAATGTTGAAACAAGATGCATTGGCACCAATCGGCAAGGCGCAGGGTGAAACTGCCTCAGCTGTCAACAGCGGGAGCTGAGTCGCTTTCACTCCAGCGTCTCGCAGGCTGGGGCCAGCTGCATTGGAGAGGCTCCTGCCCCCAGCTGAGCAAGCCCCAAGCACCCAAAAGGTGCCCTCGGAGCACCTTTCTGAGGCTCCTGGCGCTGGCTTTGGGTACAGGCGAGCTACCCCGCTCGCTCACCCCCCACTCCCCAAAGACGGACCAGTCGGTGTCAGCCAAGCCCACAGAGACTATCAGGACTGGAATTGTACAATGCCATTCTATGCATGATTACTTAGAGGCAAGTGACAATACAGTGATTGTGGTGGCCTCTAACTTAGGTAGCTTTAAAAGGGAATTAAAGATATATATTCTATTAATTTGTCTACCAATAGTCACAAAGGCTACATGCAGCCTCAGATTCAGAGGTGGTATACCTCTTTGTACCAGTTATTGAAAAGTAACAACAGAAGAGGGTATTATCTTCTTGCATTGATTGTGGGCTTCCTAAAGGCACCTAACTAGTCACTGTTGAAAACAAAAAGCAGGATCTGATGGATTCTTGGTCTGGTATGCATAGATTTCAGTCTAGGTAATGTAATTCAGATTTTGGAAGGAGCTACTATTTAGTCCAGTGGCGGAGAATCCTTCAGATCAGGGTTTCCCAAACTTGGGTCTCCAGCTATTTTTGGACTACAACTCCCATCAGGACTAGAGGTCAGGGATGATGGGAAATTTAATCCAAAAGCAGCTGGAGGCCCAAGTTTGGGAAACACTGCTTCAGATGTTGCTGGACTCAACTTCCATCAGCTCCAGCCAGCATGGCCAATAGTTAGAGATGATGGGAGTCTGAGTCCAGCAACACTATCCAACATTTCAGTCAAATAACCATTCATCAACAGGCTTCATCAATTAAGTTATACAGAGTGCAAAAAGCAGAGACAAAGTAAAAAGGGAATGCTGACATTTTAGGAGAATTTCAGAAGACACAAAAGGAGGTACATTACGGGGAAGAACAACACATCTATCCAAGACCATTGACAAGTCTCACCATGCAAGACACTTACTGACTTTTAAGATTACAACAGACTGACTGAGATAGGTATCTCCTATTCTAAACAGGCTTTATTTCCAATACAACCCGCTCCAGGAAACTAATCACAGTATTGGTTGAACAACTGAGCAGAACATAGCCTAAAACACAAAACTGATGCAAACAGAAATACACCAAGGCATTTAGGAAATAAAGTAATGCACTAAAAATTAAAGCTTAATGACTAAGGAGTGATGTGCCAAATTTTATGCTTGTGTGTCAGAAGATTCTGGTGCACAAATTTACAAACTTACTGGATCAACCTGCCATATAATAACAGTTGTATCCTTAGATCCTGTTGCTAGTTTAGTGCCGTCATTTGAGAATTTACAGAACCACACTTCATTACAGTGTTCTGTAAGTATCTGCTGTGTGTAACATGGGAACTGTTTCCTAAAAATACAAGCAAAGAAAGGATTATATAGTAGAATCATAGTCATTTTACTTGCGCTAATACATATCCCAATAAAGCATGGATTCGAGAGTAGGATTTTACAAATATACAATATGAAACTTCTTGTTGCTATAGCACCTTAGTTTTTGAAGCTGTCATGCTGGCTCCTATTTGCATGATGACCAGGTATCAGTCATGAACCAAATAAACATGCAGCTAGCTGCATGCATTTAAAGAGCCTTTGGGTCAAACAGTAGCCTCCAGTGGTGCAAAGCAAACTGGATGCTAAATTGATTAGACTTTCAAAAGCAGTTTGCAATATCACATGAGGGTCTGCTTGACACCAAACTCTTGCTCATGGCATTGCAAAACAGGGCCCCAACCCTGACTGGGCATTTGAATGCTAGTTAGGAATTGCTACCCAATATTTTACGGTGATTTTTAGGAATTGAGGGAAAGGATTCTTAAAAAGTAAGAACCAAGGATGTAAGGGACAAGCAACAAATCCTAAACTGTTATTTATTTTATTTATTTTTTTTAAAAAATACATACTGCTGTGTCATAAAAATTTTCACAGCAGTTTACATCAATATAAAACCAAACAATAAAATCATAACAAGTTAAAAACAAGCATCAATAGGCCATTGTGTGGTGTGGGTGGGTGGGTGTATTCTTAATTGCCTACATAGGCCTGGAAAAATAGAAAAGTTTTCAGCAGGCATTTAAAAGTTGGAACAGAAGGGAGCTGATTGAATGTCTATTGACAGGGTGTTCCACAGGGCTGAGCTCATGTCATTAAAGGCTATCATTCAGTCTGATACTGGAACCTATTATTGCAATCCTGCACATAACTAGTCTGCTTAGATCTCAGAGTTCAGTGGGATTTAACACAATAACTGTGTAGAATGGCAGTCCAAGCTACCAAATATATTGAATCCCATGCACACTTATCATTAAGTAAGCCCTGCTGAACTGAACAGAGCTTACTTCTGAATAGATGTGCTTAGGATTGCAATTAGGACTGAAGCCAAGACCATCAGCTGTAAGTTCTGAAACTGAAAAAACTGCCAGAGATTTGAAAATATTTTGATTATTTTAGGATCCTTACCTTTCGATTTACTGCTATATAAAGACTACTTCTCTGTTCATATTGTTAACATGTTTCTAAATTGATCAAGGACTTAACACAAACGTTCCAAACACCCCCTAACATTGCAAAAATACAACATTCTTAACAAGTCAGCTGCCTAAGAAAATTGCTCTTTAAAGCCTTCATAAGAGAGTAAAAATTATTTAAAGGAATGTTGTTACATTAAAAGATATTTCCATTCTCATTAATATGGAGCAGTTCTCTTACCTACTGCAAACATGGTCTATCAGCAGTGATACAGAATCTAGATTATTATCTAGTTTGGTATTGTGATAGAGGCACCGGTCCCGTTGTAGTTCCACAGCCTGACGCAGTAAATTCTGCAGACGCCTTGGGGGGAGCATCACTGATGGTGGTAGGTAAGCTTCAAAAAATTAAAGAGAGTATTTCAGAGCAATCTTATAAGAAACAGCATGTAAGAAATCTGGTATTCACATACAGGCCAGTATCAGATCTAATTTAAGCTAAAAATTACCCATAACTTGGGAAATTAATAAAATCCTCTCACATTGACCTTAACTCAACCTTTGCTGTTGCAAAGAAGCAGAAGATTGTTTAAATGCCAATAAAATTATTAAGAAAATGCTAGTTACTACAAGTCAGTTCCTAAACTCTATCACACAGCGCCATGGTATCTTATTAGGTGTCATCGATATGGAAGTAAAACACAGATAATAGCAGAGTACATTATACTTTGATTTTATGAGACACTTAAGTCACCATTATGCAGAATTATGCTATCCTAATTACAGCTAACAATTCTTAACCATTGCATTTCCCCCTTCATAAATTTCCCCCTTAAAAGTAGGTCTCCCTAACCTACTACCCTTCCTATGTTTTGACCTACAAATCCCATCAACCTCAGCCAGGAAGGATCCAACACATATGACGGGCACCCAGTTAGGGAAGGAAGATTTAGAGTGAAATATACTAGATAAACAGATGTGCAAACATTGTATGCCCAGTGGAAACTAAGTTTTTTCTTACTCTGGAGTTTGTCCAAAAGTCTAGATCTGGAAGTTGTGCCTTTCCCTTCCCATTCTGCTTTTGCACGCAGGTCTTCTGCATGACTACACATCAGATATCTGTTTGTATATAAAAGAGAAACACATGAGATTACATATTTCGGAAATATTGACCTTCCCCAACTGCAACAGCATTTGAACCAAAAGAGCACATTTATTCTTCTCTGGAGCAAGAAAAAGGGAGATGGACTTAGCAGAAAAGCTATTAACACCAGACTTTATGTTAAGTCTATATGGCTTAAACTTCTGCTTTCACTGTTTAGTAAAGCTCTAATATATATATATTTTTAAAGGAATTTAGCATATCTAATTAAAGACGCTGCTCAAGTATGCAGTTGGTGGGAAGGAAGCAGAGCCATGAGAATTCAAAGGCATGTTCCTGAAACTGCTTTTAAAAACTGTTTGACAGGACTTCCCTTATATAGATCAATGAAAAAATCCCACGGAGTTCAACTTCCAGCACCAATCAGTAACTGATCAGTTCAGATGTTCTGTCTACACAACTGATCAGTCTGTGTTCTCGTACACACATTTTCCCCTTGAATCTCCTTGAGAAATGTCAGGATGTGAAGATAAAAGCACATTAAAATCTCAGAATGCAAATGATTAAAGATTTTTACTAAGTAAAAATGCAATTCTATTTAGTAAGAATATATTAATTTCACATTTAATTTAGAAATGATGTGGGAGTTCTGAAAGGAGGCATCCAGGAATGTCTTCTTTCTATAGGAGTTTTCCCAGGTGGATGTTTACTTTAATAAAGACTAGTGGAACCTGCAACAAAACTCTGCAGTGCTGAGTACTCCTATACACAGTTCATGACATGCTCCCCATCCCGCCCCAGTTTTCTGTTTCTTTCACCTCATCAATTAGCATTTTGTGCAGACTGAGCATGCTCAGTCCTCAGAGAGCTGTTTGAATGTTTCACCTTTCGTTTAGAGAAAATAAGTTTCTTTGACACTTCTGCAAATATGGACGTTCCTCTCAGCCTCTTGTATGTGGGTGATGCCATTTCGGTTTTGCAAGGATCAATGCTTGGATAATAAGTTTACTATTGAGATATATTCAACAATGTAGAATCATATCCTTTTGGCATGCCTCTGCTTCAGGAATCCCAGAAAACACTAGCACTGGTGTAAAACAGGTAGTAGGATCTTATGCAATTCAAGTCAAAAGTTATTTAGTTCAATGGGATTTACTCTTGAGTAAACATGTGATTGCAACCCTAAGTACTTACCCACTGAGAATGTGAATGCGCTCTGTGTTGTATTTCAGTGGTGTCAACTCACAACGCAGAACTTGAAGTGCCTCCAGAACCTTACCATCCTCAAGATACTCTAGGTACTTTTGCTGCAGCAGCAAAAACTTCATCCTCTGACATGACAGAAAGCAGCAGGTCAGGTGGGGAGAAAAGGATGACTGAAATTTCAGAAAACATTTGAGCCCAAACCAGGGAGTATACACCATTCCAATTTGCCTTTTCAATACATTTGCTCTCATGACATAGGAATGCTTTGAACAGCCTTTTAGCATTTGCAAGACACACTGATTCGTGCTGTTTATTATAAGTCATCAAGCTGCAAGAATACACACTTGATGGAACCCCAAATTATCTTCTCAATCTTCCTCCAGTTTCCTATACCAAGTACCCATACTCTCAAACAATCCTATTAAGCTAGGGATGGGAATCCCGCCCCCTGATTATCACTCTAGGTACAATGACACTACAGAACACCAGCCCAGTAGGGATCTGCCCAGAAACTAGATTTATACAGAGCATGTAGGACCTCCAAATATATTATATGCAAAAGCAAACATTGCTTGTCTGCAAAACAAAACACAGACCCGGCTTAACTTGATGTATATATTTTGGTCTTCGTGGAAAGCAAAGATTATCCACTCTCTACATTCAGAACTCACTTAGCAGGCATGTCCATGGAAAATATATGCACCTTCAGCAGCAATGTTACCTTCATATATTTTAAAAATTGGACTTCTTATTGATAGCCATGACCAACATAACAAATTCATGAATTTAAGGTAAGGGGGAAGGAAGGAGAAAAATATTTGGCACAGATTATCGAAAGCTCAAGTGGCAGTAGTATATCATTCGTAGCATGGCATTGCAATGTATTGTGCCTGTCTCTCACCTGGTAGCAGGCAATGTCCTCCCTCATGCCCCAAAAAAGTCTCAGCTCAGAAGAACTGCTGAATTATACTTTTGTCCCAGGGGCAAGGAGTGGGGAACATGAGGCGTGAGGGACAAAAGAGTTTATTCTGTTACGTATACCAGTAGTGATACCAGTAGTGATAAGCATCAATTTTTGAATATCTGTTTGTGTTTTAAGTTATTGGAAACAATTCCTTACAAACAGTTTCTTGTTCTTTTTATTCAAACTTCCATTATTTAAAGAAAGTTATGCATCATTTGATTGTAAGAAAATCTCTAAGTGGTTTACAAAAACATATACAATGAAACATCAAAATAGAAAACAGGAACAGGTATTTTAAAACATTCAGAAGATTATAAAAATCAATAGTAGTTAGAAAAAGATGTAACTTCTACGTGTCTGGATGGGCCTGCCTAAACAAGAATGGTTTTTATTTTTTAAGCAGGCGCCAAAAAGACTATAGTGAAGGCGTCTGCCTGATGTCAATAGAGAGGGAACTCCAAATGGTAAGTGCTATCATACTAAAAGATCAATTTTTTCTAAGTATGGAATCAGTATTATGTGGCACCAGTTAACATTGCCAGTTCTGCAGATTGAAGAGATAAGAGTGCATATATGGGTTAGGCAAGTAGACTGGTCCCAAACTGTTAAGGGAATATACTAATGGTAATGCTTTGAAGTTGACCTAGTAGCTGGATCAAGAACCACTCCCAAACTGCATACCTGTTCCTTCAGAGGAGTGCATTCCCATTTAAGTTGCGTTGGTTCCCCCTGTGAGAAAAGTGACGTAACAAATATAATACATTTTCCGGACATGGGACCTACTCACTCACACTGTCTGTCTTACAAGGATACAGGCTCAGCATATTTTTTGTCATCTATACCACCATTGCATTCAGGCACCAAACACAGCCTCTCTTGATTCAGATGTTATGGAGAAACAGAGCCAGGTATCATCAGTGCAATGAAAAGCACCTTGCCCCCAAACTTCTGACCACTCCCAGCAGCTTCATCTATCTATCTATCTATTAGTGTGCCTGGGGATCAAAAAGCACTCTCTCAGTACTACTTTCTGGACCTGGTCCCATAGGTTAGACCAGAATCCCTGTGACACGGTGCCCCCAATTCCCAATCCATAGAGCTGGTCCATGAGGATACCATAATCAATGGTATTGAAAGCCATGGAGAGATCAAGAAACAGCAGCAAGATTGCACCTAGATTGAAACGAATTTAAATAATCTCCATCATCCAAGAATGCTTGCAGCTGCCCCACCACAACTCTCGCTACTACATTCCCCAAGAAAGGGTTATTTGCAACTGGTTGATAGTTTTTCCAGTCCGAGGGATCCAGGGCTGGTTCCTTTAGGAGAGGCCACTGCCTCTTTTAAGGCAAAAGGCAACACTTCCTTATATGCAACAAAGTATTAACCTTGCTCTGGACCCAAGCAGTCAAACTTCCTCTGCTAGGTTTAAATAAGCCAGGTGGGACAGGGGTCAAAAAGGCACAGGGGTCAGGCGTATAGCTGCAAGCACTTTATCCATGTCATCTGACTGCATAAGCTGAAACCAATCCCACAACACATCACTGACAGTGCTACTGGATACTTCGTCTGGAACTGCAATAACTGCACAGTCAAGGTCACTCTGAAGTTGAGCGACTTTATCCTCAAAACGTGCAGCCAGTTGGTCAAAGTAGGTCTGTGAATGATCCTGTTAACCACCCGTTTTATCTCGTGATTTCATAGCAAGACCAGGGCTCCAACAGGATCACCAGCTTTCTCTGCTGGAACCCATCAAGATCCATCCATCTCTAAGGGAGGGCCATCCAAATGGGCCCACCACCCTAATGGAGGAATTTGCCACTACTATTCCAGGCTTCATCATTAGCTGGTGAAATGCATTGCAAGGGAGTGCACTGCTCCCCACTATCTTTGGGTCTATGGACCGCAATAAAGTTGGGGGGGGGGGCGGTAAAGACTAAGGGTGTGCCTTTCCCAATGAGTTTGACTAATGAGTATTTGAGACAGCTCCATGGTTGTCATGAAGACCTTGAAGTTCTGAGCCAGTCCAACAGCAGCCAAGCCATCCCTTGATCATCCATGATCAAGTTGTGGATGAACATGGCCTTTTTACTGATGGACCTGGCATACAATAACAGCACCACCACACCAGAAGGATCTACAAACCAAACTCCTAGGTCTCCATCCCAGAATGTGGTCAGCCACTCCACTACAACTATACCTTCCCCTGCCAAACACCATTTCTGAAATTGGGACAATATCTTTGTAACTCCCTATTACCTCCCCCCTCCCAACACCTTCTAGCACTACCATCCAATATCACACTATACAGCTTTGAGGTTAGGGCCACAGGTAATAAACAAAGGCCCAGCTGTAGGCATATTCTACTGTTAAGTGAAAGACAGTAATTTCACCATCTCTCTCTTTGGATCTCAGGGGGAATCCACCAAGCCAAACCTCCACTCTCCCAGGCTCTCACCCTGGGTAATGGTCACATGCCTGTCTCCCACAGTGCATGGCCTACAATTTCATATCCTGATTGACAGGAGATACCCCTTTCCCTCAGTGATAACCTAAAGGGGAGAGAGATTCCTTTTTATGTCAACCCATTTGGGGACAACCGCACCACATATGGCGAGAATCTGCTGCAATAAGGCAGGCTAAGAACCACACCCTAGCTGCATGCACTCAGCCAGCAATCAAGAAGTACTATTCACTGCAATCAGTACAAACACTCTCTTACCTGCAGGCAGATATGTAACAGAACAAACAAACTGATGCAGGCAAAATTCCCCCTCCCTCTCTCTGTCTTGCTGTCTGGGAGAAAAACCAGAAAGGGCCAGCCAGTCTCTTTGCTTAGTCTTCCTGTAGGTCTGCTCCCTGATTGTAGTAGTAGTAGTAGTAGTAGTAGTAGTAATAATAATAATAATAATAATAATAATAATTTATTTCTACCTCGCCCATCTGGATGGGTTTCCCCACTCTAGGTGGCTTCCAATAAACGATTAAAAATACATTAAAACATCAGTCATTAAAAACTTCCCTAAACAGGGCTGCCTTCAGATTGTCAAGCGATTGTGACATACTCACAGGAAGATTACATGCTTATTTTTATGATATACTAACATAAAAAGGAATAACAGTATTTCAATAATTTAATGAAACAAAGCAGAATTTAACTATTAAGCCAACAATGTAATTTGCTATTATTCTTTCTATTTACAAAGCCACCAATTGTATCCTACTTGCAACTAGTTATTTTTAAAATGAAATGGTGACCTCAGTTTTTACTTCAAACCTGCAAGAATCACAATGCCACCAGATTAAAGACAATTGCATATTTGATCAGTGCTAACTAATGTCATCCTTACTTTGGCAGCCCATAAACTTATGATCATTTGCCTTTCAACTCCCACATTGTTTACACTATGGCCCTTGATGATGAAACTGCAGAACTTTATGCAAGAGTTTTGTTTAGTTCCTGAATCAGTAAAAACAAAAAGGCTCCACCTTATATACTTTGTTGTGCTAACATCACCAGACACATAACCTTTACATTAAAAGCAAAACATCCCACTGTTTGCTTTATGTCTTATGTGTATCACAGTGAGAAAAACACAGAATCAGTTTATTCTAAAGACAGAAGGGTTCCTTCTGTTCATGGAACAGCTGGTGATATAAAGAGTTAAACTTCTCATGTACAAGTTAAACCACAGCATATGGCATAGGTTCTTGAATGTATGGGCATTTAGGCAAACATACATATGCCGTATTGCTGAAAATCAAATATATCACACCTTTAAAATGAAAGGGAACACCCACTTCAAGAACCACCATCATGCAGACTCTCAAACTCCAAACCACTTCTTCCCTTAAAACTGAACTAATTATTTCAGTCACATGGACAAAAATAAGGATATACTCTGAATCAGGATCCATAGCATTAGATCCTATTTCAATGTCAAAGCTCAGTCTTGGAAATGTAAATACCCACAGAGCATGTACACAAATAACCAGCCTCCTTATGTCTGGTATCAAGAAGAGTATCTTTCATGTTTAGTAAAGGGACGCCTGACCATTAGGTCCAGTCGTGACTGACTCTGGGGTTGCGGCGCTCAACTCGCTTCACTGGCCAAGGGAGCCGGCGCACAGCCTCCAGGTCGTGTGGCCAGCATGACTAAGCTGCTTCTGGCAAACCAGAGCAGCGCACGGAAACTCCGTTCACCTTCCCGCCAGAGCGGTACCTATTTATCTACTTGCACCTTGACGTGCTTTCGAACTGCTAGGTTGGCAGGAGCAGGGACCAAGCAACAGGCGCTCACCCCGCCGCGGGGATTCGAACCGCCGACCTTCTGGTCGGCAAGTCCTAGGCTCAGTGGTTTAACCCACAGCACCACTCGTGTCCCTTCTTTCATGTTTAGAGGTGTCTAAGTATGACAACCAGACAGGTTTGACACCCCATTTTAGAATATTCACTAAAAATGTCCCCTTCAACAGCCCAGGCTTGCCTTCTACCACTGATAAATCACAGGCAGGCTTGGTGTGTGTGTGTGTGTGTGTGTGTGTGTGAGAGAGAGAGAGAGAGAGAGAGAGAGAGAGAGCAAGCACACACTGCACCTCCCTTTACCTTACACCCAGTTTCCTACCATCCTTTTATAATATTGAAGTAATTTTTCAAGATACTATTCCTGCCTCCATAAAGTCAAACTCAATCCAAACAGATATCCTTTCCTTTAAGATACTCACTGAAATGTGTTAATATCTAATTTTTGCACACCCCTAGCATTTCAGAACACCACGAAAGAGACAACAGATTGTGGACTGCTGTTCTGTGCTGTTTTGTTATCTTGTCATTGCTTGTTCTGTGGTTTTATTTTATGATTTTAATGTAACCAGCACTTGTTTTGACTGTGACTTTTTTTTTACTAAATAAACTACAGAAGAAAGGGAAGGAAATGGAGGAATGTCACAATTAAAACAAGTACAAAGTAAACAGGGGAGGAATGTGCAATTATTGCAGTGACATGTACAAATGATCTCATTTATCAAGGTGGAAATGGGGGAGCAGCAGCACAACACAAGGGAGCAAAGTCCAAGACTGAGACAAGGCCTGATATGCCATCCAAACTCAAGACAGCGGAGGGTGCAATGGGGAGGGGGGGAGAAAGTCACAAAATAAGGAAGGCTTAAAACAGTATAGGCTGCTAGGATTCTAACCACAAAGCTTGAAGTTAGAGAATACATAGACAAATGAAGTGCAGGAGGTAAGATAGAATTCTTTTTTAAAAAGGAAAAAAAATAAAACTGATTACTGTAGAAGGAAAGATTTTATATGCAAAAGGAAGGCATCTTAACACTGATAATTGCTAAAAATAACACCCATAACCCTCTTGTATGAAAGAGAACAAATCAAAAGTCAGTTTTAACACAAAAGCCATATACAATGGATTTTATCATTGTACAAGCTATGAACTATGAATATTTTTAGATTAATGAGAGTTGCAACATTTATTGTTTAAATCAATAGGAGAAATTGACAGGCAGATTTTTGTAGACTAAAAAGTGTCCTGGTTAGCATTTTTTAAAAAATCAGATTTTTAATTTTTTTAAAAAATATTATCGCTACATAAAATGTGTGCATCGCCTTAAAAAAAATGCACCTGCTTTAGAACTATTGTGTTTTTTTCTCATATGCAGATTTAATTAATTGCTCAATCAACACTTAAAAGTAACTAAGATTTCTTTAATGAGATCACAGCTGTAGCACCAGCAAAGGTCTAGTATAGTTTGCTTCCCAACACATGGAAACAACATTGTACTCCCTAGCTACTGGCAGTCCTTATTTTAAAAAAATCCAGATACCTGATCTGCCATTGAATGTTTTTGCTTCGTATCCTTGCATGTCCTGAGAGTAAGCCAAACAGAAATCTTTTAATTTCACTATTGATCTCCTGTCTCTAGGCAGTAATAAATTCTGGACCATGTGTACTGGCTCCAAATACATTCCCAGGACCAATGTAAAAGGTTGGCTTTAACCTTCAAAGCCTTACACTGCTTGAGACCCCAATACTTTACTGAACACCTCATCTCATATGAGCTACCCAGACTCAGAGGTCAGCTTCAGAGGCCTTTCTCAGAGTGCACCTTCCCATAGACATTCAGAGTGACAAGTGCTAACCCCCTAAAGAGACAAACCAGGTGCCAACATCATCATCTTTTATTCTAAATATTTGATTCTTAACAAATATTGCCATTACTGAAAGGGAATTATTTAGTAGTTCATGTTTTTGAAGGTGGGGTTTTTATCAATGTACTGAAAACCATCATATGCTCATCGGCAGTGTTTTAGTTTATTACTTTGTTTATTGTTCATTTTTGAATTTGAATTTTTGTATTTTTGAATTGTATTATTTCTTCTTCTCCTTAAGACTCTTTGTACAAGGCAAGGAATCATTAATATTCCAGTGGTGAAAAAGTCATGGCAATTATGCAAACAGAAGTTTTGAATTTGGCTTTGTGACCATATAAAAGTGTTTAGTTACAAACATATGTATAAAGCAAGCCATTTGTGTGTGTGTTAAGTCAGGAAATACAGTGGATGCTCGGGTTGTGAACGTGATCTGTGCGGGATGCACGTTCGCAACCCGCAGCGGTGCGTCTGCACACACATGGGTTGCGATTCGGCGCATCTGCACATACGCGACTGCCAAAACCTGGGAGTAACCCGGTACTTCCAGGTTTTGGCGGGTCCGTAACCCGAAAAAAAGCAACCTGAAGCGTCTGTAACCCGAGGTATGACTGTATCTGAATTTCTATGAGGAAAGAGAAACTTGATTTCATTATATAAATTCAAATTCATCAGCTGACTCATGGGTAGGCCTCGTATGGTTGCATTCCAAAGGGACAGCCAGTGGCTAATGCCATCACACAGCTCCCTCTACAACTCCCCACCTCTGACTCCTGTGTGAGTCGAAGGGCATTTGTTCTGGTTCTTCAAACTGGAATGATACAGTTGTCACTAACTGAATCCTCTCCCCCATTTCCTTTGCTGGCAGAAAGAGCTCCGCCCTTCATTCCAGAACAGTAGAGTCTCTCTTCAAAAATTAAACATCCTTGAGGTCCAACCTGGTTAAAATGATTCCAGATACACAATATACATGCACTTGTGTGAATTCAGAAGTGATTATTCAAAATTGAACACAGGCGCCCTCCCATTTACACATGATCAACTCACACGCAATTGCATCATAGACACACGGCACTGGGAAATAAATAAATAATCTGATTCAAACCTGGAAATGGTGGGAGAGAGATGGAAAGTCCTCGTGGCTCACAAGGAGACCCTCCCTGGAGCCTGGTGCAGGACATCAATGAGGGCAGAGGAAGCCTCGAAGAGCCTGGAAATGCAGCAGGGCTTTGTTTAGGCTCCTCAGGCTCCCCTCCTAACAGCTGATGTGTGCAGTAGTGCAGCAGCCGCCTTTCCATGCATCCTTCAGCTGGCCCCAGAGATACAGTACAGTCATACCTCAGGTTGAGCGCTTTCGGGTTGCGCTCCGCAGCAACCCAGAAGTAACGGAGTGCATTACTTCCGGGTTTCACCGCTCGCGCATGCGCAGCTGCTAAAAATGACATCACGTGCATGCGCGGAAGCGGCAAAAAGCGATCCGCGCATGCATGCACACCGTCGTGTCTTACGTTCCATTCAGGATGCGAACGGGGCTCCGGAACGGATCCCGTTCGCATCCCGAGGTACCACTGTATTTTCCTGGGATTTTATTTCAAATAGTTTAGTTACAGATTTACAGGTATCTCTCCCCACACCATCTACAGAAATATGATTACCATTCCAGACTGGGTATTATTTAATATGGTTATGTTTTATTTGCCCTGCCTTTAGTTAGATATATTACTGAATTCTGTAAATTGCCTGTGGTTCCCTAATAATTGAAAAATAATTTTTAAAATATGGATACATATCAACCATTTTTAAAGCCTCGTGTACACTGAATAGCCTAAAGATGCCTATAGATTCCCAGGGAATTTTTAAAACTTGTTTTGTAAGCATAAATCAGAAAGAAGTATGTGCCAAATGGTACGCATACTTTTAAAATTATCTCTTGGCAATTACAACTTTAGTCTCTAAAAAGAAGAAGAAGAAGAAGAGGAGTTTGGATTTGATATCCCACCTTTCACTCCCTTCAAGGAGTCTCAAAGCGGCTAACATTCTCCTTTCCCTTCCTCCCCCACAACAGACACTCTGTGAGGTGAGTGGGGCTGAGAGACTTCAAAGAAGTGTGACTGGCCCAAGGTCACCCAGCAGCTGCATGTGGAGGAGCGGAGACGCGAACCCGGTTCCCCAGATTACAAGACTACCGCTCTTAACCACTACACCACACTTCAGCCTGTGAATAGTTACACAGAATAATAGAATTACAGAGTTGGAAGGGACCCTGAGGGTCATCTACTCCAACCCCCTGCAATGCAGGAATCTCAACTAAAGCATCCATGACCAACTGTCAAATCAAGGTTGAAACAAATGAAATGCAAACGAGGACAACACAGGCCCCCTTTAGTCCACATGTGCTAACTAACCTTCTACAGCAGGGGTAGCCAATGCGGTGCTCTCCAGATGTTATTAGAGGCCATCAGGTCGGAATAGCATGGCCAATAGTCAGGGAAGATGGAGACTGCAATACACCAACATCTGAAGGGTACCATGCTGACCCTCAAGATGTTACCCTTTCTAGAATAAGGAATTTTAAAATGTAGGCTTTATCCCACAGCACACAGAAAGCCTGTTTCTCAAAATTAAGACAAAAACCTCCCACATCCAAAGCTCAACTTCAAAACAGGAATACAAAACTCAAACTCTCATGAAGATTTCAGCAATAAAACAGAAATTGGTGCTCTTATTGCAGGCCCTCAAATAACAATAACCTGGAGGAAGTGGAAACAGCTAATAATATTCCCATTTCAAAATCTGATGGCAGGTGAGGTATGAGAGTGCATGCCTCCCCAATATCCATTATAATTATAGCCATTCATCAAGGAAGTAAAGAGTCTGGAAAGAATGAGGGTAATGCAACCTAATATGCCACTGCATTTGGAGGCACACCCATTACAGAATCTCTCCCAATACTGTCACCATGCACCTGAAGCAGCATATGTCAAGGGTCAGAAACCTGTGGCTGTCCCAATGACCTCTAATGCAGTTCACTTCACTTCACACTCGAAGACTATAGAACATGAAGAACAGCCGCTACAATAATGTGTAAATGAGCAAGCAGCACAGGACTTTTGTCGCCACCTAAATTTGGCTTGGAACTAGTCTCCTACATCCCTGAAACACACTATACCCCGGAATACACTTGGAGACTGTTCAGCATTGATTACAAGTTTATTAGTTTTATACACAATAAAGCACAATGTCTTTCAGAAGAAATTATTTAATTTACGATAATTATTAAATTATATCTGAAAGATTATTAATGGTGGATTGGAATAGAAGTAATATATTATCAATATTGTATCAGTAACATCTTAATATAAGAGTGATGCATTTTCTATTTTGTTATTGCAATCCAATTAATAGACTTGTATCAAAGTAGTATAACTGAATATCCAGATCAGGCATAGACTCATGAGGTGGCTTTGGGCAAGTAGTAGTTATCCATGTTAAATCCACAGATAGCAATGATCAACCTCAGGGGCATATATGCTAAATAATATACAATACTTAATACAACATTGAAAATGATGAACACAGATGGCTACTTTACCCCTTTTCTGCCATGCCATATCCATCAAATAGCATCCAAGTAAGTCATACTCAGAATAGACCCGTTAGTCTGAATCAATAATTTCAATGGTCTACTTATTGGATTAATCTTGTTTCCAACAGCAATATAGGATTTAAAACAAAATATCAAAATAACTATTCAGAGAAACAGAGGAAGTTATTAAACTTCAGATAATATTTTCTATCACTAGAAGATGTACTGGGGCATATATATAGGTGACTATATATAGACCCATGATCATCCTAGCTGATTAATTCCAGATTCTTGATCCATGTATTGCCCTCTCTGCAGACTTGCTTTTCAAAGTCACTTGTTGAACAAGTGGTCACTCAGCTAATCCAAAAAGACAAATGGAAAGAACTATCATTTTTTTCTGGAGTCTCTCCCAATCCACCATTCAGCCTGGGTATGAAAAACGCTAGAGTGAATGATAAGCACTGCTTTGCTTAGAGATCAAGAGAAATGGAACCTCATCAATCTTGTTAGTCCTTTCTGTAGCCTTTGATACCAAATGATCACTGCTGACATGACTATGGGGTCTGATTAGTGCTGTGATGCTGCTCAAGTGTTCCATTTTCTTTTCGTTTTTATAAGAACATGTAAGAAAGTGAAAGGACTATTCGTTATCCCCTTAGAAGTTTTCCAAGTTGCCTCTTGCAAGGTAACTGCGCAAACTGATTTGAATACATGGTGTCACGGGTTATAAACATGAGCCAACTCATGGGCACCTCACTCAAAACCTGCAATCTTATTGCTCTGTTGGCCATGACTGAAAACACACACACACACACACACACACACACACGGTAGTATACATCTGAATACCAGATACTTTGAATGTTTAGCAGGAGGAGGACTGTTGTATTCATGTCTCTCTATTAGACTGCCCAGGGAATTCTGACTGGCAACTGTTAGAAATAGGATGTTGGCCTGATTGCCTGCTCTGGGATGGCTCTCTTCGTGATACTGGATGTTAGCAAGCCAAATGAAAAAGGATCTACACAAAGCTGTAATGACCACCGTTGGCAGATAGTACAAAAGAGGCGGTGTGGAGAAGAAGGAGAGACACACTTCACTGACAACAATTCAGTCTCCCTTGGTCACTTAAGTCTACAGCCTGGATAGCTTTTAAAATTTTAAACTGTAACCTGCCTAGGGGCCTACTAGTGAAGGGAGGGTAATAAATGTTATTATTAATAATAATATCTATGTTGGCCTTTAGAGCCCCAACAAATGTACCTGTATGTTTGAACTCCATTGTATAATACATTCACACATTTTTGGCATCAACCTAAAAAGTGGAACATATGAAGTAAATCCTAGTAACTTCTGGCAGAATTGACTAAACATTTAGGGCTGCTGTCCTACATGCACTTACTTTGAGAAAGTTCTATTGAACTCAACAGGACTTATTTCTAAGGAACCACCCACAGAATCAGGCTGCAGAGCCCTAAGCAGCTTGACCCAAAATAACCGCAATATAAATTTTTCCCAATCTCACGTGAGATTGTTAGCTTGAAAGGTCAACAGCAACACAAGCTATTAATCATAATGCTACCTTTTTGTTTATTATCAGATTTGTTCGTATATACAGGGGATTTCTCTGTAATTGCTCTAATTTAGGATTCCTTTCCTGAAGATCTACTATCGCCCAGCCCTAAACATCTTTTGAAAGTATTGTCAGTGTATACATGTAGCACATATGCATGTGTGTGTGTGTGTGTGTGTGTGCGCGCACACACACACACACACACACACAGGCTCTTATGCTAACTTTGCTTGCAGGAGGAGTTAGTACTTCATCATTCATTTTTCTTTTATATTTTGCAAATATATAATCTATAGTCTTCTAGATGAGGTGTGTTCAAATTTAATATAGGAGGGAAAAAATACAGCTCCTAAATACTACTTTTAAAATAAAGTTTACTATACATCTTCCCATATTAATTCTTATTTTGATTCACCAGCAATTATATAGTAGGACTGTTCAAAGAAAGGTCGAGCTTGACAACACATTCCAAATTCATAGATTCTTTTATTAACGTTTTGAGGTACCTGGAGCATCTCTCCCATTTGTAAGTTATATGCTTCCCATAGTTATTTCATATTTCAATTTATTGTGAAGGCTTAGCTGTCAGAACAAATAAGCAACACAGAAGTTGTATACAAAAGGAAAAGTGATGGCACAATGTAAAATCAAAATGTGCCATCATGAAAGCAATATACTAGATATTATCAAAAAAGACCATAACGTTGTCTAACTGCAGCATTTGCTAAAACGGCGACTTTAGCAGTTTCACCCCTGTTGCCTGCATCTAGCAGATACATAGTTTTAAATTGGACTGACCAAAATATAATCCAAATATAAATACTTAGTCATGTATATCTTTTGGGTCTCCTATTATAAACATAAAATCCTAAAGTGAGAAGTATTCCACCCCTTAACTTCTCTCTCTCTCTCTCTCATCTTAACACCTATGGATTCCCCCCCCCAATGACCCATAAAATATCACCAGAGGCATCAGTTGAAATTCCAATAAATTAAATGTCTTTGTTGTGTGTTCTAATGAGAAACCAGTTGTTCAAAATATAAAGGCAAACACCTATTTTCTAGGAAAAATACTCTGGTTTTCATTCTCAGAAGTTTATTGTGAAATGTTCTGAATAAGATTTAAGGATAAATTTTATTCTCAGAAATCTGAAGGGGACAAAGGTACTACAGTACAGGTCTTTTAATTAAAAAAATAAAAATGTATTAATGTATTTCTTATTCATCTTATCTACATTTGTACATAAATGGAAATACCAGTCTCTCCCAATTACTTCAATACACTTTCCCAAAATTGCTTTTTTGACATATGAATGGTGAAAACACTCCTTGCTCCAATAAATGTAATACTCAAAAGAATGCCAGTCCACTTCTATGCAATGTGCTCAATAAAAGCACAAGATTTTACCTCAATTTATATTCACCTCAGTTACATTATTTATTCCTACACAACTCTTGCACTTTTTAGCATTTGTTTGTTCTGTTTGGTTATATTATCTAAGTGCTGACTATCATATTATCAGCTGTCCATTCTTAAAGTAACACAGTTCTACTTGTCTGAGAGGAAAAGTTTATGCATGATTAGACTTTGATTTGATTAAAAAGAACAAGATACAAATACTTTCAGGCAGCAACTGAAGTTTAACAAAACATCTGTTTTTCCATACTTCATTTCCTGTCTGATGGGGGAAGGGAAGAGAGAACAGGAAAATATCCTTTTGACAACAAATAAATCAACCAGAAGAAAGCTAAACCAACATCAACCAATTCCTCACTGTTTTCATAGTCACTTTTGTAGTAATGCTGTATTTTCCACTTGAATAAGAGGAAAAATACACCACTATAATGACAGGGCAGCTGAATGTATGAAAAAAAAAATCAGGGTTGTATCCAACTGAACCATACTCTGAGGAAAGCCCCTGAAATCAAAGTACTTACATTAGTAATTTCAATTTATTTGAATGGGTCTACTCAGAGTATGACTTAGATGCATGCAACCCTCAGTACAGAAGAGTTTGGGTGATAGGAGTGGTTAAGAGAGTATTTCATGCTTCCCTTAAACACAATACATTGTCTCCCTTATTTTGTGTGTGTACGCACATAATTGTTTTAGTTCCAGTGTATAAATTTGAGCTATATCATCTCAATGAAATGATCAGAAGACTGCCTTGTTTTAATTAAACAGAAAACTACAGAGAATGACCCAAGTTCTAGACAGCTACATAAATGCAAAAGTCAACTGAAAAGAGTACTGTTTGCTGTCAGTCATTGCATTTCACTATTGTTTATTCAAATATGCCACTTCACAGAGACCATATATCATCCCCTGAAAGGCATACCCAGAACAATTTCACTCAAGAACAGATTAAAGAGTTGAACACAAAAATGTACACATTTATTATCAGTGACTTACAAGAGATAGTTATATATCTATGCCCACACTGCTGCAGGATGTTCAAATACACTCATGACATGAGACATGACACTTTAATTTTTTTAGGCTTTTCATTACAAATATCAGGTAGGCTGGTGTATATACTTATTTTATTAAGACACATGTGTACCCCAACACAAATCTGGGGGGAGGGGGAGGCATAGTATTACTACAAATAAACTAAACTATATCAAACAATTCAAGAATCTCTCTTACCACAATTGCATGAGGAGAGTGCACTAAAGGCTTGAGTTCATTCAGGTCGTTCTCAGCCTACAAGTAGCAGTTTTTAAAATAGAAAGGGAGAGAAAAAAAAGAGATAAACCAAGGATTATGAACAGCACCAACCAACAAATCTGCAACTCAGACCTATGGAAGCTTATTCAAAGTTAAATCTCACTAAGTTCAATGGATTTACTCTCAAGTAACTGTGTATAGGATTGCAGTTCTAGTGATAATTAGGCAGTTGCATGCCTCTTCCATTACCTTATCCCATTCTCCTTCCATGACATGATTGCGGAATTTGGTAGCAGAAGGATGTTCTAAACGACATCCTGACTCTTGCATTAGAAGATCAACAGTCTGGCTGCAGGAGAGAGGTACAGTATTTTAAAAAAAGCTGACCAATCTTATTCTTACAGTGAAGCCATCCATGTAGCCATAAATCCAAAATATTGTTTAAAAATATGTTCCACCTTAAGAAAAATAAGATGCTGGAATGTGTTCTAATGAATTCCAGCAAACAAACTTGTGCCCTCAGATCCACAAGTTTCATATGGAGTATAAACTTCACAAATACAAAGTTATTTTCCTCAACTATTTTGATGATCAAGAAAAACACGGCTCCATAAAAACACAGTGTTTTAACATGTTATTCATATGAAAACACAAACATTGACATTAGATTATAACGTGATTAGAACTACCTATAGCAACTGGAATTTTGTTGATGCAGCGAGCACAGTGTTATTCCCTACCAATATATCATCTGCCTTCAAGTCAGTTGTCCATTAGGCTGGGATCTTAATAAAATAGACTATTCTATAACCTACAACCCTCCCCTTCACATTTTAAACTAAAAATAGCGCATTTACTATGGTGTAGTCTATGAACAGTCACGAGTTGTCACCTGCTGCTGTAAACTTGCCCTATTTCAGTGGTGTGCTTGTTTCGAGCACCGAGTTAATTAAAACCAATCCATTCCCACAATAACACAAGCTCTTGGCATACAAGGGGCCATAATTTTCCTATAGTACATATTCCTACACATCCACATCTCAATATTCTCTAGCTGCTATTATATTGTACTATTGTTAGGTTTGTTTTGTTAATCCAACTGCTGATGTCCTGCATTTATTTGCTTTTCACCCTCCCCCACCCCAGCTGCATGCCTATTACTCAGCTCAAAGTACTGCAGTGCTGCAAGCAACAGAAGAGTCAACAAATTTGACATTAATTTTCTGAAGTACTTATACACAGAGTATATTCAAAGACTACATTAGACATAGTTATATCCAAATTACATTTAAACATACTGTTCATTTTAACACCTAGCCAACGACAGAGACTGTACAAATATAAGTATTTTGATATACTGGTTTGCTTTTTTAACTCAACATACTTGTTTTAAGACTATAGACAAAGAGATTTCCGTACATTGTTGTGTTGAAAATGCTATTTTATCTGTACCATCTTTGCACCAATTCACCTTTATTCTATGTTCTTGGGCCTTCGTACTGTCATAGTTGACAGAAGAGTCTACCTGTTCTCCGAGTAGGAAGTCCACACAGGACTAGGCCTGAAAAAATAGGCCCCATAGTTTCACTGCCTTCATCCCTTCATTCCCTGGATTTATCTCCTCTCCCCCCCATCTCTCTCTTTGATATTAAACTGCGACAGAATAATCTGTGACAAAAAGTGCCCCTCTTTGGGATAAATATGGGCCAAGGCAGCCACACAAAAGTGTTGGATTCTCTCCCCTGGGCATATAATGTGTCCTAAAATAAACAAGTCGGCCATGGCTATTATTCTCATCAGCACAAACCCTCGTCTATTTTGTATCCTCCTCCCCCCTCTCAAAGATTTGGATGGAAATAAAAAATAAAAAGGCATTTTACAAGAGCAATACCCCCGACCCCACCCCAAGAGCTGGGTCTCTCTTAAACGCGAGCCTCGCAGTGACTCAAAAGGGGGGAAAGCACAAACAACAACGAGAAAGCCAAAGCCAAAACAGAGGTTTCTGGAGATGGGGTCAGCCAAAACGGTGTGTGTGTGTGTGAGTGAAATCTCGTCTTTGGGCCCACTTCCGCACCCCACGGAAGATTCCGCGCCCCACACAGCGCTGAGTTGGGAAGGGCATTAATGGAGACTGTCGTCCTCAGCTTGCCCCACTTACTTGAGGCCCAGCCCGTGGAGGTGCTGCCCGATGAGCCGGATCACGTCCTCGTCGGACTGCGAAAGCCGCTTCTTCTTCTTCAGGGCGCTGCCGCCGACCCCGACGCCGCTGCCTCCCCCCATCTCGACGGCGGACCCCCCGGGGGCCGAAACCCCGTTGTTGACACTCGGCCCGCCGCCGCCGCCGCCGTTGTTGTTGTTGGCCGACGGCAGAAGCCCGTTGGCGTGAGCGAGCTGCTCCCCGGCGCTCGAGCCCGAAGAGGCCTCGCCGTTTTGGGCGCTGAGGCAGCCCAGCTCCGGACCCTGCGACGATGACGGCGGCGGCGGCGGCGGCTGTTGTTGTTGCTGCTGCTGTTGCTGCTGACCCCCTCCTGCCCCGTTGGCCTGCATGGCGCTGCTGCTGCTGCTGCTGCTGCCGCCGCTGGCTCTGAGGGGGTTGGCAGCAGGGGGGGCGAGCCCGGCGGAGAGCGAGGGGGACGGGGACGAGGTGAGGCCTGCTCTGCCCGCGGAAGCCCCGGGCTCTCCTGCTCCCTCCGCCGCCGCCGCCGCCGGGGAGGCCCGCGCTTTCTTCCGCGGTGGCGGGGAGGCTCCGCCGGTGTCCGAGTCGGAGGAGGAGGAAGCGGAGGCCAGAGTTTCCTCGCCGAGAGCGGCCGTGGTGGGAAGCCGGGGGGGGGGGAGTGAGGAAGGGGAGGCGGGGGTGGGAGTGGGGTGGGGGAGGTGGTGGGGGTGAGGAGCGGGGTGGGGGGGAGCCCTGGTCCCTCTTCCTCGAGGCCCCTCAGCAGCGGCCGCCGCCGCCCGCTCTAGGGTCCCTCCAGCTAACGCTGCCCGAAGCCCACCGCCTGGCAGCCCCAGGCGCCCGGCCCACTCCTCTCCACTAGCCCGCTGGGTTTGTGGCTTCTCTGCCTAGCTGCAGCCTAATGGAGTCCGGGCCGGGACGTCACAGGAAATTCCTATACTGCCCCCTACACTCACTTCCGCCGCCGCCTGGGGTAGGCTCTGGGGGTGCAGAGTGCAGAGGGGGCAGCCTAGGGCCAGTGGCGTGAGGGGCTCCAGCTGGCCTCCGCAGCACCACCCGCTGGGCGGGCACAGGCCCTGCTCGGGGTGGCTGAGGTGGGCGCTTTGTCACCGCACCTGACTGTTTGCGTGAGGCTGGCTGGCTTGTTATGCTTCCACCTTGCTTATCTCATATGCCCATATAGGGCAAGGCTGGAGGTATATGTAAATATATACACACCCCCTCATTTCCCCGTGCTCTGAAATGGCACACATAAACGGGAACTAGCATGTTGATGTGCTCCGAAAACATTGTTCTATAGTTACCAATTACTTTTTTTTTGGGGGGGGGAAGTGAGTTGAATCTTTGTATTCGAAACAGCAAAAGAGCCTTGTGGCCGATGTGTTCGTCTTTAAGGCTCCGCAAGACTAATAGGGCTACTGTCCTGGAAGTTGTTGTTTCAGTTCTGAGTGGGTTTCTTCCCTTTCTGGCTTGTATGTATATATATGTATGGGTAGGTAAGTAGGTAGATCCAGTGCTTTTTTCTGGGGGGATGCAGGGGTACGCATACTCCTAAACATTTTGTGAATCTGAGTTTGGCCTCATTGAGGGGCAGAATTACAATACGAGTAGGAAAATGAGAGTTACTCCTAAACATTTTTTAAGAAGAAAAAAAAAGCAGTGGATTATAGTTAGATGGATATACCTTTAACATCAAAGTAACAGGTGTTTGTAAGAAACACAAACATATTTGCATAGTGTTTTCAGACTAAGAAAATATCCCTCCCCCTTGTTTTTGTGCCCCTACCTTGAGGTAGAACTTCAATATTATTTCCCCACACAATAGAGTTGGAGTGGCAAGCCCTGCCTTACTGCAGGAATTACAGCCTTTCCCATTTAATAGGGAAAAATGGGGCTCTGGTGTTAGAGGGCAGTTGTGTATAGCCTTTGAATAACAAAATATACATAATAACTATCTATATATATATATATGTACTCCCCCCCTTAAGAGCAGGTGTTAGCTTTAGTACTGCCTTCTATTAAAAATACTAAATGTTGTAAAATGCATTAAAATGAAAAGTATTTCAAGGGCAACAGAACATTGAGGGAGGAAGTAAACCCTATGACAACCCAGTCACTATCCAGTAGATGCTTATGGCTCTCATGCCAATATATTCCACGTAGCACTAACAATCACAAAAGGATATACTGTGGGCAGGAGTTGTGTTTTTCTCAGTGACAAAATATTGTTGCTTGACGTATGGAGAAATATTGCAGCTTGATGTATGGATCTTACTGGTTTTGCAGAAATCCACACAGTGAATGAATAACAACTGCTTATTGATAGTGCTAAAAACTGCCTCGAAAGGACCCAACTACAACTGGGTCTGCCTTTCCATTAGGCATCTTGTAACTAACCCTTGCCATTGCCTACCTACAACCATACCTAGGCAACTCAGGGTAATAATTCATGCATCTAATTATATGGACTCCAATTCACAAAAACTTGTGCCATAATAAATTTGTTTTTAAGTCTTGAAGGTGCCACAATAATCTTTATGGTCTTTGGCCTGATAATGCTGGTGACTGGTAATTCAGATATGAAGCTTCTCTATATGATGCTGACCTCCCAACTGCACCAGGTGAGTCTTGTTTAGTTACCATCTTTTTGGAAGAGACATCAGAATACAATTATGCTACTCCTTCTCAACAAAGATCCTATGGTACTTTTTACAAGGCATGGGTGTTGGCCTTGTGCCATGCCTAATTCCAATTTATAAAATGTAATTATCCAAGCATCCTACCTAAATAGTACCATGAATACAATGCTATTTCTCACTTCCTGCCATTATATTGTTGTGTAATGTCACTGAGTAGCAGTGAACAGCCAATGTGTATACATAATGAACAATAATTACATTCAAAATCCCTATGGTCTCTCACTATAAATTGTTATTATTATTTATCAAATTTCTATACCACCCTTCATCCAAAGATCAGAGTGTGGTTTACAACAGAAAAACACATAAATACGTACCACAATGACAAACAAAAATAATAACTCAAGACACAGCATTATTATTTGTTAATGTTCTTATTTATTAAAATTTATCACATATTAACTTTATTATTATTAAAATATTATTGATTTAATTTCTAGACCACCCATAAATGCTATGAAGCAGCAACTTCCCCTCCCCACAGTTCTTCAGGTAGCAGCAGACATTTAGGCTGCAATTTTAATGGTATTTACCTCAGTATATATCTTTAGATTGCACTGGTAGAGCACTTCACTCACAGCTATCAAACAGAGATAAAAACGTACAGTATAAAGGTTAATATTGAAACATTGTTTAGCTAAAGCATGCCACTACTCCTCACTGAAGGGGCTTACTGTGCCCGTTGTTGTTAAATACACATTTGTTATTATACCATTTATGTCCTGCTAAATTAACCTTATCCGCTTTCTTCATAAAATATTAGAGGGATATTTATTGAGGTTGATGGTGGGGAAGACCCTGCATCTTCTGACTTTATCTGCAATTTCAGGTGTTCACACAGTAAAATGCTGATACTTTTCCACTTTTCAGTTTTTCATGCAAAAATTTGTATCTCACTAGAGAGGAAAACATTTTGAGTGACTGGTGCATACGGAATGTAATATTGACTCTTTCCTGGCTGTTGTCTCATCCCTCCTTCACTATCAGAGCTTCTTCCCTTCTTTTAGGGGTGTGGCGAGGGTAAAGTTGCCCTATCACTTCAGGCCAGTGAGTGACTAAAAAGTAAGTTGAATGTGGCAAATGTGCTGAGAATGAAATAATTTTTTCCTAACTGCTGCATAAAAATATGCTCTTTCAAGATCTGTAGAGATGTGACCAGAAGAAAGGACTTTATTGTACTTGATCACATAGCTTTCAACAAGGAAGATGTTCACAGTTTCTCTAACACAGGGGTGAGACCCTCTTTTCTATTTTAGTCACTGGGTAAGAACAGCGGGTGGCGCTGTGGGTTAAACCACAGAGCCTAGGGTTTGCCGATCAGAAGGTTGGCGGTTCGAATCCCCACAACGGGGTGAGCTCCCGTTGTTTGGTCCCTGCTCCTGCCAACCTAGCAGTTCGAAAGCACATCAAAGTGCAAGTAGATAAATAGGTACCGCTTTGGCGGGAAGGTAAACAGCATTTCCGTGCGCTGCTCTGGTTCGCCAGAAGCGGCTTAGTCATGCTGGCCACATGACCCAAAAGCTGTACGTCTGCTCCCTTGGCCAATAAAGGAAGATGAGCGCCACAACCCCAGAGTCTTCTGCGACTGGACCTAATGGTCAGGGGTCCCATTACCTTTACCTTTTAAGAACATATCTTTGTATTCCTAGTCACATTCCACTACTTTCAAATATAGTCAAACTGTAACTGAATCTGTTTGAGGAATTTAACCTCTTAAACAGAAACGTTTAGGGTTAGAATTCTTTCCAATATATTTTTTAAAATCATCAAATATTGTGGTTTTGTCAGTGAAATGCTCTTGCACGCTCTCTCTCTCTCTGTGTGTGTTACACTACAGCTTTCCTTTCAAAACTGGTTTCAGTTAATGTTTGTTACTCACATATACCAATATTGGATCAGAGCTGTTGCTTAGAATAGCAATCATCAAAGACACTTTTTTAAAAAAAGATTTAATTTTAAAGACAGGAAAGTGTGCCTCACTCTTTGGTATGATGCACAAACTAGTCGTTAATGCTGCAACTTGTAAGGTGTTAATTAGATCCAATTATAACCTGAGTAGCCTGCCCTGGCATTACAGTGCATCCTGGCACTCCTTTTAATTTTTATTTGCCTATGAACTGGGATTGTCATGGTTTCCTGGATTCATATACAAAATAGAATTGTAAATCATCTGGAAGTTTTGTCTGATAAACATCAATTGAGAACAACTTTTTTGGTTTCTATGATTACAGTACCATCAGGGCTATTTTTCTAGAAGAAGAGGTGCCAGAATTCACCATGAACGCCTCCCTTGTTCTTTTAGAATGGCAATGGTGCCCCCCTGAGAGGTGCCGAAACTGAGTTCCCGTGAGTTCCAGCTGGAAAAAAAGCCCTGAGTACCATATAGCTAATTTTCAAAATAGGTATCTTGTAAGTTAAAAATGGTACACGGTAGAAATGAGAAGAACTAGGAAGTTCCATAGGTTTGATTCTAATTCCTCTCTCTCTCTCTCTCTCTCTCTCTCTCTCACACACACACACACACACACACACACTTTGGTTTCCAAACATTTTGGAAGTTGAACAGACTTCCGGAACGGATTCCGTTTGATTTCCAAGGTACAACTGTACTCTTGTTTGATGCATCAGAGTGTTGGACTAGGGTCTGGGAGGCCAGGGTTCAAATGTCCTTTCACCCATGAAGAGCACTTGGTGATCTTGGACCTGTCACTGTTTGTTAGCCTAACCTATTTATTTCTATATATTTTATTTTTATAATTTTTAAAATAATTTGTCACAGCTAAAAATTGGCCGCTGTTTCTTTAATGCTAAAAGAACTAAGTCAGCATGAGTCAGTGGCCTACAATGACTCATGCAACCTTTCACCAAATTGTACCTGTATATATAGAATGGTCAATGTTAGCGTTTGGTGTGGGTTGGATGGATGGTAGAAAGCTGGTTGCGTTTGGTGTGTGTAAAAGCTGTTGGTCATGGTTGAAGAAGAAGACTTTTTAAGAATAAAAGCAGCAATACTCTGCAAGAATACTCTTTCTCAAAGACTCTTTTGTGCCAACTAAGGTCTGAGGACTAGGCAAAGGAGTAAAAAGGTCAGAACCTTTTTCTTTTTCAAACACTGATATAATTGATTGTGTGGCAAGTCCCCTCCCCCCTTGTGAAATGAAGACACCAGACACATTATTTAAGGTTAATGGGTGTAAAAAGGCCACAACTTTATTGATTACAGGAATTGAAAGGTATTGGCCTTAGGCATTGGCTCCTATTGACTACCCGGCATGGAGACCGGGAAGGGTTAACCACCAGCCGGGGGAGTCCTGTTGAAGTACGCCAACTAGGATCTCCCGGGTGTCACCGCTCGGGGGCATGCCTTAGGCCCTCACCTCCCTAGGTTTCGGACAAGGCAACGCCCCCCGGTGTCCTCTACCGGACTACTCCTTTTCCTTGGGGGAAGGTGATGGCGCTTCCTTCCCCCTTCATTTGCATAACAATAACCCCTGCCAATGCCTAACTGCCAATACTGAGAAAGTTGTCACGTTTGCTACAAGGTAGGCGAAAAAACCAAAGGCTGGAAATTTGCCAAGTGGAAAAATTCCTACCAGGCCCCTTGCGGTGACCAACCGAAGTCCATAGCAAGGTCAACGCTAGCTAAACCTAAGAGAGGGTGGGATGGGAAAACCTGAGCAGCTGGGACGGGGAAGAGAGGGCGGTCCCCGGGCGCGCCAGCCTTAAATGCGCTAGGCCACGCCTCCCCGGCCTGCCGATTGGCTGGCCGGGTCGGAGGCGCGCCCGAGGATTCCCCTACTCTCGCGGGGGCTAAGAGCCAGTCCACGTGTGCGTGGGGAGGGCGTGGGCCCGCAACCCCACCTCCTCTCCAGGTCGGAAGTGGCTCTATAGATTTGATACCTGTCATAAGAAATGGATGGTGCTGTTGAAGGAGGGAGGGGATACAAAGGAAAGAATAGAAGGATGAAAGCAGGAGCAGAAAATTATAAATGCAGTGGAGTTAGAGACATGTCAGCAGGAGAAACAGCCATGAGAATCATGACACATTGCCATAGACACAAACCACCAGCTCAACTTCATTATCCACCCACTACCATCTTATTGTGCATTTGCTGTGTGTCGTTATACTGAATATGCATGATACAAAATGGTGCTCAGGATGGTAATGCTTTGGTTCAAATTGATCGTATGTAACCTTAAAAACCAGCCTCTTTCCAAAATAGATTAAAAATCAGCATCCAGTGATGAACAAGTGGCAGTGGAAGTTTAGTTTAAGACATTATTGTTGTTGTTGGCACCTGTCTGTCTCAAAAGAGAATGGAGTGTGCCTCCAGGGGTGAAATCAAAGCAGTCTGTTAGTGGCACCAAAGTGACCTCCCAGGGTCTCAAGCCTGGGCAATGTGTATAGAGGTCCTGGGATACCCAGACGACGACCCCCTCTCAACCTCACCATTGTCGTCTATCAACACATGTTAATGTTGATCATCTTTTGTGAATATTGGCATTCCTCATGCATGGTACTGCTTATAGGATGTACACTGATAATAATAATAATAATAATAATAATAATAATAATTTAAATAAATTATTATTTATACCCCACCCATCTGGCTGGGCTTCCCCAGCCACTCTGGGCGGCTTCCAAAAAAATAATAAAATACTGTAATACATCAATGAATGTGGGTGATCTTATCTCGGTGATAGGCAACATTCACTGATATATCTCTGACTTTCTGGACTTTTCTGGACAAAAAATAAATCTGAGAGAACATTCACATGACTGAAAATGAGAGTCCATGAATGTTAGCACTGAACTCTCCAGGGTTATGTTCAGAAACGTGGGTGTATTGCACCAAGCACATCTGCTGTGTATCATTTGCTCTGGTTTTGTGCACTTTGAGTGCTGGTGCTTATGTAGCCAAAGAGTGGCACTAACCATTCACAAAGGGGAATGTGTCAGCAGACTTGGGGGAAGCCCAAGGTCATACACAGACACAAACACACAGAGGGCCAGATTTAGGTTTGATGTGGCCCTAAGCTACTGAAGGTAATGGGGCCCTTTATATGTCCAGCTGTCCTTTGTCAGCAACAAATTGTCACTGTTTTTTTGTGTTGAATATATGCTATATGGTAATTTATGGACCTAATAGGTATCTAAACCCATTTGCACCTAACAAAATATGTATTTTATCAAAGTAATTGTTGAACTGAAATGCAATTAAGAAGTATATTAATAGTGAAATACAATTAAGAAGTATATTAATAGTGAAATAATTATTAAGGTCTAACTTAAAATGATTTTTTATTTATAACAAGCTTAATAATGCAAACACATTGGCATTTGGCAATAACAAAAGTTCCTTTAGAAACACAATTTACAAAGACTCATAATCTAGTGTCTAGAAACTTGCTATAACATGAAATAATAATTGTAGGTTTTATTTTATTTGTTTTTTATCTTATATTTTGGAAATGTATATACAATTTTTTCCCTTTAAATTTTTTTGGGGGCCCCAAGAGAGTGAGGCCCTAAGCTATAGATTGTTTATCTTATATGTAAATCCGGCACTGCATACACACACACACACACACATTATATATCTATATTAATTATTTATTTATACCCCACCCATGTGGCTGGGTTTCACCAGCCACTCTGGACGGCTTCCAACAGAACCCTAAAATACAATAACCTATTAAACATTAAAAGCTTCTGCCGTCAGATGTCTTCTAAAAGTCTGGTAGTTGTTTTTCTCTTTGACATCTGGTGGGAGGGCGTTCCATTCCACAGGGCGGGTGCCACTACCAAGAAGGCTCTCTGCCTGGTTCCCTGTAACCTGGCTTCTCACAGCGAGGGAACCACCAGAAGACACTCGGCGCTGGACCTCAGTGTCCGTGCAAAACGATGGGGGTGGAGACGCTCCTGCAGGTATACTGGACCGAGGCCGTTTAGGGCTTTAAAGGTCAGCACCAACACTTTGAACTGTGCTCGGAAACGTACTGGGAGCCAATGTAGGTCTTTCAAGACCAGTGTTATGTGGTTTCGGCAGCTGCTCCCAGTCACCAGTCTTGCTGCTGCATTCTGGATTAGTTGTAGTTTCTGGGTCACCTTCAAAGGTAGCCCCACATAGAGCGCATTCCAGTAGTCCAAGCGAGAGATAACTAGAGCATGCACCACTCTGGCGAGACAGTCCACGGGCAGGTAGGGTCTTAGCCTGCGTATCAGATGGAGCTGGTAAACAGCTGCCCTGGACACAGAATTGACCTGTGCCTCCATGGACAGCTGTGAGTCCAAAATGACTCCCAGGCTGCACACCTGGTCCTTCAGGGGCACAGTTACCCCATTCAGGACCAGGGAATCCCCCCACATGTCCTCCTCCTGTCCCCCCAAAACAGTACTTCTGTCTTGGCAGGATTCAGCCTCAATCTGTTAGCTGCCATCCATCCTCCAACCGCCTCCAGACACTCACACAGGACCTTCACTGCCTTCACTGGTTCTGATTTGAAAGAGAGGTAGAGCTGGGTATCATCCCCATACTGATGAACACCCAGCCCAACCCCCCTGTTGATCTCTCCCAGCAGCTGCATGTAGATGTTGAAAAGCATGGAGGAGAGGACAGAACCCTGAGACACCCCACAAGTGAGAGCCCAGGGGTCTGAACACTCATCTCCCACCACCACTTTCTGAACACGGCCCAGGAGGAAGGAGCGGAACCACTGTTAACGTATATCCCTAACTAGGTTTTTTTTAAACAATCAAGTAGTATATAATTTTTTATGAAATAAGAAAAAAAACAGATACTGCTCACATAAGCTTGCTTTGTGGGCAGTTTGAGGTTTGGACTAGCATTATCCTTAATGCTTGAGCTTCCCTGTTAACTCTACTTATATTTAAAGAGATGGATTTAGGCCCATTGCTTGGCCAAATGTTAATGACACACACACACTTCAGTGGAAACTGCATGCAGCTGAGCAGCTCACATTCGGAGCATCAACACAGAAAGGAACAGAAAGAAAGCAACACAAATATTTTGACTGAAGTGTCTTAGAAAAGCAATTTTAAATCGTGGACACCTAGGTTCTGAAAATGATGTTGCCTGTATTGGTGTGAGTGATGGGGGTCCCATGGCACAAATTTCATTTGGTCCCAGTGCAAAGGAAAAGAGCTAAGATCTTCTCCCTTACTATAATGTCCAAACAAGATGAGATGGGGAAGAAGAATGATCGGTTTTTAAGGAGTCTTCAATAATTTTGCAAAGGACATTTTTATTGTTCAGGGCCTCATGCTATTAGCCTTTCTTGTACATGGAGATCCTTTATCAAATGCATTCAGGACCATCAAACAAATCTGTACTGAGATACACACATCACCATTTTTACTACTGGAACTGCTCTGAATCTGACATCAGGAAGAACGTATTTTAACTGCAAAGTGTCCTGGAAAAGACACTCTGCATTAGGAAAGAAGGGAACTGAGTTCCCTCCCATTTTCCACTTTCCTGATGTTCCAAATGACCAGTACCCTGGAGTTATGATTTGTGTTGTTGTCAGGATTCTAACTGGACTGTAACTGACCTAAGAATTATTCTGCAGAGCAGTTGCTGCTGTGGTCAGGTCAGTGGCCAGCAGCTCAGTCTTTTTGAGGCTCAGGAGCACCTAGCAAATACCTGCCCTGTTCCTGGCACGCTAGACTGTAGCTGAGGAACGCATTTCACAATGTCTGCCAATGTCTACCGGGGTCCTCTCCCCTCCAACCCCCCCCCTGCGGGTGAAAGAAGGCTCCCTGGTGATAAGATGGCTGAGCTTAGTTTCTTGCCTCCAGTTATGTGCATTCTTGATGAGTATTTTGGCCTTGCTGGTGTGCATTGCCTCAACAGTCAGTGTCAACTGGAGAGTGTGGCGTGTGGAAAACATCAAGGGAATCGGCTCTGGAAACGTCTGGATTGGAATATGGGATGTCTGTTTTTGGAAAGACCCTTTTAACAAAGCCAAATCTCTTTGGCAATGTGAAGATCTCAGTGAGCAATATCCAACCCTCCCAAGGGAAATTTTTATTGCTCAGGACTTAATGGCATTAGCTTCCATTATGAATTCAGCGGCCCTAGGATTAATATCATTTGCCTTGTACAATGTGCTCAAGCCCAGAAAACATAAGGATTTTGTCTTAACCGTTTTTTAGGCTTGGAGCTCTCCTGAACTTACTTGCAGGGATACTTGTCCTGATTTCTGTGATATGGAACATGTCTGCTGTCTTGCAAAATGGGGAAATTGTCTTCCCAGAAACTTTTGAATTGCCTCAAATTCCCAGCGAGCAGCATATTGGACCTTCTATTTATCTAGGCTATATCGCTGCAGGTTTCCAGCTGCTGAGTGCAGCATTGGTTGGGATGGAGAGATGTTGCATCAGGACCACCGCAACAGATACATATCAAATAGAAACTGTAGTGGTGATTACCCCAGGAAGTACGGTAAAAAGCGAGAGACTAATTACTTGTTCGAAGTGTGGTTCTCTGCTGGATCTGGCAATTCAAGAGAAATCCTCCACAGTTGAAATGGTGGAAAGTCTTGCAGAAGATCTTGAAATTCGAGAGGAATCCTGCGCAGTGGAAATGGAGGAAAGCCATGCACCCCAGAGCTCACCTGAAGGACATCAAAGCCCACCTGAAGTCCCAAAACATACTATTATACATGTGACTCCCTACAACAGGGAGTAGTGAACTGTCAGATCCAGATCCACGCAGATCGCTTCATACACACACACACCCTTCACACACAAGCATTTCCCCTTCCAGAAGCCTAATGCTTCTCTTGGTTACATCTCTGATTATCTTTCAGCCCGAATTGTGAAGATCAGGTGAAGGGTGGGTGGGTGTAGAGATCTGCGTGGATCTGGATCTGATAGTTTGCTCTTTATGGTGGAAGGGAATCACATGGAGACCTCTTTTATGTGTTCTCTAGCATTTGTGTCCTTGTTCCCTTTAGCTTGTTCCTCCTCTGGATTTCTTTCCTGTGTGTACTCATAGATTTACATTTTTTGTCAGCTCTTTCATTTCTCTGGAGGAGTGTTTATTGGTAGCACCTTGAATAAATAGACAAAATTGGGATTTTTTTCCTTTTAATGTTATAGAATATCATCAATAGACATTCCTATTTTTATCATTTTCTGCATACAATTGTTTTATAATTCCTAACAGATTATGTTCTATGTTTTGAAATTAACTCCAGTACATTTGTCCATTGATCTTCATTGTGTTCTTTAGTAGTATTTAATGTAATTATAGGTACAGGAATTTAGTGATTTTGTTGTGGTTTACTATGATATTTGGCTAAATTTTCCAATCTATTAGCCAATAAATTTGTATTAAAAGGTGAAAATAAAAATAAACACACACACCCCAAATAGCATGAGTACATAGTACAATATCCAATTTATTAGGATTAGTATGATTGCAATCCTTTGCATAGTTACATGGGAGTGAGAACCATTGAACTCAGTGGTCCTTCTGCCTGTGGAAGGTCAACTTGTAAGACACATTGAACTTTACAGTAAGATCTTCAGACAGCTAAAACACAACCCTTAGCTTTTAAGTAGGGTTACCTTGCCAGTTGCTAGCACATGAAATGAAAGGGAGGTGCTAAGCTGCTGATTGGTTATTTTTTTCATTATTTGACTTCGTCTACGCTTAATTGGTCATAAAACTTGAGACCCACAGTATTACTTAATTCCTTGCCATGCAAGATGTGTCAGTTGCAGATTTCCTCCTTTGCATTCTCCACTGTGTAAATCTATTTTCCAGACAGACATCTTCACTAGATCAAAAGTTAGTCTCATTCACATAATAAACTATATATTGGTCATTCACAAAAGAGAAGCTAAAAGCACTTCTTTTAAAGCTGTGAGAGTTGGTAAAATCTTAATAATGTGTAGAATGTACTGTTGGAAATTAAGACACCTAGTGGTCTTTCACAGAATATGCCTAATTCAGAAATTTCCACTTTTGGAAGTATGATTTGAATTATATTTTTTTTTAAAGTTTGAAGATTCTCTGTCTTATATACAGTGCTTTAAAAAAATGTTTAGGGGTACTCTCTCTTTGACTCAAGAAAACCACCATTTTATAGTTCAAATTGGGAAAAATAAATACAGTAAATGGACAAAAGTACAAAGATTCACAAAATATTTAGGGGTATGCGTACACCTGCATCCCCCCAGAAAAAAGCACTGCTTATATATATGATTATTGGAAAGATAATCTTTTTGCTTTCCATAAAACTTAACTGATTTTGTGGTAGTGAAATAATATATGTGTTTTAGCATATACTGTATACATAAAAGCATTTGTGTTAATATTACTTGTGCAAGAGAACATACTACATTGTAATCCTATATATCAGGAGTGGAGAACCTCAGATCCTGGGGCCAAATGTGGCCCTCCAAGTTTCTCTGTTTGGCCCCGGGGACTCTTCCTAACCACACCCCATATACTTTATTCCCTTTCAGAAGTTAATAATAATAATAACAACAACAATAAACAACTTTTATTTGTATCCCGCCCTCCTCGGCCGAAACCGGGCTGAGGGCGGCTAACATCAAATATATACCGGTAACATTAGTATAAAATCAAACAATAATTAAATTTCCTCCTAAAAACAAGTCAGGATCAAATTTAAATCTAATTAGATGGCTTTCCACAGGATTAGGGTTGGGAACAGTAAATGTTCATCAGGCCCAACTGTTTACACTGTTCTTATATGGGCCTATGAGAATGCTGGGAGGCCTCTTTCATACTAGTTCGTATACAAAAAGAGAAGGGGAGTCAGGCTGAGCCCTGACCAAAGGCCTGGCGGAACAACTCCATCTTGCAGGCCCTGTGGAAAGATGTCAAATCCCGCAGGGCCCTGATCTTTTGTGGCAGAGCGTTCCACCAGGCCTCGGTTGAGGCCAACCTAATCTCCCTGGGGCCTGGGATCCCCAAGCTGTTATTATTTGCAGACTGTAAGGTCCTCCGTGGGGCTTACCAGGAGAGGCAGTCCCGTAGGTACGAGGGTCCTAGGCCATATAGGTCTTTAAAGGTTAAAACCAGTACCTTAAACCTGATCCTGTACTGCACCAGGAGCCAGTGCAGCTGATACAGCACTGGATGAATGTGATCCAGCGGCAAAGCCCCGTAAGGTGTCTCGCCGTGGCATTCTGCACCTGCTGGAGTTTCTGGGTCAGCTTCAAGGGCGGCCCCACATAGAGTGAGTTACAATAATCAAGCCTGGAGGTGACCGTTGCGTGGATCACAGTGGCGAGATCAGGGCGAGAGAGGTAAGGGACCAACTGCTTAGCACGGAGGAGATGGGAAAATGCTGCCTTTGTTGTAGCTGCAACCTGTGGCCTCATAGAAAGGGAGGCGTCGATTACACCCAAACTCTTGACAGAAGGCGCTGGCACAAATTGCACCCCCACAATAGATGGGTGTTGGCCCCACAACCCCATATCATCCCAACCCAGCCAAAGGACCTCTGTCTTTGAAGGATTTAGCTTCAACCCACGCAACCATCCAGCCACAGCTTCCAAACATCTGATCAGTGTGTCTGGAGCCGAGTCAGGATGGCCGTCCATCAGCAGATAGAGTTGGGTGTCATCAGTGTACTGATGGCAGCCCAAACCAAAACTCTGGACAAGCTGGGCGAGAGGGTGCATAAAGATGTTAAAAAGCATCAAGGAGAGAATTGCACCCTGCAGCACTCCACACACCAAGGAGTGGTGCGACGACAGCTCCTGCCCTAACGCCACCCTCTGTCCCCAACCAGAAAGGAAAGAGCGCAGCCATTGTAGGACTGTGCCCTGATTCCCCACGTTGGGAAGGCGGTGATCCAAAAGTTTGTGATCGACCATGTCGAAGGCTGCTGACAGGTCTAAAAGGATCAGCAGCCCCGACCCACCTCGATCCAGCTGCCTACGGAGATCATCTGTTAGGGTGACCAGAGCCATCTCGGTCCCATAACCAAGATGGAAGCCGGACTGGAATGGATCCAAAGCTGATGTTTCATCCAGGAATCCACCAAGCTGTTCAGCAACCACTCTCTCAATCACCTTACCCAGGTACGAAAGGTTCGAAACTGGGTGGTAATTGGATAGATCTAAAGGATCTAATGATGCTTTTTAAAGAGCGGACGCACCACTGCCTCCTTCAACTCCCTGGCAATGTCCGCGTGCCAAGGGACAAATTGATGATGTCACCCAGGGGGACCTGCACCTCGTCTGGGCACGCTCTAATCAGCCAGGACGGGCATGGGTCAAGAGGGCAAGTGGTGGACTTTCCGGCTTGGAGGAGTCTGTCCACATCGGCTGGGAGTATCCGATTGAAGTGGTCCAATACTGGACCCGAAGACAGACAAGGGGCCTCCAGTTCCATTGTATCCAAATTGAATGAACATGTGGGATCACATACACTATCCCTGCCCCCTAGAGTACATGTATTCTTTTGGAAGTCTGCACCCTATAGGACTCTATGCAGTACATGGAATCAGATCCCCTGTTTTTTATTGCATAGATCGTTCCCTAGGTGCCTATACATGTGTACACTTTTACTTCTTATGCAGACTTTCAAATGAATGCATGTGGGTCAAGGTTGGGGTATGCTGCCATGCTCCTATTTCACACACACACACACAGAGCGAGAGAGAGTTTTTCATTCACTGAGTTAATTCAAAGATTCAGTGAAGTCCAACTTTTTATTTCCCAATCCATAACATTTGGGCCCCAGCAGAAAATAACTTCTAAGGATCGGGGCTTCCCCCCTTCCCGCAGCTGGAACTCAGTTCTGACACCTTTCAGGTGGGCCCCATAGCCATTATAAGAGAACAAGGGAGGTGTTCGTGGTGAGTTCCGGCACTTCTTTTTCTAGAAAAATAGCACTGAACATGTGTAAACCTAACAATAGGTAGTCCTAATTCGAAGCATTTGGATTTTTCTTTTGAAGGGACATTTTTTTTAATGGACCCGGAGGAGCAAGCAGGAAGACTGCAAAAGAGGACAAAGCAGTGATAATTTGTGTGGCAATTTATTCCTATGTGCCAAATGTTTCCTAAGATTTTCAACGGGTGGTTTTGTGCAGTTAGAAATATTTAGTGCACCTTTTCTGTTAGTTGATATTCCCATAGTTAAAAAGGACAGCAGGGGGCACCAAATCTGCATAATTCTTCTGAAATGATTTCTTTCTTTTTTAAAAAAGGAAAAACCCGAACACCTCCACTCATAAACGATAGTTTTAAGAAAATGCTGAATGGCAAAAGTATGGTTGCTGGGGTTCTTTGAACAGATATCTGCAAATTTCGATTGTAAAAAACACACACTCTGCAGTTCAAGCAGATAAACTGGGAGAAAATGCGACCTTAAAAAAATAATCTCAACATTCAGTCTTCTTCCTTTAAATAATAGGAGGAAATTAACAGGTGTTTAAGCTGATGGAACCTATCTTTCAGATATTTGAGATTTGAAGATTATGAAACTGGATTTGTCAAACAAACCTGACCCAAAACCCAGGCCAGTGTTTTCTTGGTGGTTCTGATGGTGCACCCAGGGAGTAAAACCAATCCTGCCAGGTAGTAAACTGCCATCGCTCCTGTTTAGTCCACCCAGCCTGAACCAGGACAGCTCAGCCTGTACTGTAGTGTGGACACTGCCAAGACTCCAAGGAACAAGAGCTAAAGAAGAAGAAGAAGA